CCCCCCCCCCTCCGCCCCTCCACCCCATCCACATCTTGCAATCTCTGGGCATTTTTAATGCCATAAGCTCTTTTCACTCGTCTTCTTCGCAGCAACTCTTCGTCCAGCTTAAAAAAAAGAGCGCTAGCAAAAAATTCTAGGAAAAAACTCAAGGCAACACATCACGCTCTGTTTCATTTCGCGTTGAATACCGTATACACACAACCGGAGAAATTCAGCTACTCCATTAATACATTTTAATTTTTCGCCATTAATTAAATTTTAATTCGTCTATTATTTTTTTAATGTCCGTATTTTTTCAAAAATACGAAATTCTAGGAGAAAAGTCAAGGCAACACATCACGCTCTGTTTCATTTCGCGTTGAATACCGTATACACACAACCGGAGAAATTCAGCTACTCCATTAATACATTTTAATTTTTCGCCATTAATTAAATTTTAATTCGTCTATTATCTTTTTAATTTTCGTATTTTTTCAAAAATACGAAATTCTAGGAGAAAAGTCAAGGCAAAAGATCACGCTCTGTTTCATTTCGCGTTGAATACCGTATACACACAACCGGAGAAATTCAGCTACTCCATTAATACATTTTAATTTTTCGCCATTAATTAAATTTTAATTCGTCTATTAATTTTTTTAATTTTCGTCTTTTTCAAAAATTGGTTGTCCCACGATAATTAAAAAAAATATTCTGAGTTGATTGAATGATGATGTCATTTTTTTTTCGTAAAAATCATTTGTTTAGAAATAAATAAATAATTTTTTTCCCCTGGGGCCAAAGTGTCAGACCTCGGATTTTTTCAGAGGTAAAATCGACTTTCAGCAAAATCGAATTTTTTCACCGAGTGAACATTGATTCTGTACCTCCTAATGACTCTGATGCTAATGAACCACTCGGAGGCTCCAGAAATGCAGAATTAATTTTTTTCACCTAGACGAAATTGAATTGTAACCACTTTATTCATATTCCTAATTCCGAATTTGAAAAATCGATTTTCGCCTAAAAAAAATTATTCCGAAAGTCCAAACAACTCCAATTATTTATTTACAAACAACACATCTCCGTTTCATTTCTCGTTGAATACCAAATGCACCCAACCAGACAAATGCAGCCATTCCATTAATACAACAAACGTTTGTACACGGCAAATGGAAGACAGGAATTCCAAGTTATCCACCGGTTGAAACTCAAACCCACCCAAGCAGTGTGTTTCATTCTCACGGGATCAGGAAGCGTCCATCCACTATCTGGAAACTTCAACTCTGTGGTATTCGTCCCGTAAGTTTCGCTTACGTGCAATGGTTAAACTGCAAGCCCAGACCACCAGTGCAGCCTCCCCCGTCCCTCGGACATTTGGGAAGGGCCGGCGGAGGGGGGGGGGGGGGGGGAGTGAGACGTCGTGGAATAGACCCGTTCACTAATTCATCGATTCACTTATGCCCGGAGGCGACCGGCACGCCAGAGGTACTTTTAGTACGATATAGACCGGCCGCACCGGACCCCTCAGATAGTTCTTCTTCCCTCTTCATTCTCAACCCATTCGCCCGTTCCTTAATAAACCAGGAGAAAGAGAAATGTTATTTACCTTTAACCCGTGACCGTTCTACGTGCCTCGGTGTATCCCTTTCGGATATATTTGCCGGCTGTGGTACATTCATTACGGTTATCGAGGGGAGGGGGTTTATGAAACATTTTATTTTTGGTGGTCCGCACGGAGAGAAATATTCGGTAAAAATTACGTGAATTTTACACTTCCCACGCAGAGAGAAATTTTCCTATTTACTAAAGATGAAAGAAACGTGAAGTTGTTTTCTATCGAAATATCCCCAAACTGCCTGTCCTCAGTATTTTAAAATTCTTCAAATGCCGAAAATTTGTTCTGCGTCATATTTTTTATTTTTTCATGTGTGAAGTTGATATCAAAACATATCTAAATTGCCTAATTATTGATCATGAGGAAAAAAACAGTATTTCTAAATTTTTTCAACTCACAAATTATTCTTCACTTCCCAAATTTTAATTTTTTCATATTTATCACACACCACAATGATCAATTCTTGGTCACTATGCGAGGGAATTGCCGCAACACGTTGTTTTATTCACCTTGCCATCGACTGGTTGACCGGAAAAATTTGAGAAAAATTGAATTCGTCAGTTGAAGTATTCCAGATACTTTTCCAAAATTCCAGTATTTTTTTTAACATTGCATCCTTAATTCTGGGAGGAAAAAAATTATTTCCAACAGGTGAACAATTTTTTTCCCGCGTTAAATGAAATTGCCTGTTGCGCGACGTTGCTGGGAACTCACTAAACGCGCCCGGCCAGTGTAGAGTGGATTCGGCAACGCTGGAGCCTAAATAACACGGCGGCACTCTCCCGCGAAGGTGACTAAAGTCGCATTTTCCCGTCAGGTGACCAGACTAGGGTTAACAGCACTAGAATTTTTCACAGCCCGTGGATTGTAATTTTTTTTAGTACTCGTACTAGAAATTTTCAAGAAAATTTCTCTCCGTGCACGGATTTTTCCCAAAATTATGAATCAACTACAAAAATTCCAGAAATATCCAAGACCCTTCCCAAAAATTTCAGTGAAAAATTTTCAACGTTGTTATCAAGATACGAAGCCCCCACGAGTAGAAAATGTCCGCTCAACCCTTTGCAACACGTCAGGTAGATTGTCCCCCTGCCGATCAAACTTTGTCATTAAACTCGAAGCTGAAATCGATTCGTGCGTCAAAGTCCGTTTGAGGGTCTCCACCAGCCGATGAGATTACACAGAGAGGGATCCTTAGTGACATGCACTTGTCGTCGGTTTATACGTGACAGGCGCACATAGGTGGATGGCTGTTGCACTGGAGGAAAGGTACACATATAGAATGCATATGCAGGACAAGAGAGAAGATTGAATGGGGGTTGAGAGCAAGATCGATATATCCTGTCCCGCGCATAACACCAAGAGACATGGGGGGATAATGGAAATGTGGACGAGTACGTCGAGTACAACCTGGCGAAACAGAGGAAAAAAAATATGCGCCACCGGAGGGACAAAAGGAGCGAGGAATGACAGAGTGAAAGAGACAAGTGAAACATGGAGTTCAGTCTCTCGGGATAGATGCTCCCAGCGTCAGCCGAAACTCGTTTAATTATCACTAATTTGCATGGATAACATTTCCGAAAAAGCTCTCCCACCTCCCTCAGACCCATCGTCCACATCATCTTCGTTACACCGTTCTCCACTATTGTTCATATCTCCCCCGCTCTCATAACAGTTTGCACTTGGCACTTGTCTTCAAATCCCATCAGGTTTTCCACGTATATTCTGGGGGTGTTGATGTATCACCGTAAACTCGGTGGTCACGTACTTGAATAACGTAGCCAAACGATTTCTCCGCATACTCCCACGTGTCTTATATTTTATCATACCCTCGGATCCCTCTGCAGCACAGACACATAATTTTCGTTTATTCGCGTAACACATCTGGACTTTTTTTCTTACGAACGGAGGCTTTGTAATCGCTCAATTTTTCGATTTTTTGGGTTATATTGAGCCATTCAAAATTTCCATCAAGTTTTTTACAGTTGAAAAATTATTGTGCATGAAAAAAGTTTTTCTAAGACCATTTTATTTGAGGTATACATTCTTTCGTTTCATTTATACAAAAATTTTTACGAGAAATCTAACGCAATTGATTGAACAAGAAATTTTAGGCAGTTAAACAAAATAATGTAAAATAATAAATAATATACGGTAGAAAAAAATGTGCAAAATGACAAAGACAAAAATAATTTCTCACTTGTTTGTTTTTTTTATATTTTTCTTCCCTTATTTTAATTTTTTTCGATAAAAAATTATCGTTTTTTTTCAGATTTCATTTCATAAATTTGTCAGGACAATGGCGATATACAGTAGTATACATATATATATATATATACACCTGTAATAATAATAATAATAATAATAATAATAATAATAATAATGATAGTTATAATAATGAAATGTAATAATTATAAAACTGAAAAATCATTTATTGAAAATAATAATAATTCTTTTCAGTAAAATATAATAATATTTTTTTCGATTTGTTTTTTTTTTTTTTGAATAAAAAAGCGTTTCGCAAATGATAAAAATGATGACAATAATCATAATATGATGATGATGAAATTTATATTTTGTTTTCCACAAAAAGAGCCATTACCATTATAACAATTAACCAGTAACTTCTGGGCAATTTACCAAATATGCACATGTATTAAAACAATTTTCCCCCCCAGAACAACAAATTAATGCATCCCTGTGTTTATTCGTCGACCTCTTCCCACCCATGTTTACCCTTGTGTTGAATAACTACTGAGTAAAAGTAAGGAAATAATAATGCAGCAAGTTGTGCAGCATTGTGTGAGAGAGAGAGAGAAATTTCTCTCTCACTCGTATTTAACTCAAAACTGTTTGTTGCAGTTTTGGGCTGCCTACGTGCCCTGCGAGTCTCAGTACCTCAATGCCGTTCAGCTGACTCTCGAGCAAGTGGACCTCATTAAAAGACTCATTGAGAAGTACTCACAGCACATGCAGTTCGCTGCTTCCTCCAGGGGTGAGTGGAGTGTCATGGGTTATTCGACTGGAGTTGATGGTGAAGTTGATGATGAGTTGACTGTGATTTTTTTGGGAGGGGATATCGTGGAATAGTTAATTTGGAAGTGAGAGGATTTATATCTCTTTTTGTTTTGTTTTAGGATTTTTTTTTGTTTTTACGCAGATAACAATTTATTTGGATGTTTTTTAAATTTTTATTTAATGAAATTCACATTAATATTTTTCATTCAAAAGAAAACGATTTATCACAGAATAATAGAAGGATATTCTTGAATCACAATTATTTAATTATTTAGTGAAGTATTTTTCATTAAAAAACGAAATAATTTTTATTCAAGAATATTATTATTAGTATTTTTAAGAACTTATATTGATATTCTATATTTTTAATTGCTACAATTTTTTGTTTCATGTTTTTCTTCAATGTCTGAACCAATCTATTACTTTATCACTTACGTCTCATTTTGGAAGCGAACGGATGTATTTCATATTTTTAAATATTCTTTACAAATATTTCTTGTGATTTTTAATATATTTGTTGATACATAATCCCCGTAATTTACATGTTCTTCATCTCTATTGGAAGATTAATAAAATTTTCGTGAATATACGTGATTCAACAAGCATACATTTTTTATTATAAAACTAGGGAGCAACACCCCCTGCTCGCTTCGCTCGCCAACCCCATACGACCCCCATAATCCTTATTCTGACCCTTGCGCCCCTTAATCTGACCCATATGACCCTCAATGTGATCACTATGGCCCTTCTTCTAACCCTCGTGACCCTTATTCTGACCCTTCTGAACCCTATGATCCTTATTCTGACTCTCGTGACCCTTACTCTGAACCCTATGACCACTGATGACCCTCGTGACCCTTATCCTGACCCTTACGACCATTATTTTGACCCTCATGACCTTCAATTGTAGACTCTTAATTTCAATTACCAACTTTTCATCACCAGAAGTCGATTTAGATTTTTATAATACAGATTGATATAATTTCACTCACGAACAATGCATTATCTTAATCAATTTAATTTCATTGAATCAATTTTTTTTCGAATGTCTGCAACATTTGTCCCCCTGACGAAGCTCATCATTTCCAGAGATACTAGAGGCACATGCCCGAGGAAGAATAGCGTCGTTAATTGGAGTAGAGGGTGGACACAGTCTTGGTAGTAGTCTGGCTGTGTTAAGAACCCTTTATCAATTGGGTGTACGTTATCTCACGTTGACACACACGTGCAACACCCCGTGGGCAAAGAGCTCATCCGTGGAGCAGGAGGACAACGGTGGCGGTAGGTAGCAACATCGGAGGATCAAATCAATTTCACCATATTCGTACGGCCCTTGGGGTCATTACGTAATGGCTTTCTGATGAATTTTCCAGGTGGTGGACTCAGTGGATTTGGTAAAGCCGTTGTTCGCGAAATGAACAGGTTGGGAATGCTGATCGACCTCAGTCACACGGCCAGGGCAACCATGAGGGATGCATTGAGGGTCAGCAAAGCTCCACTCATATTCTCTCACTCTTCCGCTTTTGCCATTTGTAATTCCACTAGAAATGTGCCGGATGATATTCTCAAACAACTGGTGAGCTTTTTTTCGCTGCAGTGGTTCAAATTCACAGAGAATAACACATTTGCTTATTGAGGGAATGATTTTTTTTATTTGAGAGCGTGGGATTGGATTTATTCGATTCACAGGGGTAGAAAAAAATTGTAATTTTGAGTGATAATTGTCAGGGGAGTGACAGTTGCGATTTTGAAGGGAAAAATCATGAAATTGAGGATTTCACCGAAAATTTAATGAAATTCCGAAATTGTGAGCAGCATTGAGACGAGAATTCCTCACATTATTTGCAGTTTCAATGAAAACGTGAATATTCAGTCCCGAATTACGCTGAATTAACAATTAATTGGAAACTCAAGAATTATTGACTGAAATTTACAGTTCTCATGGATTTTTCCATGACATTCCGCATTTTCAATGATGAAATCTGTTGAGATTTCAGGGGAACTAATGTGTGATAAAAATGCGAAATAAATAATTATAGAATTCCCATAGGATTGATTGCACAATTGCCCAATTGAACTAATAATTTTAACAACGAATTAATTCAGGCAATGATTCAAACTTGTAGAATGACTTACAATCTGACGTGTTCAACATTCCTTCGACAATTTCCCTCAACTCAGTCAATTCATTTTACAGTACCGTTGTTATCAATTTGCAAATAATTCCCTCAATTGGAACTACTCATATCCCCCAATAACCCAAAGCTCACCCCGAGTGGAGCAGAGAACGAACATTGGCTGTCCATCATCCCGAATAATCCTCTAGAAAGTTTAAAGCCGATATACCATTAAAATCGATGATACAGACGTGAGAGCTTCGAGAGTAATTATTAATGGATGAAAATTCCCAACACTTTGCCATTAATTAATTTCAATCACACACCCTCTACCAACTCTACCCTTTTCCTTTCATTTGCCACTCCCATCGCTCATTGAAAAACCTAATAAAACCCCTGAACTCCCAAAAGACCTCTCCTTAACATTGAAACTACTTCCGAATTCCGTGAGATTTAATTCGATCCGACGAAAACTTGTCAATGGTTAATATTTAAATGCTTTTATGCAGATAAAGATTTATTTTGATACTTTTCTTACTTTTATTTCATTAAATTCACATTAATATTTTTCATTCAAAAAGACAACGATTTATCCCCAAATATTAAAATCTATATTCCTCAACCAAATTATTCATTTTTTTAATGAAGAATATGGATATTCCAGATTTTGCGTATTTTTTACAAATATTTTTTTTTATTTTCAATATATTTTCAGATATACCTAATTTTTTATTAAGACCAGAAATCCACATAATGGACAGGTTTTTCTTCTCTTCAAGAGTAATTATCAGTGAATGAAAATTCCCAACACTTTGCAAATTTCCTTTTCCCCTCGTTCACCTCTCCCATCGCTCATTGAAAAACCTAAAAAACCCCTGAACTCGCAAAAGACCGAGTAATAATAACATAATCTAATAGAAGCCTCTCCTCAACATTGAATCTCCGTCTGAATTCCCTGCGATTTAATTCGATGCGCCGAAAACTTCTTAATCCCCCATTAAATCGCGAAGACAGGACTAATCCGTTAAACTAAGATATCATCATTAATGTGCTCAAAGAGTTTTCCCGCGGGGTTTCCTCCATTAAAGCAAATACTCAGCTGGTTCAATTTTCGTCGAAGAATAAATTCAAAGCAGATTCATAGGAATCCCCAGAAATTGTTGAAACCGTATCAGGACCCCGTCATATTTACTCGACATGGAAACTCGATGTGAAATCAGATGAGGATGAAATTTCGATTGATGGCACAGACTTCCCTCGTTCACCGACCCCTGCGCTTAACACTCAGTGGAACCACAGTCCACGCCTCATACGCAATTCAACGAGTGAATTCATCTGGCATCACTGAGGAAAACCAAAGGGGAATGGGATGCGGTTGAATGTTCGAGAAAAGGGAGCAGAGATAATTACCAAGCTTGCCAATGGTACCACCACTGCAGCAGTTTCAGTGGCCTAAAACAATTACCAACGGCGATTCCTTTCCATTGCACGAGGTTTCTGCTCCATTAAGAAAAACCCCTCACCCTCGGCCTACGAGAATCGTTACCGAGGAGGACTATCGACCCTAGTTCTCATGGAATTCACCATTCGACTAGCGCAAATGAAAATTAAAGGTTGTTGCAGCGAGAGAAAAAATTAGGGCTGACGAAAAATTATATGGTCCCCTGAAGAGATCTTTTGTCCTACTGACGCAATTTTTTTTCGATGCTTTTATGCTTTAAGATTTTTTATTCAAAAAGACAACGATTTATCCCAAAATATTAAAGTCGATATTCTTGAATCAAAATTATTAATTTTTTTAATGAAGAATATGTATATTCCAGATTTTGAATATAGTTACAAATATTTTTAAAAAATTTTAATATATTGCTGACAAAACTAAATCAGTAGTGAAGTAGTAAACGGAGATAAGTCGACTCACCCCCCAGTTGAGTTTTTGAGGAATATTTCCAAATCTAAGGGAGATAGCGAAATTTTCGTAATTACATTTGTTGTAGCACTCAATCGGCTCCACAAAAAAGGTTGTAACAAAAATTTCGCTATCTCGCTTAAATTCCGAGATATCGATTGAAAACTGATCAAAACTCAAAATTGGCTTATCTCCTTTTACCACTTCGGCACTGAAATGATTTCCAGGGGACATTTTTTTTTTGGAAAACAAATTCGTTTCTCGTCAATGAATTCTTTCTTCCGCAAAGCTATTTTTTTCTCCGAGTGCACGCGTTTGGAAAAGAGTCCTTCCTGCCAAGGAGATGGGAACTCTTAGAAATGTCTCCCTTCATCGGACACAATTAAAAGTTATTGCGAAGTGATAGATCGATTCGTTCTCGGAAAGAAGGTTTACTAATTGCCCTCGCATTTTTTAAATTTCACTTCCTCAGTTTTTCCTCCCTTCGTTAATGCTCGCTTTCAACGGATATAGCCTTTGATTTTTTTCCCCTTTTTCACCACTCAGTCCTTTTCTCACTCGCCATTGAGACTCGTGTGGCTATTAATCACCGATGCGAAAAAAAACACTTCTTTCTACTGGCATTCGCACACTCTGCCGACCCGATTTTTCAATAATTTACCCGTGTGCTTTTGATTCTGTTGCCTTGTGATTTATACACAGGTAGATTGGGTTTTCGGTGGAAAATCCATTGGCTTCGATAATGCAGTGGGGGATGCATTATGGATTTTCCGATGGCTGGATTTTGATGCTGGGTGGATGATAGAGATTGTATGTTCAGGGATTCAGTTATTCCAGAACAAAAATTGTAAATTGTTTGAGATCCAGAACATTTTCCACTGAAATTTCCGGTGAGAGCCTTGGAAATTTCTAACAAGTAACATTTCCACTGAAATTTCAAGGAATTTTGCCGTTGAAAATTCATCATTTCATGGAGAAACCCGTGGGAACTGTAAATTTCAGTTCAATTTTCCTGGAAAAATCTCCCCTTAAAGTCCGAATTCCTCTGTATTTGCGGAGAATTCCTTCAAAATTGGAGGGAGTATTCATTTTTCCTTGAAAATTCATGTAAATTGTGGAATCTCCGTCTTCCTGTCACTAGAAATTGGAACTTTGGTTGAATTTTCAAAGAAACTTGAAATTCCATTGACTTTTTCCCCTTAAATCGAATTTGCGGCCTTTTTCCGGGAAATTCCGCCAAATTTTTTTAACAGTACAATACCGGAAATTCTTATCACGTTCAATTTCCACTGGAATTTCAGGGAATATTTTCATTGAAAAATCAAATATTCCAGTGATTTTCTGTTCGAATGATCTGATTTTTCAGTTCAATCATTCCTTAAAAATTCGGAAAAAATCAGGAAAATCCAGGGAAAAGTTGAAAATTTATGTAATTTGATTCCTGGATACTCCCGTTCCATTCAAAATTCAATCAAATTACTCAATTTCCGTCTCACTGCCCCTGAAAACTCATGAACTTGAATTCTACCTAAAACTTGATATTTCATAACCATTTTTCCCCTAAATCGAATTCAATGTCACTCTCATGAGAATTACTGCCATATTTCCAATAAAATAGGCCTTCAATCTTCAAATATTGACAGTAGTTGCTGGCCCCATAAGAGTACTCCATACTTTCATCAGGAAAATTCCGGGAAAAATTGAAAATTCACATAACTTTATTTCTGAACATTCATGTTCCATCAAAAATCCAATATGAAAATATAATTACGATAACTATGGAGTTACGTATTACAGAGTAGGGGAGGGTGGGGCAAAACGGCCCCCCTTCAATTGTCAATAACTTGTGAATGCCATTGTGAAAATTTCCAGTTTCAACTTCATTTTGAAGATAATTTTTCATTCTTCAAAACAAGCTCTAACTCATCCCAATCGGATTATTGAATCGGAAAATATTGACGATTGAAGGGGGGCCGTTTTGCCCCATCCTCCCCTACTATTACAACGTACTACAATGCACTCCGTAAGAGTCCGACAAAACGCGAATGATCATCCACCGCTGTCCCCCGACACCCCCCCACGATGAACCTTCCGCTCTAAAAAAAAACCGTTCGATCAATACCCCCGAAAAAACGGAACACCATTAGAAGAGCGAAAAACCCGGAGCCCGAAAGAGATACTTGTCTCCCTCGAGTCAGATTGCAAACAATTAAATGATACGAGTACACACCGCCCTGGAACCCTATTTATACAATCCACAGAAGCGTATAAAGAGCGATAAACGCCGGAAGCTAGTCGAGCGATAGCAAATCCTCTCGGACCTCTATCTACTGTATCACTCTATTTCCCCAATGGAATCCTCTATTCCTTAAACACTCGGGCTGATTTGGCTTCATTCGATCGAACCGTCGGCCAAGAGATACAGAGCATCCAATATACAAAAGATGAGACACTAATAATAAAGAAAAATGAGAAAACCAGGGTATCTAATCGAACGGTGTTGGCGAGTAAGTGGATAAAGGTCAGCTTTGGTCGGACGTGCTGGCAATAATTATGGGAGATCCTCCGACGGTCGCCGGGCCAATTGACTTCAACCTCCCTTCCCCCCTCGCCCCCCCTCCTGCCCCTTCCACTCGCCATTCATAGCAGGACACACGTCCAGACCCAACATCGATTGGAAACGTTCGAAGGATCAACTGAGTTACACGACATAGATTAAATTGGAAGTCCCCTTCTACCTTGTTTCGCTGTATGCTCTGTATCGAAACGGCGGGGGAAGGGGGAGAGGGGGGAGGGGTAGGGGTGGTGCTGATCCACACGGGAAAACTGAAAGAGGGTAAACGAGGAACTCTCCCTCCAATCATCAACAAATGCGGCTCACCCGGGGTTAATTCGATTAGATTAATTCTAACAAAATTGCGTTGATGGAATTCGGTGGGAGTTTATAATGAATTTATGATGAATTTATCCTATCAATCTATCGGAATTTAGTCCGGTTGGAGAGATTAGCGGGCGACCTTTTTGGGGGGAGAGGGGGTTGGGTTGGGAATTGGGGGAATTGTTTGAAAGGATCTGGTCACTGTTGGGTTTTTTGAGATTAAGGGGTATGAATTGCATAGGAATTTAAGGGTTATGAATTGCACATGAATTTTAAATGTTATGAATTCGAAATTTTTATCACAGCGTAGTTTTATTGGAATGTAAAGAAATTGGGCTATTGAAAGTTCTGTGCAAGTGCGGCTCACCCGGGGTTAATTCGATTAGATTAATTCTAACCAAATTGCATTGATGGAATTCGCGGGGAGTTTATAATGAATTTATGATGAATTTATCCTATCAATCTATCGGAATTTAGTCCGGTTGGGGGGATTAGCGGGTGACCTTCCGGGTTTTTTTTTAGATTTTAAATGTTATGAATTCGAAATTTTCATCACATTGTAGTTTTACTGGAATGTCAAGAAATATCGCCATTGCAAATTCAAAGTTGTATGGAAATATTGATGAAAACAGTAGATTCCAGTTCGATGGAATCAGATAAATTTATTATTAAATTTCCAATTAGTGGTAAATTCTGCATAATTCAGTGCTGAATATTCATATCTTCATTGAAAGTCCAGTTAAGGTAACGAATTCTCGTCTATCCGCTGCTCAAAAATTTCGAAACCAATAAAACTTTCAGTAAAATCTTAAATTTCATAATTTCTTTCCGAAAACAACGTCACTCTCCCAAAAATTACTGCTCGACTGTCCACGAAATTCCTTTTCCGCCTCGAAAATTCCCCAAAACTGCATTTTCCACAACACAAATTAGATATTAAAACGCCTCAAAAATGTCTAAATTCAATAAAATAAAACTCCTCTCATTTCCAAAAAATCTCCAACCCATCTGCACCAACAATTCCCCAAAATCACCAACAAAATACCCACTCTCATAATGACGACCCTCCCCCTTCTATTCTCTCTCCGAACAGCCTCACAACTCAAACAACAAACAACCCAAAAATCAATGATTCCCGTTTGGAGAACAATAATCAATACTTCGTAATCCAATCACCGTCGTGCCCCTTAGACGCTGAATTCTCGATTGAGTTTCGTTTGTGTGGCGGATGACAATGATCAAATCTACGAGGATCATATCTAGTGGTATGCGCATTGGGTTACTATTATACCCGGATGGTTTGGCCCTAATGGCTAGTACTGCCGTTGGATTTCCATTAATTCCGAGTCAATGGCCAAACCCCAGCTATTTGAATATTTAAATCTTCAAGTCGTCGGTTACAAAGCCCCGATACAACCCAACCATTCCCCCCTCTCCTCCCCCACCGTTTCGCATGTAAAATGTGCAGTGAAAAATATTCTGAATAATAAAATTTTATCAAGTGAAAGAAATATAAAAATTTCCCCCTATTGATGCCTTTCCTTTTGTATTTTTTTATTCCGTGACTGTCGATAGTCGGCTCTCGGTACAGTCTGTATTTATTGCCAAAAGTAGTGCAATAAAAACTCATGCAGTTCGTTTGTAGCTCGGCACTGCTAGAAACGTAACTCGGATAAAAGTTTCACGTTCCAAATGTTCGGTATTGAAGGACTATTCGTTGCGCCAATTCCCCTCTCTCACTTTACCTTTCACACACACTGGTGAGGATTCAGGGAGAGCATTCACGGATATAGTTCACAGGTCACCATATACGTACACAACATTGAATGACACTCGTATTGTTGCTATTGTAAACTGATTTTTTTTAAGCTTTATTGGTATTTTACTTCGTGCCCTTTTCAGGCTACTAATGGGGGACTCGTCATGGTGACGTTTTACAACTATTTTGTCAAGTGCGGACCGGACGCCAGTGTCACTGACGTTGCGGAACATATTTATCACATCAGGAATCTCATTGGGGTGGACTACATTGGCGTCGGCGGTGACTTTGACGGGATAAATAAGTGAGTTGAGTTCATTGGTTTTGGGTTGGGGAGGGCTAATGTCTTGGGTTTCGGAAATTTTGGGGAAAATAGGAAATTGCAGAAAAACTTCTCTGAAATTTATCCTCTCGATAGAACTTTTTCTGTCGGATCATTATTTTTTTTATTCTTTATTTATTCTTCGGTGATTGCCAGTGGTAAGTTTTTCTTTGTTTCACACCGTCACGAGCCTTTCCCTCTCCCCTTTAATTACAGAAAAGAAAGTGTTATCTTGAATTCTAGATTGTCTTTTCATTGATTTGGTGCACATAGTCTCTAATGTCTCTAAACATGACAAATGTCTCTAAAGATGATGTCTGTTTTCAACTGAAAAGCAGAGTTGTGACAATATTGTCTGCCTATCAATTAAAATAAGAAGGAATCTTGACTGACATCTCTACGGCCTTCCTACCCAAACGAAATACCTGGAGAACCAACCGTCGTAAAGATATGACTCAAAATCCATTTCATTCGCTATAAAATTTCCTACACAACGCGACACGCCTTCTCGAGCTATCTAAATCCACTCTTGCGGCACTTTTTTTATCTCCCAAAAGGCAAACGAAATTCCCCATCTCCCTCGAAATGCAAAAACGAGTAAAAACTCCCAACAAGTGATTTAAAACTTCTTTTGACATCAACTTTGTGTGCATTTTGAATTGTTTAAAGAACACCCAGAGGCCTGGAGGATGTCTCTAGATATCCAGAACTTTTTGCTGAACTTCTGAGGAGCGGCAAGTGGGATGTTCTGGATCTCAAGAAAGTTGCCGGCTTGAATTTGCTCAGGGTCCTCAGGCAGGTAAGGCGATTCGATCAATGAGTGCTTGTTGTACAGAATTTTTTCCCAATCCATCATTCCCTCTTATTAGCCTTATTAGCCTAGTGAGAAACACATGGCTGGGGCTGTGTGACTGACCGAAACTAAGGCGGAAGTTACAAAAGATCTTATGATTTAGGTGACTCTGGGCGCTTTAAGTGACCAGCCGCACATTTTCTATTCTATTCTATCATTCCCTCTTTTTTGCTTCCGAATGCCTCTTTTTTTGCTTTTCAAATTATCCCATTAATTAAATTTTAATTCACCGATTAGTCTTTTTTATTTTCGAATTTATTCGAAAATCGGTTGTTCCTTAATAGCTAAACAAAATGTTCTGCATTGGTTGAATGACGGCTTAAAAAAACATTCTATGGCTTGAATCAAAAAATTTCCTCAAAGGTGAACAAATTTCTTCACTCTCCAGAAAAAGTTCTATTTTTGCACTTATCCCAGTTTACCACTTCACTACAGATGTTATCGAAGGGCTGAGAGCCGAGATAGAACCGTAAAAAAGACAATCGTTTGTATAGAAGAAAGAGATAATCAGGATAGCGATGATGATACCATTCAACTAAGTTGAAAATCTGCCAAAATTAGTTGAAAAGAAATCTCACTCGATTTAATAAAATGAAGTAAACAATGAATTATACACGATAGAATGAAATGATGTGCAAAATAACCATTCGGAAACACATTGAAAAATTTTTATTAGCAAAAATGACTACACCATACGCCACAAGCGCAATTTCCCCACTTGTTTATCTAACGTCTCATTTTTCGCTCTAAAATTCCTCCCGCAGGTGGAAAGAGTACGGGACGAGATGAGAACAGCGGGTGTAAAAGCCTCGGAGGAGTTTCTCGCTTCGCCGGACACAACTGGCAACTGCGCATTGGACATAAACTCCGTACAAAGAGTTACGGAAGTTTGACCAGTTATCAAAACTATTGATGTTCCTTCGTACTCATCACTTCTATCCTGCGAAAAATGTTCAAGAAAACAAAAAAAAAAAACTTGTCGTTGGTTTTTCGTCGTGTTTTTCTACCAATCTACCATGCTCACCTTACAAGACTGGAGACAACTTATATTTGGAGATAAAAATGAAAATGACTGTAAGAATTGGACGAGTCAAAAGACATTAGTCATAAATTACGAAGTGACGTGAATTATTTAACAACGATTCGCCATGTTTTTCCAGCGTTTCGTCCTCTCTGATCCACTAATTCTCTTTCGTGACTCAATTCCAATGGAAAAAGGAAAATAATAAAACTGGTGAAGATAAAAAAGCGTAAAAAATGTTAAACATACAAGCACGTACCTGTCGTCAAGGGAAAACAGACTCGCCTCTTTAACCATCAAATCACGTTCCCTTGGCGTCAACAACAGCAATGTTTAGTCACTTATGGGGTTGATGAAAAATTCACGGTGATGAGGTTTTTATAATGGGAAAGATGTTTAGTAACAAATCAATTTGGAAAAAAAATTCATATCACGAGGAGAAACTTTGGCGCGTGAAATTGTTTGTTTCGTGATTTATTAGTTTTTTTTTTCCCCCATCAACCCCGTCAATCTACCTGTCTGTGTCTCGTGTGCACTTATTCCACGTTCCGAGAGTTGGGCGAGGTCACCCAGCGAACTATTCAATATGTGGGACGCTTTTAAAGGTGAACTCTCGACCCGACCTGGACTCACCTCCCATCTCCTATTTACAGGGGTGGGAATATAAATAAAGATGATGTATACAATGTAATAAGAGGGAAAAAACAAATCCAATCAATTCGTTGTAATCTCGACGACGAAGTTCTATAAATAAATGTTTCTATTGTAAAAAGTGTCATCATTTTTTATCCATTAAGGTCCCCATAATTGAATCGTGTTCTTACCTCTTGGATTTTTAAAGGGTTTATAAATATCTTTCCCGTTTATCTCTACATTTTTTTTATTTACGATAAACGATAAAAATGTTTTATCGAATACGAATAACTGGACGATAGATGCAGATGTACCTAGTGCTTCAAAGGGTAACCATCCACAAAAAATATCATTTTATCCCGATAACAGAGAAATTTCAAAGTGTGCGAATATTCGAAATCTCGAATAATTCGGAGCGAATTGAGTTTAAACTATTTGAATTGAAAAATAAATTGACTTAAACAACATAATATGGCCTCGAATTTCAGCCCCCGATAATCCGACGAAATAAGACGCCAGAAAACCCCTTGAAATACATAACCCAGCCCCAAAGATGCGAAACCAAGAGGGTAAACGTTTTAATAAAATAACTCCTCTCCACAATAAATAAACAATCAAGTCCTTTAATAAATCATCATCTCCAAAACAGTCTCACCCTTTACTCTTCTTCGATTTATGCTTGTGCCTCTTCTCCTTCTCCTTGCGCTTATGCTTCTTCTTCCTCTCCCTCTTCACCCTCTTCTCAATCCACTTGATCGACTTACCCCCACCATCCAATTTTGTAACGACAACACTTCGAAAAACGGGTCTCTGCACAATTTCAGAATTACCAGAATCGTCTGCCCTCATTGATTTCGCCGGCAGAGCTGGACCGTACGTCTGCGGTGAAATTTTCATTTCACCTTGAGCCACTTCGTTGACAACATCTCCACTCCCCCCCTCATCACCCCCCACCGACCCCTCAAATTTTCGTGTTTCAGTATCACTCGTACTCATGACTTTTTTGCTCCCACCAGGCTTGACCAACTCATCCAAATCGAGTTTGGCGAAGATTCCTCGAGGTGGTGAGTCATTCCTCTGTGAGTTAGCTTCACCAATGGACTTCCCAATGAGCACAGACTTGACAGTGTCATTATTAACGTCGTCATCCTCATCAGTCGCCTCGTCCTCGCTGCTGCTGAGGAAAATGGCCTTGAACAGATCCTTCTTCTCATCCTTCCCCCCATCGCTCCCCTCCCCCTTAGCCACCTCACCCTTTCCAAAGACCTTCCCGTAAGACGCCTCAAAGTCCCTTATTTTCTCCATCGACTTGCTCCCCCTCGTATCAATGTCCGATGTATCGAGTATCTGTACACCACCCAAAGCCCTCTCTACTTTATTCCCTTCCGGCGGATTGTAGGGAATGTGGGGCTCTTTGTAGGTACCAGCAGTGTCTGTTGCCTTTTGAAACTTTGTATCTCCTCCACAAAAATCCAGTGACTCAAAGACTGAGTATTTTTTGGTTTTGCCCTCTGGTTTTGCACATCCAGTTTTTGGCTCGGGTATGTTGAAGCGCTTACAAACGATACTCGACGGTTGCCAGGACTCAGTGGCTCTTGTCAGCTTTCCAAACATTTTCACTTTAGCCGCTGCTACCATCGGGTCCTTTGGTACCACCTCATTACTTGATGAAGTTGCAGGCCTTCTGCTGAGTCTCAACGCCTGCTCGAATTCCTCTCTCTCGCGCTCTCGCTCCCACTCGGTCATCGAGAGGGGCTGAATACTGGATAATTTATTCTTCTCGTCGTTCTTGGCGAAGTCTTGATACTTTTCAAAACGTCTCTGCTTCTCCTCGTCCATTGCGAAGGGTTTGGAACCGGCTTGATTCGATTTGAATTCAGATAAGTTCTTCAGACTTCCCGAGTCCTCAGCCCCCTCGACCCCACCTCTCACGAAACTTGTGGTGGTGAGTTTGTCCAGCCACGAGGTCGAGGGCTTCCTCTGCTGCAGTGCGAGGGCCTCACGCCCCTTCAGCTCATCGCGGTCATAAAGGGAAGGTTTACCCTCCGGTTTTTCGAGGGTTTCTACTGCTTTCGGTTTTACTGAAACGGGGGATTCCCCCAAAATCTCTGATCTGTCATTGGCTTTCGCATCGTCGCCCCCTAGATCCCCGTCCATTGCGGAGGATTTAGAAACGTCTTGATTCGATTTGAATTCAGATGAGGTCTTCAGACTTCCCGAGTCCTCAGCCCCCTCCACCCCACCTCTCACAAAACTCGTGGTCGTGAGTTTGTCCAGCCACGAGCTCGAGGATTTCCTCTGCTGCAGTGCTAGGCTCTCACGTTCTTTCAACTGTTCGCGTCCATGAAGGTTCAGTGTTCGGGAGATTATGTTCGCAGCAGGGGAGGCCTTACCCTGCGGTTTTTCGAGGGTTTCCAATGGTTTCGGTTTCACTGAACTGGGGGATTCCCCCAAAATCACTGATCTGTCGTTGGCGTTCATGTCGTGGCGCCCTAAGCCCTTTCTTTGGGCGGATTCTCGTGGGAGGGGCTCGTCAGCTGGGGAGAACCGACTCTTTCTCACCCTGTGGAGGGGTTTAAAGTCCTTTGGAAGCTCTGGAGGGGGAAAGTGTTTTTTTCGTTGGAGAGTTTTCTGCGCTGGGACGAAACCCTCGAGCGAGCTCTTGGGGTGGGACGACGCGGAGGAGCGAGGGGCTTTCTTTTGGGCCTCGGGGCCCAGCGTGAAATCGTATCTCGACATGTCGTCGCGCGCGTAGATGTCCTCGTCGTCTGCCTCGAAGGCACCTACGCCGAAGGCTTGGCCTTTTATTGAGAACTTTTTGTTCTTGTCGCGGAGTTGGAGGGTGGGGGGGTCGAAGAGGTTTATGTGGCCTAGGACTGAGGTGCGGTCAAGGCCACTGTAGCCTATTCCGAAGTAATTGTCTTTTGGATTTAGCCTGGGAACAGACATTCACCATTTTAGGTAGTGAAGCGTTTTGTGGAGTGAGACGAAGGGGAACTATAGAATTATTATTTTTCATTCAGCAATTTCATTCTATTTTTTATGAACTGATTTTTTTGTGGGTTATGTTGATAGTAGGTGTTGGGTTTCTATTTTTTAGGGGAAATTAAATTATTATGTGCAGCCCATTGAATTTATTATTGGCGATTGCACTATGATTTCAGGTGGAAACGATATCGCACTACACTGTTGGAAAAAAATACAATTTCAGAGACTATTCGATAGAATTCCAAATTTTGTGGCGACAGGAAAACGAGGGTTCCCCAAAGTGCTTGGATTTTTCGTTAATTGCAGATTCAAAAAAATTTTTATCTGAATTTTCCTGATTTTATTCATTTTTTGAGGAATAATTGAACTGGAATTGACAATTTTCATCGATTTTTTGATCGAATTGTGAATTTTCAAGAGTAAAATTGCACGGAATTCCAGGGAAAATGTCACATGATAAAGATTTCCAAGAAGAAATTGAATTGAATTAGAATTTGGAAATTTCAACCTGAAATTTTTAACTGAGTAATGCATTACAAAATATAAAGCAAAAATATAATAATCATAATCTTTATGCAAAAACAAAGATTATCATTTTTATCTTTACGTTTTTGCTAATTACTTTACATTTTTTTATCGTTAAAACCTAGGGATAAATGATTTTTTCTGTTCCCCTTACCGATACGGTTCGTAATCATCCGGAGCAAAGAGAATCCCTTCCTGATCATCATCTGAGCTCTCTGAAGTACTATCCTTCGACACTTGAGCAGGTAGAGAGCACCCATAAACCTTCTTATCATTCCTCTCACGAGTCCTCTGCTTTTCTCTTCTGGTTACTCGTGGGCCCACCCCCTGGCCAGGCTTCCAACCCATTTTTTTCAACAGGGAAACTCCAACTGTGTCACTGCAAACATAAACAACAATTGAGTTGTGACATAAAAAATATGAAAAGCCTGTTTTTTTATTTTCGAACATGACGAAAATAAGAATTTAAAATCAATTAAAAAAACGTCTACATTGCGAAATTGAGCTTCGTTCTCTCCATTTTACTTCAATATTTGAGAAAAATTCATATAAATTAACACATCTGGGCATTGGCTGCAGAAAAACTAGAAATTTCCTCAGAAACTTGATGAAAATGAACGAAGTAAATGAATGGGGTAGATTTCTTACGAACTCGTAATTAATTTTACAATTTTAATAATTTTATTCTGAAAACTCTCAAGTAAACTTCATATATATTCAAATTAAACTGCTTCATTGACAGTTGTAACTGCCGAAACTTGAATTAAAAAATATAATTCAAGCGACTAGAATTTTTTAAAAGGATAGATGTCAACCTGTTCTTCTTCTCTCAAACTGAATGCACACCTGACAGGCTTTAATAAATCCTGGAGCACAGGAACCCCGGGAATGGGGCCGTCGTTAGCCCTCTGCCTCTCCCTCTTCGTCCCCTTTCCACAGCCAGTGTACTCGCTGGAGGCTCGAATCCCAGTGGGTGCTATCCCAAACTCACCGGTGTCCTCCTCGTCCATGAAGTCTTCAGGGAGTTGGTTGACACTCCCTGCTTTGCTGCTCCGCGAAGACTTGAATTGCTGGGGTCTCCAGCCATCTCGAGTGCCCACAGTGTTGAAGTATCCTGCTGAGAACCCCCCGGTGAAGGCGCCGTGGAACCTACGTCTGCCTTGAGCATCTGTCACGATCTGCTCTTCCACTGCCACTGGCTTTTTTCGAGGTAAGTTTTCTGGAATATTAATTATTGTTAAGGACGTGTGAGTGTCTTTCATTCGAGCCCCATTTGACCCTAGGGTTCCAAATATTTTACAATGATTAGGGGAGGGTGGGATAAAATGGACACTTTCGACTTTTTTTCAAGTGTTCATAACTCAGAAACAAATTTATCAATTGAGCTCAGTTTAGGTTCGTCACAAAGGGAAAGAATTGTCCTTTGTATTGAAAAAAAAATATATTAAATTTCATCAACATTTCAACCCCTCATTAACATTTTTTAAAAAGTCAAAAGTGTCCGTTTTACCCCAACCTCCCCTATATTATTTAAGTCTGAATTTTAATCACGACATTGAACCGTTAGAAACCATTTTAAAAATGTGAAAAAAATAGAGTTTACTTTTGGAGTAAGAGTGATGGAGTAATTTAAAAATTGCAATTGTTGAATCTATAAACAATCAATTTTCCACTGTCACTGGCTTTTTTCGAGGTAAGTGAAAAAAATAAAAATCAGTCGTTTGGGAAAATAAAAATTATTGTTAGTTAATTACGATAATTTTAATCAACATAACTATTTAAAATTTAGCCACTCATCGCAGGGAATAAAAATTAGAAAGCTCAAGAATCATTTATTTAGTTAACAAGACTATTTGAGTAAAACTTCTGAATTTGTATTTTATGGAGCTAATTTTAATAAATTAATAACAGAATTCATGGAATCTTGAACAATTCTTGAGTTCTGTTTACACCTCAATTGAATATTCATTTATTTATTGATTCACTTGTCGCTAATTACCTTCATCCAGCGGCTCCAGAGGTTCTCCAAACGTGACAAAATTCTCATCGTCAGAATCACTCATTTTAAAATAACAAACAAAGCATTTGTCAACAATTCTTGAATTTTCTGCTCAGAGCTTCGCAAAATTGACAGGCCACATTAAGGTTATGTCAATACCGAAACATCTTTCACGTTATCGAGTGACGAAAAGGCAGAATACCCGCTTTACCCTCTCATTTAAATTTGTGAAAAGTCAAAAAATCGCCACACAACCCCAGATCATCAAACACCAACGAATTAATCTCACAAAATTCCGTTTATTCATTCCTCAATAATTTACACAAAACCAAGTGTAAAAAAAGTCACGATTAGACCTGAAAAGAACTGAATCCTCTTTATTATAAAAAAGGGAAATGTTATCATAATTATTTCAGTACATTTATTCCGAGATATTCATATTTATACACAGTAGTTTTTTTTTTTCGCTATTATATTAATTAATAATCATATAGTAGTTTAGCAATAGTGGCGTAATGCATTTTGCACTTTCGATCGATCATTTATTTTCACTTTTTATCGGTTAATATTGTTTGACAAAAATACAAAAATTATTAAGGTATATGACAATCAGTATGAGAACAAATCGCCCCGCTCGACTCTCTTTCATTTGTCTGTTCACCTACTCTCTTGTCTTCTATTCTTATATACTGAACTTGCACTTTTCATTAATTTTTTTTTCATTCAATTATTATTGTATATATTTTTTTTACTTTTTTCCCATTTTTTTTACCTCCTCGTACACTTACACTTACTATATACCTCCCCTCCCGAAGGATCAATCACGTACTCAACGATCGTGATTATACATTATTCCTATATTTTATGTATTGTGATTTTTCATTCTCAACTAATAAAAAAACGTAAGGATATCGTCTAAAACGGGAAAAAAATGTTTTCTCTTTAATTTTTTTTTCATTCTCTCTACACTCCTTCAAACTACGTGTGAAGTACCCCCCGTGTGACTTTGATTTTCATTATTTATCGATTATTCACTCTCATTGGGGGAAGACTCCAGGAAAATTTCAAAGCCAGGGGCCCTTGAAGTGCGTAAAAACGAAGAATTAATGCAGAAAAATTGATTTTTCATTTTTAATTTTGCCCTCCATTAAATATTTAAAGAATATGGGGAACAACAATTACGAATTACTTTTTTAAATTTGATTTTTCGCCATCTGAAAGGAATAAATAAAAAAATGATAAATATTTTCGAATACTTTTATCTCAATTTTTTATTTAACCAGAAACAAATCGGCTACTTAAATTTCTAATTAAAAATAAGTAATTCGTAATTTCAAGGGTTCAAGGGTTCAAACGAACAATAATGAATTAATTTCCGGCACTAAATTCTCGTTTTTGTACACATCTAATCGAATTGAATGAAATCTCACTGGAGATTCCCTTTAAAAGAATTTCTCCTCCTGCGAAACCTTTTCTGTTCTAATGTAATGGATATTTATAAATGTTCTGGAGTATGTGGGTTCGTTGGGGGGCTCGATCATCGTTGCACCTGATAAGTACTCCATTCTTCCCCGCTTTCAATAAATACCACGAGTGGAAATATTTTCGAAACAGAAATACCCTTGGGGGGAAAGAAATCCTGTATTTACCTCTCAACGTGCGACGACTTTATCGAGATAACTCTCATCTTAAACTAATTACACTAGTTCCAGGGGCACTATTTCCTCATTTTGAGAAAAGAAAAATAACGAAAGAAGCTCTGTGACTGATGCCTCTCACACGTATCTCAGGCAATGCCAAAACAATAAACCTCCCCTCATTTCAATATATTCTCTTCATTAGTTTAAAAAATACACAGAAATGAACTCAACAAGATATCTTCCCACTTTTCACCTCGCGATGACCAATAATCTGAATTAAATTCTCTTATTCCTCTCTCGTTTTGTTTTTCTCACATGTTTTTTATTGTTTACAGAACAAATTAAAAGAAAGATACAAGTTTACAAGTACACAGGACCTTCGGGTACTATCTATGATAATGAGTAGAAAAAAAAAATAATGAATGAAATAAAGCGTAGATAGTCTGTGAATTTCCTCGTGATAAGCCAAGCACTTTGTGTTTATAATTCTTCTTAATTTCTCGAGAAATTTTAATTACACTTTGTAATATATACTTGATTCGTTAGCTTTGGTTATCATTTCGATTGAACGCTACTTTATTTCTTAAAATGAAAAGATAAAACAAAAAAAAATAGTGGAGAAATGCACTTATGGGAAAGAAAATTTCATAGACATTTAATGATTACTATTGTACGATTAATAAAAGTAGAATTGGGTGATTAAGTAATTCGTTACTTGGGGGGGGGGGGATGATGATTTTTATTCAGTGTTTTGTAAAATCGAAGGAATACTTAAACTTTTGAACATTATCTTTATTCATTCAGTACGTATTGTATCAACGCGAGGAAAATGGTTCTTTTGTTAATTTTCAATGGAAAAACAGAAGACACGACTTGATTGAAAATTGAATCTCCACCTAATTTTTTAATTGAATAAAAAAGAATCTGCTGTAACCGTCGCAGTCATCGTAAAAGAATTTTCATAATAGTGAATGTTTTACTAAAGTTTAAAAATGGAAAACATTATTTCAATAATTGTTAATCCATTTTCAATATCTCTCAGGACTTTAAATATTTATTATCGGTCTCTAGAAACGCATAACGCAGTGTTATGCCCGAATTTTCTACAACGCGAGGGAAATAAAGGATAATTAATTTATAAAAAAAAAGAACAAGAAGACAAAGGAAAAATACCATCCTGATTTCGAGTGTATTCGAGCGGGTCCTCATCACTTCATCTCTTTCTCAATCTATTTAATAATAATGTGTATACATGTCCGCCCACTTTGTTTATTTTTTTTGTGTATTATGTGTCCTCCATTCGGCAAAAAACCCACCGATTCGATTAATTTATTGCAATTTTATGCATCGAATCGTGAGTTAATTGTTATTCACTCCTTCAGTTTACTTTGAATTTTCCTCATGTGGCTTTAATTACCAGCTGTCCAGTAGGTTGAAGAACTGTAGCCAGGCTTTGCCTGTGCCTTATTCTGGGAGCTAGCGTTGGATCTCTGTCCAGAACTACTGCCACCGTCCTGATGGAGTGGCTGATGCAACTGGTGTGGCATCGTTGAGATGAATAAGTGTGGACCACCGTAACCACCTGGCATACCAGCACTCTGGCTACCCGTCAAGCCAAATGGTGGTGGCGTTGCCGAATGAAAAGCCTGTTTGTCGTACGACTGATAACAAGGATAATTATCGTAATTAATTAAAAAAACTACTTCACAAAATCAATTCCATGTTTTGGAAAAATGCCACAAGCTATTTTTTATGGAGAATAAAATTGGCAGCAGAAATATTCTTTTGACATTTTAAGAAATATTAGGAAAATCAAAAATTTGCAAAGTGAAGTTTTGATAATTTTGCATTCAATTTTGAAAACAAATGGCTTTAGAGGAAATTATTGAGAGATATTTCTTCTAGAGAATTGAATTTTCAACAAAACTTCCTCATTATAAAAGTCAATTTATGTCAATTATAAGATTCAATTATAAAAAACAAAATAAAACATTCTGAAATGAAAAAAAAAGTTTTGCGAATTTTATCTTGAAAATTAATGGTTCTATGGAAAAATGCCAAGAGACACTTTTTATAGAGAATTAAATTTCTAACAAAAAATGTTTTGTCGTATTTTTTCGTAGGACCATTCGTTATGGAGATAATTACGATTTTGGTCAGTGCACTACAAAAATGTTGATGAGAAAAATTGTCTATGGAAATTGACAGGCATTAATTGACGAAAGCGAGTGGATTTATTACTCACATTGACTTTACTCAATGCCACATGACTCTTAGCGTACATGTTAGCGCCAATATCAGTAGCAGAAGACGCCCCAGAGTTATTATTCCCTGTGGACGATCCAGTCTTTCCAGTTTGAGTCCCAGTGTAACCACTGCCAGCCCCCTTATACTCAGCAGTTGGACCAGCATTGGCTAGTGTATCGTAACTTGCCCCACCCCCATATCCAGAGCCGTAACTACCAGGTTTAGCGTTGTACGCCGCACTGTTCGTTCCAGCATTGCCAGCAGTAGCTATTTGCTGTTGTTTCGCGAAATTTTTTTCATTTGAATACATTCCATTGCATTTTAGTATGAAAATTAAATAAATAATCGTGTACATCTGGAGTACAATTTTTTTCAAACCCGTCCTTTTCATGAATAAATACTTAAAAAATTGTTTAAACCACCAGAATTTTTTTCTGTCATAAAATGGATTTTTGTAAATATTCTCAACATAAATGACTAAATTATTTATAAGAGAAGATCTTCATTTATTTGTTCAGAAAATCGTCCCCAAAAGAAAAACTTTCTCCTTTTTTTCACTTTTTAAAATATTTTCCAAGGTTTCAAAAAAAAAAAGTCTTCAAAAAGTTCTGCGATTCAACAACAGATGTTGAATATCAAATTGGATGAAGAATAGACATTCTCATGCAGATTAAATATTAACGGTCCCTTAATGGAGGCATTATTGTTTGTTCACTCACAGGATAAATTGGCGGTCCACCATAAGCCTGGAAACTCCCTGGCATTATTCCACCGCTGTATGCAAAGTACGCATAGCCTGGAGGCAGTGCTGGGTTCATCATCGGTTGCTGATGCTGTGATGCAGTCTAACAATAATTAATGAACGTTGAATATCAAGCCTTAAAACTAATTACCACAAACTTTGTTTCCTGCATTCTACACAGTATTTATTCTTTCTTTTTTAGGTTTTAAAATCATGGACTGAGAATAATTAGAATAATAAACTTTCCCCCAAGTTCCCAAACAATTTTTTCAAAATGAATTTGAATTTTTCCCATTTTATTTCTTGAATAAAACACTTGAAAAATTAACACCAATAAATTTCTGCATTAATATATTTTAAGAATTGCAAAAGATTAATATCTAAATAAAATTGAAGTTTCCTAGTTTCCAAACAATTTCTGAGAAATTAAATTAAAGTTCCCCAAATTTATTTCCCATACAAAAGCTTTGAAAAAAATTAGCCAAAGAATTTCCGCACTGAGAACCCCAGGGATTACAATCTATCCCGAAATTAAATGAATGCAATACTTCGAAATTCAAAAGAAAGACGGACAACTAGAATTAAATGACCCATTAAATTTCCAATATTTCCAATGAAACTTTCAATTTTCAATTAAAATTCACTGAAATTTACCTGCTGTGACATGGTCGACGGTACCGGCGATGCATTGCTGTCATTTCTCGCGAACCTTCCATCACTCATACTAGTGTAGGCACCCTGGACCCCCTGAACCCCTTGAACACCCTGAACACCAGACAATGCATCACTTCGTCCACCGCCGAGGCTCGTTGCTGGACCAGTCGTCTGATAGCCGAGTGCCGCGTCATAGTAACCAGTAGTTGGCTGCACGTTAGTCAGGAAGGCCAAACACAAAACTACATGCATACACTGTGTACTCCAAAATACGTAGGAGGACTCTAACTAATGAAGAATCTATTCGACCCACAGGACAATGAGAAGAATGGCAGAGAAAAAACGGGAAAGGGGGGGGGGTGGCGAGGGGATGAGAAAGGAGAATCGTTTGCCATCGTACAACAGTACTTTACGAGTAACAAAACGTCTTCAATCTACTTGTCCTCGTACAAATAAGAAACGTTCCATATCCCATGAATATTCCCTGAGGATAATTCCAGAACCAGTGCTCTAACACTACAAATTGCCACTTAAAGACACTGAGAATCATAATGTGCGATAAATAATAAATAATTTCATGGAAAAACAAAATATCAATCGAGCTGCTACCAAGCACCATTTCCATTTCAACATGAGGTCAATAATTCATCACTAGATAATTCATTCTCGTTGCATTCGTGAAAATAATCATTACTTTGTAATAATCGTGCTTGAATGTTTTTTACGGGGCAATCTGACTCATTGATTTTACAGACCAATGACAGATTTCGGTGGGAATTGGGGGGAGAATGCGATGGGATAATTATGGAATTAATTGTCGTCTCTTCAAGCACAAGAAATGGATCAATGCAATGCATTTAGCCTTTTGAAGGGCATGAAATCGTCTTCATGATTGATTTATTGGTCAGATTGCCCCATTCTCTTCATAAATAAAAAGAAAATATAACGGAGAATATCAGAATGAACGCATTATTCCCTGGATTGTCCATTTGACTGAACTCTAGATAATAATGCGTTCATCGAATTTATAATAAAATGAACTGGAGGAATAGTTGATTTCACTACTTTGTAATAATCGTGCTATTAGAATTATTCAGGGCAATCTGACCGATAGATTTTATTCATTAGTGATACCCTCATCTATGGACAATTGAATAAATCGACTTGAGGACAAGTAGAATGAGTATAGAAAATTATGATAACTACACTCTTCAATGAATAATTGTGCAATTAATTATATTTTCTTTATGCACAAGATATGCATTAATTTTCATCCCTTTGGGGCACATGAAATCGTCTTCATGGTTGATTATTGGTCAGATTACCCCATTCTTCTCAAAAATAAAACCAAAATATAACGAGAATAAACGCATTATTTCTTCACTTGTCCATCATTGAACTTCACAAAAAATAATGCGTTCATCCAGCTTATAATAAAATGAACTGGAAGAATAGTTGAGTTGGCTACTTTATAATAATCGTGCTAAATTTCTATATTCCAGGGCAATCTGACCGGTAGATTTTATTTATCAGTAATTCATTGACAATCGATTAGAGAGGATATCACTGGATATTGTGACATTAATTACAATTTTTTTATGCACCAGGAATTAATCAATTTTCGTCCTTTGGGGGCATGAAATTGTCTCCACAGTTCATGTACCGATCAGATTACCCCATTCTGTTCAAGAATAAAATAAATGTATAACAAAGAATGTAAAATTGAACGCATTATTTCCTCACTTGTCCATCGCTGAAGGCCATAAAAAATAATGCGTTCACCCAGTCTATAATAAAATAAACTGGAATAATATGGAGTTGAGTTGACTAACCATGTGCGGTATTCTCTGCTGCATAATCTGGAGATCCTCGTAACTGTACATGGGCTGTTGGAAGGCATAAGGTACACCTTGTCCCATAATATACTGATGGCCCAGCATCGGCGTCATACTACTAGCTGCACCTGCTCCACTTCCTGTTATACTTCCAGTCCCGCTGGCACCAGATACTGCACTGCCGCTGGATGTGCTTTTTGGCACTGCTGGAGCATTATTATTATTTATTGTGATTGAAATTGAAGGGCATTAGTGGTGAGGGAATGAAAAATGAATCGAATGCTTTCTAAAGTGGGTTTTTCGGGGGTGTCTCTGGATCTCAAGGAGATTTTCATGAGAACAGCTTTTGTAGGATGACTGAAGAATTGATATTGTTAAAATTTAAGGCCTTTTGTATGAAAAAATAATGAACAGGAGATTTTCTCCCCAGAAAATAATTCACAATGACTGAATTCATCGGAAAATTCGACGAAAAATCAAGAAATGACTCAATCTCCAGTGAAATTTCGCAACAAGGCTCAAATAAATTATTTCAATGATCTGCACAATTTGACAATTAACTCAGGACATTAAAAATGAAAGAATAAACAATGAATCCGATTAATTCTAGTATTTTTTTTGTGAGTGATAACAATTTTTGTAGAAAAATTGCAGAATTAATACTAGTGAAAATAAAGAGATGGAAATAATGAGATACTGAGAAAGTAATTGATAAAAAATTAATCTTCTTCTCCTGAAATAATTGTGAACTGACAGTGAGTGAATTTAGCTGAAATATTTCACTGAAATCATGAAATAGCCTCAATCTTCACTGGCATTTAGCAGCAAGACTCAAATTCATTGTATAAACAACTCTCACCATTTGAACTAGTCACTTTAGTCTGTGAACTATTGACAGAGGCTGATGATAGACCCAAGGATGGGGCACTCGTCGTCGCAAGGGACCCACTGCTTGTCGTTGCATTGTTATCATACTGGGAGTCCTTGCTCGAGCCACTGTTCAATTTTGTGTGATTGTGGGCAGTTGCTTGGGGCTGAGTACTGTAATTTCCGTAACCACTGCCGTATACCTGTGACCAGAGAAATTCCACGGTCAATGATATCGTTGCTATTACCATTCACTCGTGAATAATAAATTTTTAATGCGGGATGTTGACGAGTTTAGCGAGCTTTGTTTATCATTTTGATTGAAAATCTAGGGAATAGTAACGTTTTTCATCTAGATATTGCTTTTGGATGATGGATTAGCCATCGACTTACACCAAAAAATTTATTTTATGGAAAAAAATGAATACAATTGGTAAATGTTTCATTTACCAATTTTATTTTCAAATTCTGTTCATAAAATTAAAACAATACCCGATCAAAACTGGCAATAAATTCCTAAAGATTACGATTTTTTCCAGCAAACAATCAACTTTCAACAATATTCATAATTTTCCTAGAAATTCATTTCACGCTCGTAAATTATTTTTCCAATCTTTCAACAAACCCCATTATTTATTCACCAAGAAATGTCCATGAATATTTTCCAATTTTCCTCAAGCAATTTTCGACAAATTCAATGATGAAGAAATCTCCAAATCTTTAACGTTAACAATATAAATTCATACAACTTCCCTCTCCCAAACGCAAAGCAATACCTGGCCCCCCAAAACCCCAATAAAACTCACCGAATGTGCACTCTGATAAGCACTGCTGCTGCCCTGCGTGATCGGTGATGTGAACGTAGTGCCAGACGGTTGATAGGCCTGTGGAGTGCTCTGAAAGCTCGAAGAGCTCTGATAGCTCCCGCCCTGATAACTGCTATTGGACCCAGCATTAGTCGACTGCGTTGTGGACTGATACTGTCCAGTGGTAGTGGGCACAAAGCTGTTGGACTGATAAGCCTGATTGGAGCTAGCAGTTTGATTGTACCCAGAAGCACTCGACGACGACGGAGCGGAGGGCGAAGCTTGACTGAACGTAGATGGATTGGACTGAGGATACGATGAACTCCCACTGTACCCCGACTGCGTAGTAGTCGTGGTGTAATTATTGCTGCCACCAGTCGACGATGGATAAGACGACTGTCCAGACTGGCTCCCACTGGAAGAGTAGTTGTAGCTCGGCGTATTGGTCGACTGATAAGAGTTCTTCTGTGAATACGTTGTGGTAGCAGCCCCACTATTGCCATACCCAACACTGGCATTATTAGGTGACGGAACAATCTGGGAGGATGCATTGTAACTGCCCTGTTGTGCTGTGTCAATCTCCAGTGAATTAGAATTAGTCGTTGAATTGACCCCTGACGACGTGACACTGGAGGTGACATCAATCCCAGTAATACTAGTCCCCGATGAGTTATACTTATCAGTTGTTGTGCTATCGATATTCCCCGTATCACTGCTAAACTCCATTGCACCGAATTGCACGTCTAGAAAGCCTATACTACTATTAACATCGCCAGGCATTTCAACAGCGCTCGAGGGTATCTTCGAGGGAGGTGGAACACGAGGGCGTTGTTTAGCTGGCCTCTGGGACTGGCTGGATATCCCAATGGAGGTGAATGCAGATGGAGTCTTGTAATTCTCAGACGACTGTTGAGTCAATTGCGTGAGGTACTGGCTCTGTGCTGCTGTCAGTACACCACCGCCCACAGTGCTGGCTTGAGACATCTGGAGCTCGGGAATGCGGAGTTGGGGCTGTTGCTGCTGGCCCTGGGACTGTGACTGGATCAGGGGTGGCTGTTGCTGGATGAGAGGTGTCTCCAGTTTGGGGTCCTCGGTGATGCCAATCGGTGGGTGCTGAATGGGCTGGGAGCCGAGGGCTTGATCCGTCTTGGCTTCTTCGGCTGGCTGATCGCCCATTGCTGTGCTCGGTGTGAAGACTTTGGTGTCAGCGAGGGAACCAGTGTACTCCTCAGCCTCCCAGTCTTCAGATGGCTCCAGGTTGCTCCAGGGGTCGATCTTGGGCTCCTGGCTGCTCTGCTGCTGCTCCTCGCTGCCCGTCCAGGTGTCAATGGGACGATTGAAGCTGTGGGCAGCTGACGAGGAGGCTGAGTCACGGTTGGCGAAGGTACGGGGCCCTAGACCTCGGCCACCACCACGACCACCACGACCTGATCTGCCTGGACCACCTCGGCCACCACGTCTACCACCACTGTAGCCACTCTCACGCACGTTGTCCTCCATGTTGCGCTCGTTCTCCTTGTTCTCCCGTCCACGCCAGCCACGATTGTCGTGATTTGCACGACCCCTCAGACGCGGGGGACCACCGCCGCGCTGATTACGTCGCTCCTCCCAACCGCCTGTCTCCTCCTGATCCCCTGACTGATCGGTCGTCGGCTTTGAACCACCTGGCTGGCGGGCTTTCTTCTTCTTCACCTCCCACTCCGCTGATACACCCTCGAGGAGATCGTTCACAGCACGGTCGAAGTCCCAGTCGCTGTCGTGGAGGGCCATTATCACTTGGTCCTCCGTACGACGAGTCACCTCCATTGCTTGCTTTATCAGCTCCTTCACCGCTGGGTCCTCGCTCACGCCCGATCGAGTGTCGATTATTTGTGCATGCTTCGATTGATCCTTCGACTGGGGAGAAGGGCAGCGGTTTAGCTCGCCGTGATTTTTCAGGGGATACAGTTCTAGGGGGGCGCACGGGTTCTTCGATATTTCGAAGGGAATATTGGGGGGTTTTTAGTTCGTCGGTTATTAAGGATGTTCTACACCCTTTCTGCCAAAATTCACGTTTTTTTAATTTTTCTGGCAAACTTATGATGGAATTGACGTGAAAAAATATAACGTTTTTGCGTTTTGTCATTATTCAATGACTGACGAAATTTTAGGGTGGTGCGAACATTTTCCTGCGGTTTCTATAAACTTTTAAAAAGAATCACAAAACTGTAGAAAAAACGCATGAAAATTATCGCACCACTACGCAACTTCGTGAGCCATTAAAGAATGACAAACCACAAAATCGTTATATTTTTTCACGTCACTCCCATCGATAATTTGCCAGAAAAATGAAAACAACGTCAATTTTGGCTAAAAGGGTGTCGAACATACTTAAGTATGGAGAAGTTTTGAGGAAGTGGTCATTTATGGTGCGTTGGAATGTGATGCAGACGATTTTTCATTGGCTATCACCTCTCAGGTTCTCATAATTTTTTAAAATATGAAAATATGGATCCACAATTTTTTATCCAATTTTGAAAATTTTGAGTGTTTGATTTTTCAGATTGTTGAGGATATCCAAGTACTGCGGCAATTTTTTGTCCAGTGTTTTTTTTCCAGATAAACAATTCAGTAGCGAAGCGGTAAACCGGGTTAAGTCGATTTTGACTCTTGGCCCGTTTTTGACGAATATCTCGGAATCTAAAAGAGATAGAAATTTTTTGTCATGACCGTTTTATAGCTCTGAATTGGTTCTACAAAAAAGGTCATGAGAAAAATTTTGCTATCTCTCTTAGGTTCTGAGATATTCATCAAAAACTGATCAAAAGTCAAAATCGACTTAACTCGGTTTACCGCTTCACTACTGAATTATAAAAATTGGCTTTTTAGAGAAATACGGAATTTAAAAAATTAATACTTCTCTCAAGCAAATGACTGTTTGACAAAAATAATTGTTTTTCTCAGCGTCCACAAAAAAGGAGTCCCCACTTCCCCTAAGTTAAATCCTCCACTAGCTTCAGCTCCCCAAAACCCCCAAAAATAGGGGAGGGTGGGGTGAAATGGACACTTTTGACTTTTCTAAAAGTATTCATAACTCAGAAACAGATTGATCAATTGAGCTCAGCCTAGTCTCATCACAAAGAGGAATCATTGTTTTCCAATTGAAAAATAAAATGATTCCATTTCGTGAACACTTCAACACGTCATGAATATTCCAAAAAAAGTCAAAAGTGTCCATTTTACCCTACCCTCCCTCTACTGAAAAAATTCCCCGCCCCATGCCACCGAAAAACCCCAATATTTACCTGTCCTTTGTCATGTTTAGCAGTGTCTGTGATCTTCGAATGATGCTGATCTGATTTACCATGCTGCTGAGATGATTTATTCTTGTTAGTGCCTCTCCCACCGGAGGACACCAACGATTTATTACCGGAGCTCATGATTCAAGTTTATTTCCGCCGGTCAGGTTGTGACGAAAATGGCTATTTTCCCCTGCAGACCTTAACTAAATCACCCCCTCAGGCCTATCACACCTATGTACACTTGCTATTTACAATCTGCGAACACAAATCATAACCAGAATTATCAGTACCCCGCAATCCCCAGCACTCGACAGCACCATATAAACCACCGTGTTTACAACAAATCGTTATCACTCATGCATTCGGGGACTGAAAAAGGTGTCGATGTGCATTCCCAGGTACGCCGGTACCTCGACAGAGCCCCCAGCGGTCCCCCCAGTCCCCCTAAACCCCCGAAAACCCCAATCAACCCGAAAAACCGAGACAATTGCTGTTTCCACGTGGCCAGATCCATCCCCAAATCAACAATTTGTCATTCAGCCCCTGATAATCGTAACCACACCATTGTCCCCGAGACCCCCCGGACAATTCCAACCTGTTCATCTCACCTCGACCGTCTCCACACACCCCAGACCAGCGAGATCCCTCTCCACCCGACACCACCGCCAAATGAAAAACGTAAAATCCTGGCAAAAAAATCCGAAACAATCAAGTCGCGATGTCCCAGCTCTCGACCATGTGCACGACGGACGCCATTTGTGGGTAATACATTTTTTTTTCTCCTACGAAACTTAAAAGTCGGGGAGGGGATGGAGAGGAGGGACTCGAGGCCTTGTCAAGCTCCGAGGTTTTCGAGAATTCCGAGGTGACGCACGACAAAAGCCCTGAACAGTCTCGTTTTGTCGGCTCAACCGAGGCCCATTGCCGCGACCAAGCGAGAGTATTTGCTGGAGGGAATGGCGGATTTCTGACCCGATGAATTTTCGCAGCGAACACCCACGTTTTTTTCTCTCACCGTTAAACTCACCCCCCTGAGGCCCCCGCGATTTTCAGACACCATTCGGGGCCCTCTGACCACCCCCCGGGGGCTATTTACCTCTCGATCCGGCGGCGTTTTCAAGTAATGAGGGAAAAAGATAAATAAAAACAACGTATCTAGGCACCCCCCCGTTGTACCTGAGTTAGTGCGCTCAAAACGCAGCACGAGTCACGTGACCAACGTCCCCGGCGTTCCCCTGACTCCCCTTGTCCTGTTTGTAACAATCGAGAGAGCGACGCTACACTTGGATTTTTCACTCATTACCCCCCCTCCGGCCCCCCTCGATTTACCGACAATTGTCCACTCTTCGCGCACTCGGCGGACGATTTTTACTCGGGTTTTGAGGGCCCTTGGCCGTTTTGATGTGAAGATTAGCGGAGCTTGGTTTTTTTTTCAAGTATTTTCAATTACAATCTCACCTGAAACGTCGACGACTCGGCGTTTATTGGGTGATACTTCACGCCGACGAGCGGCAGGCGGCGAACGTGAGGGGAATGATGTCCCTAGGGCGGTGGCTCTCCGTCACTAGGGCGATGGCATTGGTCGGCGGATTGGCTTTTTGGAAACGCGCTTGAGGTGGAAGTTTTGTGGGGGAGTTCTTCGGAATTTTTGTAACCTCTTGTGCGGTGCAGTTGCTGTTGGGGTGCGATTTTAATTAGGGGAGATTTTTGGGGCCAAGTCATGCCACGATTTCCACTTCATGCCGCCTCGGGGACTGGGGTGTACTTGGAATGTCGTAAGAAAGTCATTCGGTTTGTTCGGTACGGCTGTGCGAACCGGCCGTTCTTTCATATTGTGGTCATGCCTGTAAGTTCATGATTGTTTACTTGGCTGATGATGAGGAATTTGTTGGTAATTATTGGTGAATGGGATTATGGGTGAATGACTGAAGGGAGTTATTAGATTGTATCGGTAATTATTGGGGGATGTTAATGAGTCATTCATTATTGTCGGTAAGAGCGAGGTACAGGGACCTAACACCGTATTCCTGACCAATTGTACGATTTTAATGCAGAAGATTGGATTTGGAAAAATGGAAAAAATTGGTGAACTTCACTTTGCCAATTTCCAGTTGTTAATGATTGTTAATCATGAATAATTAATCAACTGATTATTTAATGAATTGATTAATAATATTTTTTATATTGTCATGAGTGTAAATTTATATTTATTTACTTTGTCAACAATGGGGAATTCATTGATGAATGAATGAGGGAATGAATTAGATGATTAATTCCCATCAATAATTAATCAACAAATTATTTGACTAATTAATCACGACGTTCATTCTCCAGTCATGAACGTGAATTCATCTTCATTTACTTTCTCAAACGTAAACTTCACTGATATTGAGATGAATTAATTAATTAATCATCATAAATAATTATTGATTGACACTGATGATTGATCAACGACATTGTGCTTGTGCCCAGCCTAAAGTAGAGCAGAGGAAGCCGCCCATAGAGCAGCTAGGGACGTACGATCCAATGCCAAACAAGTTCAACGAGAAACTGGTGGCTCTCAACACCGAGAGGATAATGTTCTGGCTGGGGCAGGGGAACGTAGAGATCTCAGAGCCCGTCGAGGAGCTCCTAGGTATCGCTGGGTTCCTGCCGATCCATCCCAGAACGTACATCGCAGCCTGGCGGGCCAGGAGAAAAGCCGAGGAGGAAGCAGCCAAGGCGAAACAGGAGGAGGACGAGACTCCCCAGACTCAGGAGCAGAGCAACTGATGATCATGCCGTTGGTTATCGTGTAAATAGGTTCATTATTGTCATGATAATTATTAAATAAGAAATACTTTAACGAACGACTCAAGTCTCCTTTTATTATTATCATCAACAATATTTGTCACCCTGTTATTTATTTATTTATTCATTTTTTCGTTTCTTTAGACAAAATAGAGAAAGCTTGGAGTCAGAAAAACCCAATTGTTGGGCCCAATGGCCTTGAAATCTAGTGAAAACTGTGGCTTACAAAAAATTTATGAGCAAAATAATCGGCTGCATTTTGCCACCTTCAAGGGGAACGTTTTCAAATAAAAAACTACGAATTTAAATTTAGAAAAAAATATTCCCCAGGTGAGGCTCGAACTCACAACCCCGGCATTGCTCACGTAATTACTGTCTTATAAGTACCGTGCGCTAACCAATTGCGCCACTGGGGACAGTAGCCTGGAGCCCAGACATTATTCTCCACTTGAATTCTACCCCCACTCCTCTTATCACAAGCTTCGACATTCGTTGGATTTAACGATGAAAACAGTAAATACTTTATTTAGGGTCTAGAATGGTCGTAGATATCAGTCAATGCTCGTATGCGTTGACAGCTGTGCAGAGCTCACTCCAGAGGGTCTCCAGCTCTTCCTTTCTCAACCCCTTCTTGCAGAAGTCCTCGAGCAGTTCCTGATTCTCCTGCACGAAGTCTGAAAATTGAAGAAACAAATCTGTTTTGAACAAAAGATTCCCATTTTATTTCAACTGAGAAAAGTAAACACTTCTATTTTATTCTAAAGAAAGATTTTAGACGATTCTGTTCTAGAAATATTATTAATAATCAATTGTTTGATTATTTATTAATTATTTCATTGTTTGTGAACGTACCACCTTCAATCCCATCGATTTTGAAACAATGATCGATTGCTCTCGTCTTGGGGTTAAACTCCGTTGTCCATAGGAAATTAACGTATTGCTTCTTCGATGATGCTGGGGAGTGAATGTGGATGGTGTAGCCTCCAGTTCCACATTTATCTACTGTTATGAATTTCTGGGGATTCAGTTTATCCAGAATCTTCTGGCGAACTATGCACTGATCATTGTATTCACTGAAAGCTGCGAAAGCATGAGAAGTCATCATTTGGTGTCGATTTTCTCCAATTTTTGTTGGTCATTTTAATAATTTGGAGAGAAATTTCAAGGATAACAAAACATGCTGCATAAACTCTTCTATTAAACCGCTCAATTGTCCATGAATTTTCTGGATTGATTGTTGCTTTCAAATTTATTGATCTGGGAATGCGAAACCCTGAGTGTTTTGTCATTTATGGTGCTCACCAGACATCAAGTAAGTCATCTTTTTAGCTCTCGTGAACTCGGCAACCCAGGGAGTTATCTCTTGCAAATGACAGTCGACAACTTTAACGAAACGACAGGTGATATCCAGGATTTCGTTGTCCACTCCATCCTGTGGGAAATTCCAAAATTATTCTGACAATTACAAATTAATTTGTTTGACTGATTCATTCGGTGGCAATTCTCACCTTCAAGTCGACAGTCAGATCCAAATTGAATTTCAGGACCTTCATAATAACTTTTGAAGTGTAATTCCACACATTGTCCCTCAGCCACTTCTTGTCGACGTTCTGGAAGGAAATGCCAGTCGCTTGCTGAGTGGCGTCCACTAATCTCACTATAAATCGCTCTTCGTCGTTTGAGGCCTTTGGCAATGCTTCTGGAGGGGGTTCTCGTGATAATCTCTCTCGAATACTGTAATAAAAAGAATTTCCACAAATTTTTCTTATTGTAGATTTTCTTATTTTTCTTATTTGTTTTATTAAAAATCACTGCTTCGTCAGCAAATGTCTCCAGCTTTAATTCGTCAACATGTTTTAGAACTGAAGGGAATTATCGTTGGATTACTATTTATTATTATCATTCTAGTAGCGAAGTGGTAAAACGGTTCAAGTCGACTCATCTCCCAGTTGAGTTTTTCAGGAATATTTCCGAATCTAAGGGAGATTTGATCAATTGAAAGCCCGAGTTGAAGACCCGAGTTTTTAGCAGAGATATCAGACAAGATATGAATGTTTTTTTGGGCTCAAATGAAAGAGCGGATCGAGGAATGGCATGCTAGGGCCTCTGAAGATGGTTTTGAACCAGGGGAGACTCCTAGACCCCATTGTCCTCCTAGACAGTGTTGTCACAACTCTGCTTTTCAGTTGAAAACAGACATCATCTTTAGAGACATTTGTCATGTTTAGACAAATAAATAAATGATAATTGCATGCCTGTGGATTCAAAAATTCGTTATCGAAAATACTCACTCGTCTCCTAGAAGAACTTTCTTCTGCTTGTTACCCGAATTCTTCTTCTGCTCCAATTTATCTCGCAACTGCAGCACTCTCTTGATCAACTCGTCCTTTTTCGCCCGCAGTTGCTTCAACTCCGCGTCCTCATTCATCTCGAAAAACAGTGGAACTGTTTGTTGAATTTTCTTTTGTTAGTTTCCGATCGTGTCACAGAAATTGAAGAATGTAAACAACTTTTGCGATACAAAGCTGGTATTGGAGTTCGGCAAACTTCAAACGTCAGACTGGGCAACATCGGAAGTCGAATGTTACTACGGAAATTCAATTTGAAATTGATTATTGCTGCAATCAAATCACATTTTGCAATAAATCTTCACTACCCGTCAATTATCTCTCCAACCTTTTCTCGTTATGAAGAAATCATAAAAAATTATTTAAACTTCTGGAAATTTCATTTTTCCATGAACTTGATTTTTTAGAATATTTTTAATACTCATGAACTTGTTAAACGTTTAAAAAATTATTTCTGTGATACAAAATTCATTTTTACCAATAATAATGCCAACAATTGTTACTTTATATTTTTTGCTTGACTTTTTTAATAAAAAAAATGACGGAAAACAGTAGGAAAAACTTGGAAAATTTGTATCGAGGAATTCCTATAAAAAATGTCTCAATAGAAAAAGAAACATAGAAAGATGGAATTCTATTGTTTTTTTTAAATTTGATTATTATATTTAAACTTTTTCGATGAAAAAACGCGCAGTGAAGCTGCGGAACTCTTTACTAGAATAAAAAACTAAATAAAATTTTCAATAGAAGTTCAATAGAAGTGCAATAGAATTTTCTAGCGAATTCGCTGGGTTTATCTATGAAATTTTCAATGAAAGGAAAATAATTGCAGTTCCTCAGATGGAAATAATAGTGCACGAATGGTTCTCCCAATCTAACATCTGAAGTATGTCGACCCCGCCACCTGAATTTATCCCCCCATTTCTCAGTTTTAACCTCGGAAACTACCGCAGCAACAGTCGTAAACAGCAAGGATGATTAACAGGTTGATAAGAAGTGGCGGCGGGATCGGAAAGAGGTAAAATAGTTCTTCAATCTCACTCTTTATTTCGCTCCCTCCGACGAAAGTAAAAATTTTTGCAATCAACGGTCATTTAGTTTTTTAAATTGTCACTAATTCTCGGATCTGATTAAAAGTGATATAATTAATGTTAATTAAATGTCAATTGAATAATTTCTATTAACAGAAGGGGTGAATCAACTTAAATATCAATTAAACCAATGAATAAAGTCATCATTTTTTGTCTATTAACTACAATTTTTGTTGCAAATTTTGGAAGTTGTAAGGAATTTAGAATTTATAAGTTGAAGGAAGTTCGAAGAGTAACAAAACATTCCGCATGAATTCTCCAATCAAATAAATTAATTTACCCGTGAAAAAATTTTTTTTCGCATCTATTCTATTAAAATTATGGAATATCCCCTCGTTTTTAAATAGATAATTGTTCATATAAAAATGTCTAGATGTTGATTTTTTAAATAATTTATTCTGTTGGTATTTTTTGTAAAACAATTCTTCTGCATGATTTTTCAAAGTTGTTTTTACTGAATTTTATTATGAGAAAAAGATAAAAATACAGTAGAAAAAACCTAAAAAATTTGCCCTCAAGAATTTCATTAAAAGCATGAAAATGTATTAACTTTTTCCAATCAAATATCCCTCAAAGAAATGATGAAAAAAATCATAACTCTCCATACACAGTTCCCCCAGAACTTTTTTTTTTCAATTAAAATGTTTCACGCCTGTTCTGTTAAGGATGTTCTACACCCTTTCTGCCAAAATTCACGTTTTTTTAATTTTTCTGGCAAACTCATTATGATGGAATTGACGTGAAAAAATATAACGTTTTTGCGTTTTGTCATTATTTAATGACTGACGAAATTTTAAGGTGGTGCGAACATTTTCCTGCGTTTTCTCTAAACTTTTAAAAAGAATCACAAAACTGTAGAAAAAACGCATGAAAATTATCGCACCACTACGCAACTTCGTGAGCCATTAAAGAATGACGAACCACAAAATCGTTATTTTTTCACGTCACTCCCATCGATAATTTGCCAGAAAAATGAAAACAACGTCAATTTTGGCTAAAAGGGTGTCGAACATCCTTAATTTTGCCAAAAAAATGAGAGCTGTAGCAAAATGCGAATAAACCCTTCTCCAGATAGCCCATGGAGCCAAGAATCTCGCCCCCAAGCTGAAATGGACCGTGGAGCCGCATCTCAAGACCCAGTCTACCTCCGCCTCCGCCGAGACTACCTGATCATCTACTTGCTAGCAGCCTTCGTGGACTGGCTGCAGGGGCCCTACCTCTACACCATCTACTCCACCTCGAACTACACAAAAGCCGACATCTGCTCCTTCTACATGATCGGCTTCGCCAGCAGTGGAATCTTCGGGGTCCTGGTGGGCCACTTCGCCGACAGCTTCGGCAGAAAGAAGATGTGCATAGTCTACTTCCTCTCGACGATCCTCACATGCACCTGCACGACGTCGCAGGATCGAGGGGTCCTGATGGTTGGGCGGGTCTTCGGTGGCGTCTCGACATCGATCCTCTGCTCGACCTTCGAGTCCTGGTACGTGGGCCAGCACCTCTCCCGTTATCACCTCGAAAAAGACTTGATCAGCACGACATTCGCCAAAGCGACATTCTACAACGGCTTGACCGCAATCTCCAGTGGTTTCGTGTCATCTCTGCTGGTGGACACGCTTGAATACGGTCCAGCGACTCCATTCGTCGTCTCCATCCCCACATCCGTGATCTCAGGGTGTCTCTGCGCCGTCCTCTGGGGGGAAAACGTGGAGATCACCACCAAATCGATGTCTCAGGCACGCAGAGCCAAATTTGTAATATTTAATTACCGTCAAACATTGCAGCCATCAATTAGTTAACATCACTCTTAAATTTTTCGAGTACTCAAGCATCACACGCACGAAAAAATTTAATAGAAAAACCTATCGAATTCTTAGAAAATTCTGTTGAATTTCTAATTCTTCAATTCTAATCCAATTCTTCATTTCTAATTCTAATTTTTCAGTACTTCACCCACAGAATAATTTTTATTAATCCTATAGCCCCATTTGAAGTGACACTGATTTAAACTTTAGAATTAAATTTTATTCTTTATTCCTAGGATAAATTTGAGATACTCTCCCGGGTAAAATAATCCATCGAGCATCCAAATTTACTTTTTTTCTTATCTGACGTTTTCGTTACCCGGATTCGTTACCCGGATTATCGTGCCGGGTCTATTAATATTACATTATTTGAAAAATAAGATCAACATATTTTAAACCTTCGTTAATGTAACAGTAAAATTCTCGTGATATTACAGAAATTTAATGTTGATGGGGATCCCTGGTCTCAGGACATCTTCAGGGGCTTGAGAATCATCTTCTCGAGGAACAGCAGAGCCCTCATTTTCCTGGGGGTCGTGCAGATAATCTTTGAGACTGTCATGTACGTCTTCGTGTTCCTCTGGACTCCCGTACTCGAACCCATCGACCCCAGCTTCGGTCTCGTCTTCGGGATCTTCATGATGTGCATCGGAATTGGGAGTTCTCTGCACTCGTTTTTCGAGGGGCATTTAGGGGTTCCTGTGGAGACTCTACTCTCCTCCAGTGTTCTGCTGGGGCTGGGGAGCATTGCCACCTGCACGGTGGGGGTTCATCTCCAGGAAGAGGAGGGGTTCTTGTACTTTGGGAGTTATCTGTGTTTGATTGGGTTCATGTTCTTTGAAATTGCGGTGGGGATGTACTTCCCGGCTGTGGGGTTCCTCAGGGGCGTCGTCGCTCCTGAGAGCCTCAGGGCTAGTATCGTCAATTGGATGAGACTGCCCTGCAATTTCCTCGTTGTTGCTGTTTTGTTTTATATTAGGGTTGGGGGGAGTGATAACCAGTTGATGTTTGCTGGTAGTGCTGTGGGACTCGGCTTCACTGCCCTTTATTCTTTCAAATTTGCCAGAGCTTATGAGGGGAAGGACCGGGGGGAGCGGCAAGGCTGCTGTACTTTGAGCCTTTGAGGGAGATTTGGGAGAGAGAAAATTCTCGAGTCAAGAAGGGATAGGTACAATGGGAGAATTATATAGTTATAATTAATTACATTAGATTTTTTGTGAGGGGAGAGAATATTCTCGAGTCACGAAGGGATAAGATCCAAGAATTATATATTTATCAATTTCAAAGTTCTCAGTTCAATGACAGACGAATCCCTGGATCTAAGCGTAGCGAGTGGGGCAAAATGAAACAGTCGAGAAACGACTGTTTGGCGCAATTCAAGCGAGAAAAATTTTATTATCAACTTTTTTTCATTCTTGGGAGTATGGATGGGAATAATAATTTTTTATTCAGTACAATGGAGAATTATTGAGGAGTTTTGACGGGAGAAGATTTTGTCAGTGGATTAATTGAGAAGAAAATGAAAAGGAAAAATCCAAAGTCCAGGGCAAGGCCCAGGGGGAGACCCAGAGGGGAAGAGGAAAATGTCATGCTGAATTTCAGTCGAATAATCCGTTGACAAAATCTTCGCGCATCAAAACTTCTGAATAATTTTTCGTTCTACTGAATGGAAAATTATTATTCTCATCAGTATAATTTTTTTTTTCAATTCCAGCATAAATAATTTACTTTATTTAACTTTTTGCTTGAATCGGGTCAAACAGTTGTTTTTTCACTGTTTCGTTTTGCCCCACTCTCCCCTATATATATTAATCAATTCTAAAATTCTCAACTCAATAACACAAAACTCTCTGGATCAAATATAATATTACTATTCCTGATTGAAGAACATTTTCTTCTGCGCATGGATACGTTACGATATAAAAAAGACTAATTTTTACGCTGGCATCCAGGGGATCGTTACATGGCCTTACTAGATTAAGAAGAACTAAGACTCCACAGATCAGTACAAATACAATCTGTAATAACAATATAGATCTTGAATTGTCCTACGCACTTTACCAAATGATATTTTCCAACGAATTTACCGCTGAATTGTTGAACGAAGACGTAGAGCAGTAGAGAATTTTCAAATATAAATGAAATTGTTGTGAAAGTATACTGTTAATACAACAATATTTTCCCGCACATGCCTTACGAACAAAAATGATTTTTATGATCGAATCTAACGGATCGCTGTGGCCTTATTAAACTCAGAGGAAATCCAAAGATTACTACAATTTTCTCTGTAATAATACTCCAAATCTTGACTCGTGCCACTTGACGAATGATTTTTCGAGTGAACTTTACGCACAATAAAAATTTTGGAACGAAAATCCTCTTTTGTTTTTATTTATGAACTTATGACAGTTTCGAAGATGTCAAGATGATGACCAGGATATCCGCTATTTTATCATTCTCGATGTTTGAATAGAATGGATGTCTGTTGTGATGTGTGTCAGATATCGAGTGGACCGAGTGAATACGATGTTTACCACCAGTCAGAGGAGTGCCCCTTGACGAGGGATCAGAGCACCAACTGCAGAAGCTCCAGCTGCATCTGGAGATTTAGGATCTTCACGTGGTGCTTGGCTGTCATGTGCCTCGTCATGATCGCGTATCTCATTTATCTGCACTCGTTGCTGGGGAGCTCCAAGGATTTTCTCGATCACGGGGCAGTGGCTGCGGACAATGTCAACTGCTCGAGGCTGGGAACCGACATTATGAAGGACGGGGGCAATGCCGTCGACGCCGCGGTGGGGGCTATGCTCTGCATGACCGTCGTTGCTCCTCACAAGACCGGTTTAGGAGGGTAAAACACTTTTGTGATGAATTTTTACGGAATGGTAATTTTTCGGGGGCTCACAGCGATCAGGAATATATGCAGTGTCGTTCTAGGGGCGGAATCGCCATTGCTTACGGAGGAGGGGATGAGACTGAGCCTTTGGTTGTTGATTTCGCTACGAACACCATCTCAGGTTCATTAAAACATTTTTACGTTGAAGTTTTTCATTATTATTGATGCAGTTAATTGGAAGAACTAAATTTTGGAAATTTACATTTATGAATTTTGAGGAATCGCGTACGAAATTATTTCAGAAAAAAAGTGATGGATTCGTTAGAAAATTCTCAAGGGTTTTTAGTTAATTTTTTATCAATTTTTGGCCGATTCAAAAAATCAACAGAATTGGATTTTTCTGCACAACTTAGTCCAGTGAAATATTTTCTGTATAAATTTCTCGTATTTTCTAACTTGTTTTGTTTGATTTTTCGAATGAAGAGCTAATAGAATAGAATATTAAATAATTCATTCTAAGTTAATTAAATAAATTTAGAAAATTCATGTCGAGGAATTCCTGTTGAAAATTTCGATAAGCAATGCTTCTATAGATTTAAATTTCCAACAAGAAATTGCTATCTCGATATTTTAATATTTAATAACACACAAACAATTGATTTGTTCCGATCCTAAAATGACAATCATCACTAGGAGCCCTAGCATCAGGTAAAATAAGAATTCCCTCCGTCGTCCGAGGACTGGAAACCCTCCACAAACTAAAGGGAAGTTTACCCTGGAGTAAAATCGTCGAACCGGCTGAGATTCTAGCTAAGGATGGATTCGTCATCACAGAAGATTTTTTCGAAGAAATTTCGAGAGTCGACCATGGGGCGCTATTCGGATATCTAGAGCCCGGGGAACTCTTAAAATTACCGCATTTGGGGGAGACTTTGGAGACAATAAAAAGTCATGGATCTCAAAGTAAATTATGAACTTCACTGATTCAGAGGCACGAAAAAAATTCATTGAAAAAAATTACGAATTTATTGAAAATTTAATCAGTTTATTTTCCATTTATTTATTTATTTTTTAAATTCATGAGTTATTAGCCCTCTTTTTCTAAATAAAAATGTTGAATGGTAATTATTCCATTTGAGACATTTTCTGCAGAAATTTTTCCACATTAATTCTTCCACATTAAAAGAATCCAACAAAAGCGCCGAATTTTCCCACAGAATCTGTCAAAAACGAATAGAAAACTTAATAGAAATCCAATAGAACTCTCTTGCGAATGCGCTAGATTTTTCTATTGTATTATCTGTATTTTTTCTTTGAGGTCTTTACAACGGAAGTCTGGCCCACAAATTCTTGCGCGATGAGTTCCACGAGGTTCGGGAGGACTTCCTCTCGGCATTGGCGGATTACGAACCGTTGGAGGGGAAAGCAAGGAAATTGCATTTTTACGATCACGTGATTTACGCCCCTGAACACGCGGAAGTACTTCAGTCTGTTTTGAAGGGTGTGGAGCACCTGGGGATTTCGGGGGAGGACGGCTCCTCCGTCGAGTCGCAGTTCGACGTCGCCAGGGTCATGATTGAAATGGACGTTAAGGACCATAACAGTTAGCTCCTCGATATAATCACAATGTCTCAGAGAAAGAATAGCTAATTTTCAGGAAAAATTTACGAATTTCTGAAGTCTGTCATACTGACATTCAGGAAGCAAAAAAATCCGGGATTTCAGTGAATTTTTCACTTGTTTTAAGGGGATTCCATCTAGAAATAAGAAGAGTTTTGACCCTCGAAATAATTTTTCGATGAAATTTAGGGTTCTTAAATTAATGGTTTGGTCTTCTCTGTGGGAATGAAGTCACCTGTTTCTTATTCTCAGAATCACGTCTTCTAAAACCACGAGTTTAGAAATTATTTATCTGGAAAGAATATTATTCTCAACATTGAAACAATTTTTTACTATTTTAGTTGAACAGGAGAGATATACAGCAGTCATTGCAGCTGATGCCAGCCGGAATTTCGTGTCGATATTAACGTAAATATTCTTTCTCGATTGATTTAGTAGTGAACTGAGAGAACGACTAGATCACCTCAGTTCTATTTACTTCCGAATGGAAGAATTGAAACCGTTCTATTTAGATTCTATAATCTTCCTTTTTTTACCCCCGAGGCTTGATATGATAAAAATATCCATATTTTTCATGATAATAATAAGATACCATAATAAATTGTCTATTTACTAGCGGTTTAAGTGCTCCACTGGGTCTGGAGCACATGACAGGAGCTGGCTTCCTCCTGGACGGTCTCGGCGGTGAGTCTGGGAATAATCTCCACGCCCTCACCCCAATAATTTTCCACTCGAGCAAAAACCCAGTGGAATGTTCCGGGGCCCTCGGAGCGGACGACCCCATCCTCGCCACGGAGATCCTATCCAACATAATTCTCAAGAAGCTGAACCTCTCGATAGCCATCGAAACGCAAAGGTGACGAACGCATTCAGTAGCGAACTGGTAAACGGAGATAAAACGACTTATCTTCCAGTTGAGTTTTTGAAAAATATTTCCGAATGGAAGGAAGATAGCGAAATTTTCGTAATGACAAATGTTGTAGCACTTAATCGGCTCCACAAAAAAGGTTATAAGAGAAATTTTGCTATCTTCCTTAGATTTCGAGATATTGATTGAAAACTGGTCAATAGTCAAAACTGATTTATTTCCTTTTACCGCTTCGCTACTGAATTTTAATCACTGCTGAATTCACAGCATCATCTAAATTATCTCGCAGGTATTATCGACTGCCCGATGGAGTCCTCATGGAGCCCAGTGGAAAGTACCCCTTGGACGAGTCGTTGTCGATGGAAATATCGAATTTAAAGCCTGGATCGAGTACTGATATCTCGCATTACGTGAAGAGTGTGAATGCCATTGTGAAGCAGGGACATTCGCTGAGCAGTCACTCTGATAGTAGGGGAGGGGGTGTAGCTTTTAGATACAAATAAATATAATTATTAATTTAATTTAATTTAATTTGGTAATTTTATAGCCGAGGGGGAGTATGAGACTGTGGAGTTATAGATACATCAGATGTATAGTGTTTCCCTATACAAGATGAATTAAATTAATTTTTTTTTGCATTTTCGTTTTTCGCGATTATCTCGGAAACTATGAGAGATAGAGCCTTAACCCCTATCCCATTCGATTCCTGAGGAAATTTGGATTCCGTATAGGCAGAGGGACGGCTCAGAATTGCGTTTTTCCATTTCCTGCACCCCATACAAGATGAATTAAATTAATTTTTTTTGGGACTTTCGTTTTTCGCGATTATCTCGGAAACTATGAGAGATAGAGCCTTAACCCCTATCCCATTCGATTCCTGAGGAAATTTGGATTCCGTATAGGCAGAGGGACGGCTCAGAATTGCGTTTTTCCATTTCCTGCACCCCATACAAGATGAATTAAATTAATTTTTTTTGGGACTTTCGTTTTTCGCGATTATCTCGGAAACTATGAGAGATAGAGCCTTAACCCCTATCCCATTCGATTCCTGAGGAAATTTGGATTCCGTATAGGCAGAGGGACGGCTCAGAATTGCGTTTTTCCATTTCCTGCACCCCATACAAGATGAATTAAATTAATTTTTTTTGGGACTTTCGTTTTTCGCGATTATCTCGGAAACTATGAGAGATAGAGCCTTAACCCCTATCCCATTCGATTCCTGAGGAAATTTGGATTCCGTATAGGCAGAGGGACGGCTCAGAATTGCGTTTTTCCATTTCCTGCACCCCATACAAGATGAATTAAATTAATTTTTTTTGGGACTTTCGTTTTTCGCGATTATCTCGGAAACTATGAGAGATAGAGCCTTAACCCCTATCCCATTCGATTCCTGAGGAAATTTGGATTCCGTATAGGCAGAGGGACGGCTCAGAATTGCGTTTTTCCATTTCCTGCACCCCATACAAGATGAATTAAATTAATTTTTTTTGGGACTTTCGTTTTTCGCGATTATCTCGGAAACTATGAGAGATAGAGCCTTAACCCCTATCCCATTCGATTCCTGAGGAAATTTGGATTCCGTATAGGCAGAGGGACGGCTCAGAATTGCGTTTTTCCATTTCCTGCACCCCATACAAGATGAATTAAATTAATTTTTTTTGGGACTTTCGTTTTTCGCGATTATCTCGGAAACTATGAGAGATAGAGCCTTAACCCCTATCCCATTCGATTCCTGAGGAAATTTGGATTCCGTATAGGCAGAGGGACGGCTCAGAATTGCGTTTTTCCATTTCCTGCACCCCATACAAGATGAATTAAATTAATTTTTTTTGGGACTTTCGTTTTTCGCGATTATCTCGGAAACTATGAGAGATAGAGCCTTAACCCCTATCCCATTCGATTCCTGAGGAAATTTGGATTCCGTATAGGCAGAGGGACGGCTCAGAATTGCGTTTTTCCATTTCCTGCACCCCATACAAGATGAATTAAATTAATTTTTTTTGGGACTTTCGTTTTTCGCGATTATCTCGGAAACTATGAGAGATAGAGCCTTAACCCCTATCCCATTCGATTCCTGAGGAAATTTGGATTCCGTATAGGCAGAGGGACGGCTCAGAATTGCGTTTTTCCATTTCCTGCACCCCATACAAGATGAATTAAATTAATTTTTTTTGGGACTTTCGTTTTTCGCGATTATCTCGGAAACTATGAGAGATAGAGCCTTAACCCCTATCCCATTCGATTCCTGAGGAAATTTGGATTCCGTATAGGCAGAGGGACGGCTCAGAATTGCGTTTTTCCATTTCCTGCACCCCATACAAGATGAATTAAATTAATTTTTTTTGGGACTTTCGTTTTTCGCGATTATCTCGGAAACTATGAGAGATAGAGCCTTAACCCCTATCCCATTCGATTCCTGAGGAAATTTGGATTCCGTATAGGCAGAGGGACGGCTCAGAATTGCGTTTTTCCATTTCCTGCACCCCATACAAGATGAATTAAATTAATTTTTTTTGGGACTTTCGTTTTTCGCGATTATCTCGGAAACTATGAGAGATAGAGCCTTAACCCCTATCCCATTCGATTCCTGAGGAAATTTGGATTCCGTATAGGCAGAGGGACGGCTCAGAATTGCGTTTTTCCATTTCCTGCACCCCATACAAGATGAATTAAATTAATTTTTTTTGGGACTTTCGTTTTTCGCGATTATCTCGGAAACTATGAGAGATAGAGCCTTAACCCCTATCCCATTCGATTCCTGAGGAAATTTGGATTCCGTATAGGCAGAGGGACGGCTCAGAATTGCGTTTTTCCATTTCCTGCACCCCATACAAGATGAATTAAATTAATTTTTTTTGGGACTTTCGTTTTTCGCGATTATCTCGGAAACTATGAGAGATAGAGCCTTAACCCCTATCCCATTCGATTCCTGAGGAAATTTGGATTCCGTATAGGCAGAGGGACGGCTCAGAATTGCGTTTTTCCATTTCCTGCACCCCATACAAGATGAATTAAATTAATTTTTTTTGGGACTTTCGTTTTTCGCGATTATCTCGGAAACTATGAGAGATAGAGCCTTAACCCCTATCCCATTCGATTCCTGAGGAAATTTGGATTCCGTATAGGCAGAGGGACGGCTCAGAATTGCGTTTTTCCATTTCCTGCACCCCATACAAGATGAATTAAATTAATTTTTTTTGGGACTTTCGTTTTTCGCGATTATCTCGGAAACTATGAGAGATAGAGCCTTAACCCCTATCCCATTCGATTCCTGAGGAAATTTGGATTCCGTATAGGCAGAGGGACGGCTCAGAATTGCGTTTTTCCATTTCCTGCACCCCATACAAGATGAATTAAATTAATTTTTTTTGGGACTTTCGTTTTTCGCGATTATCTCGGAAACTATGAGAGATAGAGCCTTAACCCCTATCCCATTCGATTCCTGAGGAAATTTGGATTCCGTATAGGCAGAGGGACGGCTCAGAATTGCGTTTTTCCATTTCCTGCACCCCATACAAGATGAATTAAATTAATTTTTTTTGGGACTTTCGTTTTTCGCGATTATCTCGGAAACTATGAGAGATAGAGCCTTAACCCCTATCCCATTCGATTCCTGAGGAAATTTGGATTCCGTATAGGCAGAGGGACGGCTCAGAATTGCGTTTTTCCATTTCCTGCACCCCATACAAGATGAATTAAATTAATTTTTTTTGGGACTTTCGTTTTTCGCGATTATCTCGGAAACTATGAGAGATAGAGCCTTAACCCCTATCCCATTCGATTCCTGAGGAAATTTGGATTCCGTATAGGCAGAGGGACGGCTCAGAATTGCGTTTTTCCATTTCCTGCACCCCATACAAGATGAATTAAATTAATTTTTTTTGGGACTTTCGTTTTTCGCGATTATCTCGGAAACTATGAGAGATAGAGCCTTAACCCCTATCCCATTCGATTCCTGAGGAAATTTGGATTCCGTATAGGCAGAGGGACGGCTCAGAATTGCGTTTTTCCATTTCCTGCACCCCATACAAGATGAATTAAATTAATTTTTTTTGGGACTTTCGTTTTTCGCGATTATCTCGGAAACTATGAGAGATAGAGCCTTAACCCCTATCCCATTCGATTCCTGAGGAAATTTGGATTCCGTATAGGCAGAGGGACGGCTCAGAATTGCGTTTTTCCATTTCCTGCACCCCATACAAGATGAATTAAATTAATTTTTTTTGGGACTTTCGTTTTTCGCGATTATCTCGGAAACTATGAGAGATAGAGCCTTAACCCCTATCCCATTCGATTCCTGAGGAAATTTGGATTCCGTATAGGCAGAGGGACGGCTCAGAATTGCGTTTTTCCATTTCCTGCACCCCATACAAGATGAATTAAATTAATTTTTTTTGGGACTTTCGTTTTTCGCGATTATCTCGGAAACTATGAGAGATAGAGCCTTAACCCCTATCCCATTCGATTCCTGAGGAAATTTCGGTTCCGTACAGGCAGATGGACGGCGCAGAATTGCGTTTTTCCACTTCCTACACCCTATACAAGATGTATAGTGTGCTTCAAGTAGAAGAACAAGTCACTTGATGTTTTAATTCAAATGAAACTGCTCGTGTCATTGAAAAAATTACGGAATAATGGGAAATCACGAGAGAATAGAATTTTGGAGAAGTTCATTGGAAAATTCTATTGGACTTCTATTGACCTTTCAACAGAAAAGAAAATATTGAATGGAAAATATAAAAAAATTAATTCCATTCGATTTTTCCATTCAACTCATTCTATTGAAATATTTTCTATAGAAATGCACAACTCAAATATTGAGTTCAAGTCACTTAATGATTTAATTCAAATTAAATGGCTTGTGTCATTGAAAAAATTATGGAATAATGAAAAATCAGGAGAAAATGGACAAAAATGGACAAAACTTACAAAATTCATTTCAATACATTCCTATAGAAAATTTATCAATGGAAAAAGTTGTGTAGAAGCCTGAAATTCTCCTGATTCTCTTTATAAAATGATTTCCATTCGACGTTGTCATTTTAAAAAAATGCGCAGTAAAATACGCAACTCCGCAATACAATCAGACAAAAACTAATAGAATAGTTATTGATAAAACTTCAATCCCTCCATCAAGTTCTACCATTCCACAAGACGTGAAAGATGCGAATATTATAAAACTGAAAAATTAATCGATCAATTATTCTGCAAGGAGATAAAGTAGTTTAGTCTTTCAATAAAAATAAATCTGGAGAAAATAAATCGGGAGAAAAATCACGCACAAGACATTGGGGCTGAATTAATGGAGGGAATTAAAAAATTGTACAATTTTCCCTGCCATTTGAAAGAACTGGTCCCGCCCAGAGCCATCGGTTGAAAAATTGGCACGAGTCAAAAAATAACTTGGCCCTCAATTCTGCCAACATTCTCACGATGCCACAGGATTACATATTGTTGACTAGTGATATGGAAGTTTGCACCTGTCTCATAAGGATTTTCACATCGATCACTGATAAATTTCCACTCTGCTATGCAAAACGACTGCTAATGTACACCATAAGTCTGCGAGGGCTCCTTGGCGTAGGTGACAGTAGAAAAATAACAAACTAATTCATCAGATAAGATTATTCAACTCGATTCGTTTATTGTTTAACGTGTTTTACCTAGAAGCAATGAGGAGAGTGACTAATTAACTTTGTGATATTTTTGGAACCTCAGGCCTCGCCTCTATCGCCAATTTCTGCCCCTTTGGTTTGAGTTTAGAGTCTAAAACCCTCTCTCTGTGCTCTTTTTTCTCTCTCTGGATCCTCTCGTGCCTCTTCACTGCGAAATCCACTTCACTCGTGAGCTGTCTCACTTTTTTCTGCAGATGTGGAAATTGAGGGGAAATCAGTTGATTAAAAATAGTGTGGATTATTTTTTTTTTAATAGTTACCAATATTTCCCGCTGCTTGTTGATCCTGTTGAGCATTCTAACTCCAAATGGCGTTGGCCTCCCGTCCGTGTAGGAATAATCTGGCAAGTTTGTCAGGGGACCGAATGCGTTTGGATTTTCCGGCAAACGTTTCCTGAATAGTTGAGGAAATTGATAAAAATTGATGATTAAAAATTAATATTGCGAAAATTAATCACCTGCGGAAAATTTTCAGAGAATAACCCTTCGAATTTGCTAGGAAATTCTGTTCGATTTCTTTTTTTTTTTAATATAAATGTTCGGTGGAAAATATTCTATAAGAATTTGATTTTTTTATACAATTGATTTTATTGAGGGATTTTAAATCTCTCAGCTCAAATTTTCAATTTTTTTAACGAGAGAGGAGAGAAATAGAGTTGAAAGAACTTGGGAAATTCATGTTGAGGAATTCCTATAGAAAATATTGTATTGAAAAACCCAATTCTGATTTTTTCTATAAAACAGTTTCTATTGGACATTTTTTATTTAAAAAATGGCCTAAAACTGCAGATTTTTCAGTAAAATTCTCCAAAAACCAATTGAAATGCAATAGAAATACAATAGAATTTCCTATCGAATTCGCTAGATTTTTAATGAAATTTTTCTGTTTGTGAAACTGTTCTCTTTATTTTTCCATTGAGGACATCTCGTATGGCATCAATCCTCCCTCGTGAATCTCCAGATTTATCAGCTCATGTTTTCAATTGCTAATTCATTCAACTAAAATTAATTTCTACACCGTCAACTCACTTTTGTCGCCAGCTCTGATCCAATCGTGTGACAGTCGTCGTGTGAATTTCCTTCATTGCATGATAAATTCCCCCGACAGCTAATTAACCCAACAACAATAAAACAATAAATAAATTCTATTTTCCGAAAGAACTTGTCAGTGAGAAATTGTCGATAAACTGTTATACTCACGTCTGCAGCACCGAATATTACTGACTAGTCTCCCAATTAACGCCATAACGTCAGAATAATTCCCCCCGAATAATTAAAAAAACGAAAATTCCTAATTTAACTGAACCGGAAGCAATTGCAACTTGTAAATAAACTCGCGAGTTCTTTCTTCGAGCCGAACATAACCTCCTCCCTCTACCAACATCCCCCCTCGAAAGTCTCTGCCTCCAGTCCTCCAACGACGAGAAAAAAAATTCCAACCCCGGGGTTTACGTAATAATCTGGTGACAACCTTTCAAAAAAAGTCGTAAAAAACAGTAGGGAAAAGGGAGTGAGCGAGAGGGGAGTCTCTCAGTTTGACGGGTTTCCTCGTGACAAGAAGACGACTTGTTAAGCCGAAAAATCCAGTAGCAACAATCGGAGCTGTTAACGGAAACTAAATTGTTACAAAATATCGTTTTATTTATGTCAGAGTGGGAGGTCAATTAATTATGGTCTCGGTGATGCAACCGTTTATGGTAAGGGTAACGTGAATATTGAAGCCGGTAGAATCTCCTCGCTGATCAACATCAATGGGGATTATTTATCGTTGTATGCGGGGTACAATGTGTTCTGTCATTTTCAGGATGTCGAGAGTTCGAGAAGCTACATCGACGAGTTGTACTCGCCGGATCCTCAGAAGTGTCTCGAGGCGATAATGTGAGCTCCCAAAACATCAATCCTAACCTTAGTTTCATTCAAATGCTTTATATTTCGACTTTGGTCCCTTAAATGTTCGGATTTGTTGGGGATATCGCGGGGGGACAGCCCCTGCGAGGGAATGGGTCCTCGAAAAATTGTATTTTTGGGATTTTTGTGCTTCGGAAAATGAGTACATTTCACTCGAGTGGAATTCGGAGTTTAGAGAATTTAATGGGATTTTAATTAATCGACTTGATGGACGTTAAATTCCATTTGTTGAGATGACATTTGACTTCATAAAACATTTTTTAGTGACGATTTTTGACTCGTTTCGTGTTTTTATTTTGCATTTTCTCCGGGGGTCAGTTTCTAGTCTTCAGTTCCACGTGACGGAATGAGTTCTTGAGGAAATAGTCATGTCTTTTCATTAGTTTATTTATCTAAAAAATGGTCTGTGTGAAATATGCGGTGATGAGGAAATTGAACTAAATAGGGGAGGTTGGGGTAAAATGGACACTTTTGACTTTTTAAAAAATGTTAATGACAGGTTGAAATGGTGATGAAATTTAATAATTTTTCCTTCAATGCAAAGAGCAATTCTTGCCCTTTGTGATGAGCCTTAACTGAGTTCCATTGACAAATTTATTTCTGAGTTATGAGTAATTAAAAAAAAGTCTAGTGTCCATTTTACCTCACCCTCCCCTACATTAAAATCGTAGGAAAAATGTGACTTGTAGAACTGTTTATAAACACTTTTTACTCAGTCTTGACGTAACGAATCATTTCATCTTCAACTTGGGCTTCTCAATTGCATCTTTGAGTCTTTGAAAAATTATATTTTTTAGATTTTATTGCTTCGGGAAATGAGTACATTTCACTCGAGTGGAATTCATAGTAAAATAATGAAATACGCAGAATTCACCTAATTCAAAATTCAAGAATATGTACCTCAATTTTCTTCATTTCCATCAATTTTCATGATTAATTAAACTGCAACTCGCAGTATTCAGTGAATATTCCCCAGAATGTTGAGTCTACTGCCGAAATCCCATAAAATTACAATTCCACCACACCGCGTCAAAGCATCCAAAAACTCCAGCCCAAATGTCCCCCAAAAATGCTTACCACTCCCCACTCATCGGAACGAACCCACCCCCAATTTTCCAGTTGCCTAAAGAACTCCGTGATAGGAAGCAACCGCCAGAAAGGTTCTGTGATAGCCCAGGGTGTGGTCCCCCGTCTCCTGCAGCTGCTCTCGGACACATCAGGATCGGTGGGCGAGCGAATCCGCCTGGAGTCAGTGGTGACGCTGGGCTCCCTGGGGAAAGGCACGGACCAGCACGTCCTCGCGCTGATCGACCTGGGAGTGGTCCCCCTGATCCTCCAGGTGCTCCTCTCGACGCCGACCTCCCCAGGAAACGACAAGCTCTCGGACCACCTGATCGAGGCGTGCCTCAGATGTCTGCGAACAGTCTTCCAGCACTCGAGTGCGCCAGTGCAGACGATTTACCAGGAGCCAGCGCTGGTCCCCCGCCTGTTGTCCCTAGCCAGCAGATCGGTGACCTGCCAGGTGTGCGTGGCAACGATCCTGACGACAGCCTGCAAATCAGCGGACGAGCAGAACTCCCTGATGAAGGGTGGAGCAGTGGAGACCCTGGCCTCTCAACTGGACTCATCCCTGCCAGACGTCCAGCTGCCTGCGCTCGCCTGTCTCGCCAACATGTGCTACCAGAACAGAACGGTGTCGACGATGGTGGCGAACGTGACGACAGGCAAGGAGCCAAGCCTCAAGCCCCTGCCAGCCCTCCTGGGGAGCCTCATGGGGAGGGAGAGGAGCTCAGTGGTGCAGCTGGAGGCAGCTCGCTGCATCTCCTACATGCACAGGGCTGGGGCCCTCCCCTCGACCGACAGAATCGTGATATATCGAGCCCTGCCATGTCTGGTGAGGCTCTGCCATCGAGACAGGCCTCCCAGGGAGAGGATAGCAGCCGCCGAGACCCTGGCCTACCTCACCGAAGTGGACATCGAGCTCCAGAGGCTGGCCTCCATCAGCAATCACCTTATTCCCACCCTCGCCGAACTGCTGAGGCCCCATCCCCAGGTCCAGGATGCCGCCCTCGCTCAGGACATGCGCCAGGCTGCCTTCCGGGCTTTTGCCTCACTGGGGGCTAACGACGAGGACATCAGGAAGAAGATCATCGAGACTGAGAATCTCATGGAGCTCGTTGTCAGTGGACTGCAGGATCCTGGGGGACCCAGGGTCAGACTGGCTGCTGTCAGGTGCCTCCACTCGTTGTCCAGGAGTGTTCAGCAGCTCAGGACGACCTTTCAGGATCACGCGGTCTGGAGACCACTCATGCAACTTCTTCATGGAGCTGACAAGGGACTCGAGGGCAGGGATGGCGAGGAGGATCTGCTCACTGTTGCCTCCAGTACTTTGTGCAATTTACTTTTAGAGTTTAGCCCCAGTAAAGAGCCCATTCTGGAGTCTGGGGGGGTTGAACTGCTGTGCTCGTTGACCAAACGACCTGATCCCGCGCTCAGGCTCAATGGGATTTGGGCGCTGATGAATGTCGCTTTTCAGGCTGAGCAGAGGGTCAAGTCCCAGATTTTGTCTTGTCTTGGGACTGATCAGATCTTTCGGCTGCTTGCGGATCCGGAGCTGGGGGTTGTTATGAAGGTCTTGGGGTTGCTCAGGAATTTATTGAGCACTAAGGCACATATCGATCGGATTATGGATGAACATGCGGCGCAGGTCATGCAGGCGGTTATTCTTGTTCTGGAGGATGATCATCCCGCTGATGTCAAGGAGCAGGCACTGTGTATTCTGGCTAATGTCGCCGATGGCGACAGGGCGAGGGATCATATCATGGCGAATGAGGATGTTCTTAAGAAACTTATGGATTATATGGTGAGGATGGACAAATTATTCGGCGAATTTGTTGGGTGAGGGGGTTTACGGTCTGCAGTGGCCTTTTTATTATTCTTCGGATTTTTTGGTGGTTGGGGAATTCAGCGTCAGTGATTGGAGGGGAATTAATTCATTTCTCCTGGGAATAAAAACAGGGAATTGAAATATTGATGAAAAAAGGATTTAGAAAACAAAAGTGGCGTTTGTTACAATTTATATTGTTTTGTTTAGTTGCTAGTAATTTGCAGTATATTTTTTTTTCGTCTGAGAAATTTGGAATTATTTAGAATAGTTGGGTTGAGGATTCAAATGAATTCAGTGCCCCAGAGAAAAAACAGAAAATTGAGAATTTTCAAATTTGACAGGAAGAAAAAATCATTTGCAGAATAATAATATTCGAATTTTATAAGGGGTTTTGTAAACTTTTTGATTAGGAATTCATTCATTGATTTGTAGTGTTTTGTTCATCCGGGGTTTTTTCTTTAATAGAAGTAATTATTAGGTTGATTTTTTTGGTAATGGGGTAATGGGGGTCTGTCTTGCAGATGCATACCAATGTTAAACTGAACATTGCCGCTATCTTCTGCGTTTGTAATTTGGTGTGGAGGGAGGAACCTGGTGCTGAGCAGCGTCAAGCGCGTCTACGAGAGTTGGGGTTTTATAGAATTCTTCAGCAGTTGCGGTTGAACAAAGATTCACAGCTGTTTGATAGGTAAATTAAAACATGACGAGGGGAACAGTTCATTGAGTTTCTACTCTTGAAAAATTTTCGATAATTGATTTTGAGGATATCCAAGCCCCTTTTACCTTTTTGGTAATCCCATTTGAATTAATTGATGACGAATTAATTATGAGAATGAATAAATTAATTATGGAAATTGTTCAAACCTGCAAATACATTTTTTTGCATTTTTTTTATTTCGAAAAAAAATAGTTTCGAGTGAAAAATTGATTGTTTATAAATTCTCTATGGAAAAAATTCGTAATCTTTGAAAATTGCAATTCATCGATGACTTTATTTGAAATAATTACAAAACTAAACAAAATAATTTCGAAAACATAATGAAAGTGCTTGGATATCCTCAATAAATTCTATTTCCTCAAGCAGCAGAAAATTAAATATTCAGCCAGGCGAAATTGAATTTTGATGATTTTATTTTTAGGGTGAAGACCGCACTGGCCCAGTTTCTCGATCCGTAAGCCCCTGTGTTACGAAACGCGCATTATTTTTTCAGCTTCCATCATAATCTACTGACTCTCAACCACAAAGTAAAACTCTGTGATTCCCCAAGAAGTAGAGAACGTCGCAGTATCATCATAGAAAGAGAAAACGAAATTAATCACGTTAAAAAAAACAATGATTTTACTGAACTGAGTTTCTCAGACGCCCCTAGTCCCCTCACCCCCTTAATTTATTTGAATAATGAGCTGTTGACCCACGTAAACGGCCAAATAAGTGATTTTGTGAATGATTTTCAATCCATACTGTACAAATTCTTTTTTAATCAGTAACATTGCACCGTCTCGATATATTATATTATTTGTTTTCCAATTTTTATTATAATTTTGTGTATAGTAAATTTTACCATTCGATACTTAACTGACAACAAAGGAATACAGTCATTATACCCAAAAAAAAACAAACTTACAAAATAGGAGATTAAAATCCTCAATTTTCAAATGAAAAACAATGGCGGACTCATGAGTGACTAGTTGATTAACGACATGAAGTAGTTTATATAATTTTTCATTTTCAAATGCTTAAAAATCTTTGGTAGAAACATTAATTCAATGACCTTGAAAAATGCTGTTGGAATGTTGAAGAAATCATTAAGTACAGTCTGGGGTGTTAATGATCGATGAATTGTGATCTAGGCTGGAGCATTGTCACTCGATTTGGATAGACTCTCGATTGGATTGTTCGCAAGGGGATCCAATTCAGCGAAGAGGTCCAGCCATGAATTTCCCTTTTGCTTTCCCTTCTTCGGTTGCTGAAAAAATTCGCTGAATTTAATTTGCAGTCTGTGGAGGAATGGGACGACTGATAGATAGACAATTCATGATTTAGTTTAATTTTTACGGGAAAAATGTCTCAGTAAAAAAAAAATTAACGATTTTTTTTATGAAACAGTTTCTATTGAACATTTTTAATTAAAAAAAAAAGCGAGGTAAAGCTCGAGAATTCTTTAATGGAATCGGCCAAAAACTATTGGAATTTTCAATAGAAATCGAATAGAATTTTCTTCGTACGTTTTTCACTCATAACTTAACGATTTTTTTGTGTAATTATTTTATTCTAAATCTTTCCGAGACCGTGAAAATGTCTATTTATCAGTCATTTCCCTGAGAATATCCCCCAAATCCTCACTTTCTCGTCGGCCACTGGTTTCGACGTCTTCCCAAGTGTCGCATCCCCAAGACTCTGCTTCAGAATCCCCGGAGGCAAGAACGTGTCATTCGCCATGGCATCCCAGTCGGTATTACCTGTCGGTTCGCTATTCAGAATATCATCCAGCAGCTGAAAATTCTCGGAGGTCAAGAGCTGAAGGGACTCCTGACTCGACTCCTGCTGGTTGGAGGACCCCAAGGACGTTTTATCTGTGAAGTCAAAGCTCAAGGGGCCACCGACGAACGAGTCCATCACCAGGTCCAGCTCTGCCAGACTCTTCTCGAGTTCAGTCGTGTGATTGACGTCCATAGGGCGATTGTCACTTCCCTGAAAAAATTTAATGAAAAAATGCTCATCTGGATCGATAACTATTTGGAAGCCTGTGAATAACTTAAAGTTGAATTAACTTATTATGGGAAATTTCATCATTTTTTCTGATCACTTGACAACTCACCGGAGTTTATGTCATCAAGACTAATTTTATCAGCTTATCTGCAGATTTTTTTATAATAGAAATGTTCAATGGAAAATGTTCTATAGAAAAAAATTAATAGAATTCGATTTTTCTCTAGAGTTTATTCTATTGAGATATTTTCTGGAGAAATTCTTCGGCTCAAATTTCAAAAATCAAATTCAAAATTTTTAGTTTCATTTTTTTAGTGAAAAAAGGAAAATAGAGGGGCAAAACCTGGAAAATTCATGTCGACGAATTTCTATAGAAAATGTCTCAATATAAATAGTTGTATGGAAAGGTGAAATTCTACTGATTTTTTCTGTAAAACCGTTTCTATTGGACATAATCTATAAAAAGGCGCAGTGAAGGAACAGGAGCTAATAAAATTTTCAATAGAAGTTCAATAAGAATTCAATAGAATGTCAGAATAAATCCACTCACATTTCCAAAGAACTCCTCCAGCTCTTTATCTCTTGAAACCGTCTTCTGCGCGAGATCAATGGATTCCAGATCAAAGTCCTCTTTACTCTCCTCCTCAAAATCCAACAGTTTATCCTCTTTTTGATCATTCTTCTCCTGAACCTTCTCACTCGGCTTGGCCTCCTGCGCCTCCTCCACGCTGTCCTGATACTCATCAAAAAATAGTAGTTTATCTTTATTCTCATCCTCATCACCACCGGTTTCCTGGGCTAATTTCGTCGAGGGCTCAGCCAGTTCCTTTACAACCATGAAATCGTACCTGCGGATGCAACGAAAAAACAAAAAAAACATTAAATTTACCGTCATATTACACGTCAATTACACGTCCCCCGAAAAAGGAAAAATCTCATGTCATAAAAATGAAAGAAAAAAATTTAACGGTAAATTTTCATCTAGAGAGAGCCCTCGATTATTTTTTCAACTATGATTTTGTCGAAAGTGAGAGCTCATTGTCTTCCCCAGTCTCTGAGACTCAACTATTTAAACTTATATAATATTATTAACTATATAATTACACATCCCCCGAGAAAGGAAAAATCTCATGTAATAAAAATGAAAGAAAAAAATTTAACGGTAAATTTTCATCTAGAGAGAGCCCTCGATTATTTTTTCAACTATGATTTTGTCGAAAGTGAGAGCTCATTGTCTTCCCCAGTCTCTGAGACTCAACTATTTAAACTTATATAATATTATTAACTATATAATTACACATCCCCCGAGAAAGGAAAAATCTCATGTAATAAAAATGAAAGAAAAAAATTTAACGGTAAATTTTCATCTAGAGAGAGCCCTCGATTATTTTTTCAACTATGATTTTGTCGAAAGTGAGAGCTCATTGTCTTCCCCAGTCTCTGAGACTCAACTATTTAAACTTATATAATATTATTAACTATATAATTACACATCCCCCGAGAAAGGAAAAATCTCATGTAATAAAAATGAAAGAAAAAAATTTAACGGTAAATTTTCATCTAGAGAGAGCCCTCGATTATTTTTTCAACTATGATTTTGTCGAAAGTGAGAGCTCATTGTCTTCCCCAGTCTCTGAGACTCAACTATTTAAACTTATATAATATTATTAACTATATAATTACACATCCCCCGAGAAAGGAAAAATCTCATGTAATAAAAATGAAAGAAAAAAATTTAACGGTAAATTTTCATCTAGAGAGAGCCCTCGATTATTTTTTCAACTATGATTTTGTCGAAAGTGAGAGCTCATTGTCTTCCCCAGTCTCTGAGACTCAACTATTTAAAGTTATATAATATTATTAACCATATAATATTCAACTTAAAAATTCAATTTAAAAAATGAGCATGATTCCAAATTTGTCTATCACTGAAATTCCCTAGAATTCATAAGAAATAATAAAAACAATTCGTTTTCATACAGTTCCTAATTAAGATAAGCTTCATCACATTGGATAACTCCACTGTCTGAGAAAATTCTTGAAATTAAACGACACAAAATGCCGAAAGAAAGTCTGAAACCAAAAATGGCGGTCAGTTTCAAACTAAACGAACAATCTTCCACCCCAAACGACGACGAAAAATGACTAACAATTCCAAAAAACAACGGTCACTCTCAATGTCTAAAACCGCAAATGTTGCCTTCTTGCATACCTCTGATACCCCTTGAAGCTGTTGGCAATCGTGGCGTACGCCTGAGCGGATTTCTTCGTAAAATTCAGCAAGGTACTCTGGTACAGCACAAGTGCATGGCTGAACATGTTGCACCTGGCGGCGGCCAGGAGGTCGACCTTCTGGAGGCAGTCGAGGGCCTGATTGTCGAAGGCAGCCTTTCCCCTGCGCACTCTCATCTGGACTTTCCTGAAGCGCTCGAGCTGCTTCGAGGTGTCCGGGTCGAGCTCCTGGGATATGTTCTTCATCCAGGACAGGGCAGCCCGATACTCGGTGCGCGCCTTCTCCATGCACTGGACGTTCTGCAGTGTGTCCTCAATGGCGCGCTGTCGAAAGGTCTCGACCTCCTGGTAGAGCCTCACCAGAGGCGCCCGCAGGGCGAGCCGCTGTTGCCCTGAGTAGGACAACGACTTTCCCACGGCTGACATCATCTTCCCGGCGCGAGTCTTGTCCTGTTTGCCCGCCTCCTTCAGGAAACGGCCCATCGCATTCTCCTCCTGAGCGAGATTGCACAGTCTCTCTTGGTATTTATCGATCACGCGTTGCAGGTAGGAGCAGGACTCCTGGATGCTCCGGAAGAGCTCCAACTTGGCGTCCAATTCGGCGTCCGAGGCGACGATGCACTCGTCCTCCTTTTTACCGAGCTTTCGCGACAGGGCTTGCTTGGTCACCCAGTACTGGTGCTGCATCTTCGATATCGCCGAGTCGTCCGATGTGTCCGAGCGCTGCACCCATCTGTCGAACGCGTTCCCGGATAGCCCTGGGCCGCCTCTGTCACTTCACAGAGAAGACATTTTTCTAGGCTTTTCGAGGAAGGGGACTGCCCTGATCAATCAAACCCAGGGTTGACCCAGAGTTAACTCTGGAGAGGGTGGGGAAAATGGACACTTTTGACTTTTTTTAAAATATTCATAACTCAGAAACCGATTTATCAATTGAGCTCAGTCTAAGCGCAGAACAAAGAGGAATCATTCCTCTTTCTATTGAAAAATAAAATTATTACATTTCATGAACAATTCAACACGTCATGATTATTTCTAAAAAAGTCAGAAGTGTCCATTTTACTCTACCCTATCAGTGCTTCAAAATTAAAAAAAAACAGAATTCTAGAATCTCTATCTTAGTATATCAAAACTATTTCGTTACACTAATTAATATTTATCGCTTCACATGGAAATGCTGATGCATATGGTTCACACAGGCGATTCAAACCATTTCAAAAGGTCCATATTGCCCTAGACTTCCTTCTGAATTGTTTGCAATGAAACTTCTATTTTTGAAGTCCACATATTACGATTTTATGTCAATCTAGCCAACTGTTGGAGCACGCCTCTGTCACTTCACAGAGAAGAAATTTTTCTAGGCTTTTCGAGGAAGGGGACTGCCCTGATCAATCAAACCCAGGGTTGACCCAGAGTTAACTCTGGAGAGGGTGGGGAAAATGGACACTTTTGACTTTTTTTAAAATATTCATAACTCAGAAACCGATTTATCAATTGAGCTCAGTCTAAGCGCAGAACAAAGAGGAATCATTCCTCTTTCTATTGAAAAATAAAATTATTACATTTCATGAACAATTCAACACGTCATGATTATTTCTAAAAAAGTCAGAAGTGTCCATTTTACTCTACCCTATCAGTGCTTCAAAATTAAAAAAAAAACAATTCTAGAATCTCCATCTTAGTATATCAAAACTATTTCGTTACACTAATTAATATTTATCGCTTCACATGCAAATGCTGATGCATATGGTTCAGACAGGCGATTCAAACCATTTCAAAAGGTCCATATTGCCCTAGACTTCCTTCTGAATTGTTTGCAATGAAACTTCTATTTTTGAAGTCCACATATTACGATTTTATGTCAATCTAGCCAACTGTTGGAGCACGCCTCTGTCACTTCACAGAGAAGAAATTTTTCTAGGCTTTTCGAGGAAGGGGACTGCCCTGATCAATCAAACCCAGGGTTGATCCAGAGTTAACTCTGGAGAGGGTGGGGTAAAATGGACACTTTTGACTTTTTTTTAAATATTCATAACTCAGAAACCGATTTATCAATTGAGCTCAGTCTAAGCGAAGAACAAAGAGGAATCATTCCTCTTTCTATTGAAGAATAAAATTATTCCATTTCATGAACAATTTAACACGTCATGATTATTTCTAAAAAAGTCAGAAGTGTCCATTTTACTCTACCCTATCAGTGCTTCAAAATTAAAAAAAAAACAATTCTAGAATCTCCATCTTAGTATATCAAAACTATTTCGTTACACTAATTAATATTTATCGCTTCACATGCAAATGCTGATGCATATGGTTCAGACAGGCGATTCAAACCATTTCAAAAGGTCCATATTGCCCTAGACTTCCTTCTGAATTGTTTGCAATGAAACTTCTATTTTTGAAGTCCACATATTACGATTTTATGTCAATCTAGCCAAGTGTTGGAGCACAGAAAGGGGAATCGGATTTCCTGGGTCGCTCCATCAACCCAGACCGTCTAGATAAGCTGGGCTTTGCATCAATTAATTGCCAAGTACTTGATGATGATGTATTATTTATTGATTGATTCTACTTACTACGTATTCATTGGACGTGCGACTCCCGTTCTCTTCCCAGGATTTGAAGGGTTCACCAGGAAATTTGAGGGCTGATTGTAGATTCATTGACAGCAGTCAAGCTCTGTCCTGCTTCTGCCCTGTTCTTATTCGCTTTGACATACGGAATGATTGCTTTCGGGGGCTCGAGGGTGATGACAAGCTGAGGAGTCCACATGCAGCGACATCCGACGACTGGGGCACATCGTCTCGTGAAAACGGCCTTTCTCTTTCTTTTGACACAAGCGAACGGGTGCGTGAAACTTTTCTATTACTCGTAATTATTATCCACTTGTTTTCGTGCAATCCTTGAATTTATTCAACTCTCTGTTGATTATCGATGTTTATTGGTGCTTCATTCACGTTTTTGTGATCAAAGTTTTGGGGTAATTGTGCAATTGATTTTGTTCTTTCCGTTTCAGGTGTCACCAGTTTGCAATCACAAACACAGACAAGATGGTGAGTTTTATTGTTAATAACATTTGGGATTAAGGTTTTGGATGGGGTAAATGGAAATTCGGATTGTTTTTACGGTTGGAAGAGGTTTTTATTTGTTTTTTTCGAGGTGGCTACTTGTTTAGTTGAGGTTGGATAAAGTTAACCTCGAATTCAACCCGTTATTTAATTTTTGTTGACTAGGGATGATTAAAGTTAATTGTTTTTGTTTATTAGCCACGTGAAATCAAGGAAATCAAGGACTTCCTGCTGAAGGCCAGGAGGAAAGACGCCAAATGTGAGTTCATATGATGATTATTTTTTAATTTTACATTTTCGTGGGTTATTTATCTCGAAAAGCATTGGCTTCAGGGGGAAAAAATAACAAAACTTTTTTTAATTGAGAGAATTCCAATTGAAATTGCCAATTGATGTTTTTTTTTTTAATGTCACGTGTTCTGAAATGAATATTTATGGAGCTGTGCACACTCGTTAATTTTTAATCTTCACTTTTCGATTTTTGAAAGTTATTGGTCATTCATCTAAAAATTTATGAATGAATTATTGAATTTGGGAGGGAATGGCTGACCTTAAAGCTGGGAACGTAAAAAATTATATCATTGGCTTTTGAGATGGATGAAAGGGTTGAAAATGTCTCTGTTTGTCAATTGTTTTTAATTATCCAATTTCTTCTTGCAGCTGTTAAGATAAAGAAGAATGCCGACAATGTCAAATTCAAGGTGCGTTGCTCCAGATTTTTGTACACCCTCGTCATTACTGACAAGGAGAAGGCAGAGAAGCTGAAACAATCCCTCCCTCCGGGTAATTATTCCATATTTTCTAAAAACCCGTTTTTATCAAAATCACCTCATCAATCCAAAAAAATATGAAATATTAAATAAAATGAGAAATATAGAACGCATCTGCTATTCCTGAATCCATTCTCACTTCCAACGAAAGAAAGTCACGAAAACCCCAAAAAATTGATTCCTCAATTATTATTTTACAGGTCTCCAGGTGAAAGAAGTGAAGAAATCTAGCGAGAGGATGTAATTCTGTTCTGTGCATACAATAAAATTTTCATAAACCCAAAAAACTCTTCATTTTTATTCCCCAGAACCTCTCACAAGGAACTTGTTCATTCAGAAAATCTAGGAGAAATGATTGTGTATTAATCAATATAAGAAAAAGTTCAGGGGAAATTGGTGAAATAATGACGACGTTGATTGAGTTGTTAATTTTCTAGGGAAAATATTTACTCCGTTCATCGAACCAAGAAATTTCCGAGGGAATAATGAAAGATTCCAATAAATATTAAAATTTACGATGACACATATTTGAGCCATAAAAATTGTCTTTAATGTAAAAAGTCGTTCAGCTCCTAGCTGAGTTTTCGAGGAATATCTCCGAATCTAAAGGAGATAGCGACATTCTTGTCATGACCTTTTACGTTGCTCTGAATTCGCTCTACAAAAAAGGTTCTAACAAAAATTTCGGTATCTGCCTTCGATTCCGAGATATTCACCGAAAACTGAACGATAATCAAAATACATTTGAACCATTTATTCGCTTCGCTATTGAATTATGTAAAAAAAATAGCAAAAAAATGGTAAAAGTGTCCGCAACTCTCAGAGAAATGAACATTTGAAAAAGCGTCCGCAAATCTGCTGACTCTCCGAGCAAAAAGGAAACTCGTTGAATCACTGCCCCGAACTACATAATATACAACTGCCTAATGTATTTTGGTTATCAATGATAAACTACGTGCTAATCGTTCGGCGAAACAGTTGTGGTTGCCACTGTGACCTCGGCATTTCGCGATATCGCGTGAGTTAAAAGAAAACGGGCAGTAATGGTCCCGCATTCGTCCGAGGAGCATTGCGGTTTTATTTTTATTTCTTCGTCAAAGGAATTTTGTAAATAACTCGTGCAACTAAATTTCATCGAAATATCCAGTGAATTCTGTTACCGATTCTACTAGTTCTGGCCGATTCTGTCGAAGAATTCCGCAGCTGCTGCGCGTTTTCAAATGGAGAACGTCTAGCAGAAATTCTCCCATAGAAAAAAATCAATTTTTTATTTCTATACATTTTCTACGGAGACATTTTCTACAGAAATTCCTCGACATGAATTTTCAATTTATTGTCACCCTATTGTTCTTCTCCTCACGTTAAAGAAGTCAAACGAATGAAATTCGAAAAATTAAACCGCGGAATTTCTATAGAAAATATAATAGAATAAGTTGAATAGAAAAACCGAATTTTATTTTTCCCCTCTACAGAATATTTTTTGCTGAACAGTTTTATTTAAAAAAATCCGTAGATAAGCTGTAAAATATTTCAATAGAATCTGCCGAAACTAATAGGAAGTTCAACGTTAAAAAAATTATAAAAACTCAACGGAATTTTCCAGGAAATTTGTTGGATTTTTAAAAAATCTAATTCCGATCTCATTTCATCGTCTTTTGTGTTAAAAATTCAAAGTGTCTGTGTTTAATTCAAAGAATTAAATCTTTTTCGAAGGGAATGGAGTGCTGCAAGCGCCGGCGCAGCTGAAAATCTATTTATAATATTCGGAAGATCATTCACGATGGAATAAAGCGCTGAATCCACCCTGAAGCCATTCTCTATCAGTTTTATCTCTGAAATACTGTGCTCTCAGGGCTGCATTCAAAATTACAAATTTTTACCTGTCTACGAGGCGTTGAGGCACAAGGCTTGCGACACATCTGCTCCCGATCAATAAACATGTGACGCGCTTTGTGTTTTCCCTGGCGTACAGTTGCTAAGACAGTTCAGCAGGACGAAACGAGCCTCGGTAAATAAGGATGAAATAAACTGAGGGAATTATTGGGTGAAGGTGAATATTAATTGATTTTTTGGTTTTCGTGGATCACCAGGGATTTTAGAAATCGAGACATTTCGGATTCGAAGGGAATTCATTGTTTTTTGGTGGTAAAGGGGATGTGGAAGTCATTTTTCTGAGGATTTTGAAGAATAAGTTGCAATAGCTTGAAAAAATAGTAAAATTTGTAATTTATTTCAATTTTTATTTGGGAATAACAATTATATTTCTTATGGGATTCATTTTCGATTTAATAGTTATAGAAATTGATCATGAAAACGGAGCAAATTACAATGTGTATAAATAAAAAAAAATATATCATTTCTTGTTTATTTGGTATTTATAATAAACAGCCGAAATGATGAATAAATAATTAAAAATGTAGCATGAAAACAGCAGCTACAAGGGAATAATTGAATGCAGGAGATGAAGGAATATATGAAAGTCATTCTAATAAGAAATCTAAAGTATAAGCCACAATACGTTGAAAAAAATAATCAAATTTGAAATTCATTTTAATTTTTATTTATAATGAATATTTACATTTTTTGTGGGATTCATTTTCTAATTAGTAATTACAGAAATTGATCATGAAAATAGAGTAAACTACGATGTCTATGAGTAAAAGAGAATATATAATGTCTTGTTTATTTGGTATTTACAATAAACATACTAAATGTTTAAAAAAATAATTAAAAATCTAGGATGAAAACAGCAACTACAAGGCAAATAATTGGCTGCATCGGGAAATGCCTGTCAGGTCTGAGTGTCGATGAGCTCGATGCTCTGACCGACAGCGTCCACAACACCCTGGGTCGTCATCAGGGAAGAAAAATATTCAGGGAGTTCCTTCGCAAAGGAAAACGCCAGGACGACCTCAAATGCTTGGACTTTCACGAGCAATGCTGCAGATACATCGAAAATGATAGGGATTATGTGTGAGTACTAAAAAAAAATCGCAAATCGTTCTTTGCATCCCTAAGGTGAATTCAATTAAAGAATTATGCATTAATATTTAATTGAAAAAACGAAATGTCGATATTTACAAATTATCGAACGAAGAATATATTTTACAATTGAATATTTTTCTTTCTTTTTTAGTCTATCCACACCAAACTCAAACGTGAAAATGCTGATAAACGACGTGAGTGAGGCGTTTGATACTGCTATCGAACTGGAGAGAATTCCCGAAATAGACATGACGATTTTGGACAAATTCAACGAGGCCTTGAACACCCCCCGCAGAGAAGCCCTGCTGCAGGTTCTCGAGGAGACCAAACTGAGACTGGAAGAGCATCTCAACGTATCCCACAAGGATTTCAGGATTTATGTTCGTGAGCCGTGTCCAAGCACGAGATGATTGAAATTAAAATAGAGATTGTTACGAGATTTATGAGTTTAATGAACAGCTAATTGTATTTTTTAATTTATCATACAATTAATTATCACGAGTGGATGAATAAAGGATGAGGTGTCTCGACAATGGAGAAATAACAGACTCACAGGTTTCGTTCTTATTATTTCCAAATAATATAATAACTCCGGAGGATCTGACGAGGGAGAACACAAAGTGAAAAGAGATTATTTGTAACGAATAAATATATGGAAAGATAATTTTAAATGACACTTATTTTCTGCGATTAAGGAGAGAGGGAAAGGCTGGTGACGGTGGGAAAGAAAGGAAAACTTACCATTTATAACAACAAAGAATAAAAAATTGGTTTATGACAGCTGAAATAGGATTCACAAACCCCACAATTGATATCAAAATTTGCAAAGATTACGTCCATTTGCGTATTCCAATTTGTTGTTATACTGTCCGAGGGTAATTTCGATTTCAGCTCATACTGATTGACATGATTAATAAAAAATTGAATATAATAATTGCAAAGAATAATTATATAATAATATAATAATGTCGATCAGTCATAGAATTCATGAATATTAAGAGAATATGACCCTTACATTGATTAAAGTTCACATAACATATCAAAATTGAAAAATGATAAAATAATTGATGATCTAAATTTCCGATTGATGATGAATTCTATAATTCGGTGGCGGTGTTGAGTTTTCCAGAAATATTTCCGAATTTAAGGGAGATAGCGAAATTTTCATAATGACCTTTTTTGTAGAACGAATTGAGAGCTACTAAAAAGGTAATGAGAAAAATTTTGCTATCGCCCTTAGATTTCGAGATATTCATTGAAAACTGGTCAACAGTCAAAATCGACTTGAACCGTTTGACCACTTCGCTACTGAATTGATTGTATAGGACTTTCAATTATCCATTGAGCAAATAATACTGCATATCAACAGGATTTTCCATTAACCAAACAATCGTCAATCTTCCCAACTAAATTATTAATTTCTAAAATAATTCGTAATTAGAAAATTTAATTGAGGATTAATTTACCAGTTAAAAATTGCAAAATACAATGAAACAAGGCGTGACGATTTCGAAGAAATTCAACGGGGCCTCGAATACCCCCTGATCATCTCAACGTATTCCTCCGCAAAAACACAAATTATATTTTTTAACTTCTCGTTCAATTAATTCTCACGAATGGACGAATGAAGGATAAGGTGTCTCGATGAAGAAATAACACAGACTCATATATTTCGTTCTTATTATTTCCAAATAATATAATAATTCCAAATGATAATCATATAATAATATAATAATAAGTAAGTATTAACATTAACGCCTGACAACGTCGAATTATGTTCTAATAGAAGCTATTCCTTGCCCAGACACACGAATGATATGCATGGTTGTTGCTGTTTCTTCCCTTCCACTGTACCTCACGTTCTCATTTATTTCTCCTTCTATTTTTTTTTCATTACGTTAATAACTTAGTTTACTTACACGGGCATATAAATAGAATCTTATCGCTTAATATTTTTTTTCTCATTGTTTTTCCCCCTTTTTCTCTTCATCATAGATATAATTACATATGATATGTTTTTTTTGTAGTCCCAATGATTAATATGCACGATTTTGTGCAAAATGTGGTTACTGCGTCTCGATCTTTTTTTTTATTATAATTTCTCTCGTCTTTTATCTTTCGAATCGAGACACATTTATGGACGGATTTAAACTAGATGCGGTGAGTGGTATTTCCATGGCCGGAATCCCTTCCTTCTCGCAATTCACTTCTCAATTTTAGCTAGAAAATGAGCTTTCATTCTTCGATGAAAAATTGTCAGGAGCCGACTATTGAAATACCAAATGCATCCGGCAGTATTTGACGAAGCCTCAGATTGTCGCAACCTCGTTAACTAATTAGCATCCACGGCACAATAATTACAATTACTTTCAACTAATTTGTTTTACTTCGTCAAACTCCCAAACTCCACTTTAATTTCACCTAATTTAATTTTCCTAATTTATGCCGCAGATACACAAGGAGGAAAATAGTCACTCAAGCCCCGCCACTACTGAGTTTTCCTTATTTATTTATTTTATTAGTTATAAATGTTATTTTTTTTCATTCGCTGAAGCGCTTTCACTTTTTTTGCCATTTTTTTTTGTATTTTTCTCGCGTTTTCTCGAATTTGTTTCTCCTTATTTTCTCTGCTCTGTTTACTTTCGCTTTTTTTATCTCTTTAGTAAATAGTTTATCAGAGTATTACTTCTGACGATCACTACTTCGCAAAGTTATTCTTTAAATATCACAATAACCTCACACAAAAAGCTGTACTATTGTTTATTGTTTAGTTTTATTTAATTTTCCTATCATTTTTTTCTCATTCATGTCTCGTGGCGCTTCCACTCCCGATTACTCTCATTATCAAACGGCCACGGAAAATTATCAAAAAATTAATAATCGATAACTTCGTCGGCATAAACAAATTCGATGTTGCGTCTCTCACAAGTACATTATTGTTACATTTTTAATATATTTTTTTCGTACCTCTCGGATTACAAAACACCCGGAAATTTCCTAGAATGCATTAAAGAAAAGTGTTTATGCTATGCCATTGACAATTGCGTGTTTCGATCGCATTGTGTATATTTTTTTTCCACTAAAGCTCCGCGATTGCTTTTAACGGGGTAAAAATTGCGGCCTCAATACCGCACGGAGCCTATCTCGATCGTCCTGTGCACACGATTGCTCAGGTAATCGCTCGACCTCGCCGGCACGATATTTCCCGGGTATTAACATGTTGCCTTTTTTCTCTTTTATATTAATTGCACATGAGGTTCGTTCAACACTTCCAGGGGCTCCCCGACTTATTATCCACGACGTAAACGTTGTGGAAAAATATTGGTTTCAAAATATCGTTTTGAAAATACATTCGTGGGTGAAGAAATTTAAGAGAAAAACATAGCGAGTTCGCTAGACAAGTCTATCGAAATTTTGTGTATAAAATATTCTAGAGAAAAAGTCGATAGAATTCGGTTTTTCTATGCAATCGAGAGATTTTCTACAGAATTTCATCGGCTCAAATTTTCTGAACAGAAAGGAAAAAACTAGGAAAATCTGAGCCGAGGAAATTCTCTAGAAAATATCGTAACGGAAAGTTGTATAGAAAAATCGAATTCTGTTGAGGTTTTCTATAGAATATTTTCTATTCAACAATTCAAGGGAATTGTCCGGTGAACTCGCTAGGTCTCACTAACTAAAAATGAATAAATTAATAAAAATAAAGAATTGGGAGTGACATTGAGTGCAATTTAGGGGGAAAAATCAGGAAATTTCAGATTTCACTGAAAATTGAATAAAATTCCAAATTTTTAGCAACATTAAGACGAAAATTCCTCAATGCATTTGAGTATTCAGAGAAAACATGAATATTCAGGACCGAATCCCACTGAATTTTTAATTAATTGAAAGGATATTTTTTCCGCAATTCTACTGACTTCCATTAATTTTCAGGGAATAATTGAACTGATGTCATGAAATTCTGAATTTTCCATGACAAAATTGCGGAAAGTGCAGCAAAAAAATTTTCAATAGTTCAATGTTCATCTTTTCAATGATTTCATTGTTTGTGCGACGGAATTTTTACGCGGGTAAAGTTGGCAGCTCGAGGCGAAGCCGAGGACTGCCAATGCCACGAGCTGAAAAATCCCCGTCGCACATGCGTCGAACTACATTTTTTGTCAGTGATATTTCGTTCAGCGAGTGGTCGGACTGTGCCTTCCCTTTCTTGCAAGTAAAGGGACTTCACCTGTAACTTTCACAAGAAAATGCACTTTTCTGCACGAGGTGAACGCAAGAGCAATGCCAAAAAAGTTTAATTTCGCCAAAGCATGACTAATTTTCCGGAATTTATCCCCAATCATTAAAAATTCGCGCTTGTAAAATTAAATTCCGTAGCATCTTCCCTAATTTTCCGAACTGCGTCACTGACTTTCAGAGACCCATCCCCAATTTTCAAGAATCTGTCATCAAACTTCAGTGATAAAAATTACTGATAATCGAGGATGATAAGTCGGCCCCTACCAGCTCCTCGGGAATTAATTACCCGCCATAAGTACAAATTCGAGCCTCTAATTACCCATGAGTCGACACATCCTTCCGATAATTACACCAATGATTTTCCTTTTCCCCGAGTACATTCCTCATACAATCTCTCCGCTGTTTCTCTCCGATAATCAATCCCCACGAGGACATCCATGGATCCGTGGATAATGCACCTCAACGTCCGTGAATACAAAAATGTCGATTATTTATTCTCCTCAAATCGGTCCCTCCCAGTCGATTCAACGTCATTTTTTCCGTTGCGAGGATTTTCATCGTCACACGTAATAAACGTGGATGAATATCCCGTCGAGTCATCATCAGAGATGTTTTATTAAATTTAATAATCATTTCACCGGACACGTTATTTAAAACTGCATCGTAATTGTTAATGCACCATTTCCCAACGAAATGAAAAAAATGGCAAAAAAATGTTGTAAAATTAAATAATTAGGTGGTTTAGTCTTTGGATGGACACAACAGTAAGTTACATCAATAAATCTTTGGTGATAACAGTATTACAGAGGAAAAAAACTCGAAATTGAGTGATTGCAAATAGAAGTTTTGTAAATACCTAAATACTCTTTAATATCTTTTAGATTGACGAAACATCTTGACAATACATAAACGTTTACCGCTATAAGCTCTTTTGTATATATTCATTTTGTTTTGTCTATGAATTTCTTTTCATTCGGCTTTGTTTTTTGTCTTCACTAAAATTCATCTCACAGAAATCCGCGCTGCGCGCAACAACAGTGAAAAAGCGAGATTTCAACTTCTCGCTCGGCCGGTTCAAGATGGCTTTAAGGTCTTTGCCCTTTTGTACACACTCGTCTATGTTACTGTTTCACCATTACAGCGACAATGCGAGTGGAACACATAAAAACCGAGAAATCTCTCTCTTTCTCTCGTTCTTCTTCACTTCTCAGGACATTATTTTTTAGGCGAGGGGAGAGTCCTGGGGGCTTTCGAGGTCACGGGCTTTTGAATTTTTGAATTTTCGGAATTTTTATTCACTCATGCATGCAGGAAGTGGTGAGAAATAGTTCTCGGTTGCCTGTTCCAGTTTGGAGAATGAAATTTCAGGGTTTAGAGGAGATTTTACGGGCTTTTGAAGGTTTTTGTCAGTCTGAAGGATAAAAATGATAGATTAGTCGGTGGAATTGAAAAAATGCAGCTGTATTTTTTAAAATGCACTAAAAATGTGAATGGAATAACACATGAAAAGTTCTGGATAAGAAACTCACGAGTGTGACTTGAATAGAATTATTTTTTGGTTCGCGGGAGAGGCCTGGGAGTTTTCGAGGTCGTAGACTTTTTCAGTTTGAATTTTCGTATTTTTAGTTATTCTGGGCAGACAGAAAGGGATGAGAAATAGCTCTCTGGTGTCTGTTTTACTTTGAAGAATGAAATTTCATATTTTAAAGATTTCACAGGTTTCTGAAGATTTTTTCTGATTCTAGCAGATAAAAATAATAGATCGTTTGATCGAAAACCAATGGAATTAAAAAAAAAAATAGATGTTTATGTTTTTGGAGATGAAAAAAATTTTTTCGATGCTTGAAAATTCGACAGAATTATTTTCCAGTTGAAGCGAGAGTTCTAAAAATTTTCATATTTCCATATTTTTTTCATAATTTCTATAATTTGCATATTTTCACACATTCAATTTCATCTCCCAAATAGGTTCCACAGATTTTTAAAAAAAATTTCAGGCTATAAATCATCAAAGCAATAGATTATTTCATGGAAGAATTGACCAACATACGAAGATTCCACCTTAGAACACCGAAAAGTCTCTCCTCAACAAAACTATTTTTGATTTAACGGAAGAGTTCTAAAAATTTTCATATTTTCATGCACTCTAAATATGCAGAAAATGATAAAAAAACAGTTTCTTCTGGCCTGTCAGGCTCCAAAAAACCGATTTTCCTGTCCCAAAAAGGTTCCCCAAATTCTTCAAGATTTTTTCAGACTATAAAACCCCTCAAAATCACAGATCATTCCATCATAATCATTGAAATCTCACAAATACAGCTGAATAGAATGAAAAACATTTTCCATAATTCACTAAAACCCCGAATGCCCGGACACAAATATTTCCACCTTCAACCCCCAAAAGTCTCCCCTCAATAGAATTAATTATCTCTCGTCATTCCAACTGCGAAAGGGGATCGCAACGCTCAGAGTAAACAATTAAGCTAGCGATAAAAAATATCAGATTGACATGTACCACCGGCATTGCTCCTCACCCTCACAATATCAAATTGCAAATAATAAAATCGTTCGATCCCTATATTCCACGACAACCCCACTATAATCAGCTATTTGTACGCATTACGACGGTTTCACTGGTTGATTCGGTTGGTTTTTTCTCATGCTCTCGGAAATAGACCGCAAATCATTGCATCCACCATGGTAATTTTCATTAATTCGTAAAGGGTATGCTAATTAATTTTTTTTTTCATCTACATTATTGAATTCTTATACGCGAAAATGCTCACACTATTTTACGTTTACGTTTAGTAATAATTAATTAATCAATATGTAATATACTGTATGTATAGCGTTTTACTATCTAGTGATATGAATTAGTTTCACTTGTAAAGCACTTTTTAAGTCCAACCTATGATTTTTTTTCCCTCTTGTCCATTCGTTTCCCTATAATCGATCGAATGATTTCAGTTCTTCTCTTACTTAATACAATTTTTCTAATTCTCTCGATGAGAAAATTAATTTTACTGAAATACAATACATGTAGTCACGATCTAAAATCCTCCGTTATAATGTTATTAATTTGACAGCTAAAACTAAAAATCAACAGAATAATTGTACATTATTTCAGCCCTAGACTAATCGCTAATTGATTCGGAATAATGGGGGAATTATTTCAGGTGGGAGTGATTTTCTCTGCTAGGATATTCTTCATTCAGCGAAATAACAGGATAAATCAGGGGGGCGGAGGTTGTGGAATGTAAAATAGTGGTGAAAACACTGAGAAGTAAATAACAAAAACGAAGAAAGCTGGCAAATTAGAGCGAGTTTGTCGCGGCGTGAAATTAAAGGTAAGCACAAGTAGTTTTTACACCGGAAAGATTCTTCAACTCTTGAGGACAACTATAAATCCTCGGGAACGCGACGTTCCGACTCGAGCCGTTTTGCTTTTTCAAAATATATCGTAATATCGCGTATGAAAAATTACATCGTCGAATTATTCTCTCAGTTTTTTTACCCCTTAGCGGTTTTTTCTTCTCTCTTTTTTTGTATATTTCACAAATATTGGTTTAAGGCCCCACGCATTTTACTTTACTTTCAATCGTTTCACACTTTCTCCAGTTTTTTTCTGTTGCCCCTCAAGAATTTTTATGATTGAGAAATTCTTGGTGAGATTCATTGTGTCTTTATTCTGTCACGAGGTGAAAATGTCTAATTGCCGTAACGGTTCATTCTCTCTCGGTCCCTGACGCAGAGGGAAAATAGTAATTCTTGAATTAGAGGGCTGGATTTTTGTAATTTCAGGGGATATTCAAGAAATAAATGGATTTTGCAGTGAGAATAAAGTAAATAGGTGAAAATGTATGCGGAAATTTCATGCGGATTTTCTAATAGGGGAGGGATATTGGCCGTTAGCCAAGAACTATTATTTATAGAGGGAATAAATTGATTAATGACTGTCAGAATTTTTTTTAGTGAGGATAAAATTGTACTTGAAATTTCTTATTTTCAAATTAATTGTGAAAATTAAATATAACATTTAATTGAATTTTTCATAAATTTCAATAGTTTTCCTTCTCTTATGGATTTGAAAATTGCAATTTCAGTTCAATTTTGCAATTTTCCGGAAATAAATGAATTTTCCAGTAAAAATTAATAAAATGTTCACTCAATAAAATGACGATTTTTTTTTAATAAGGATTCAATTTTGAGAATAAAATTGTTCTTGAAATGACGTTTTTTTGAAATGACGATAAAATTTTGAGGATAAAATCATTCTTGAAATTTTTTATTCTCAAACTAATATTGAAAATTGAATAAATCATTCAAATGAATTTTCACAAATCTCAACAATTCGCTATTTCAGCAGATATTAAAAAAAATGAATTTATCAGAAAAAATAAATAAACTAAATAAAAACGCATAGAAAAATCTCATGCGAATTTTCCAACAGCGCAGGATATTATCCTTTACTCAAGAACTACTATTCACCCTCTGCATAAATCAATCCATGATTGAAAGATGCGATTCACGAGGTGACAGTTGCGCAACGCCCTTCGAAAAACTCTTCGCAATAACACCGAGCTCTCTCTCTCTCTCTCTCTCTCTCTCATCACCTGAAAAACCGAAAAAAACCCGATTTCGAGGGGAATTTACACCTGTCTAAATAGCATATAAAACCTCGAAGAATCAAAAAATTACAATCTTTACGAGTACATACGTATAATAATTGATATGTTTTTCCTTAAACCTTTTCCTCACATTATTTTAGAGTTTATGGACTTGATATGTATCATTATCACGGAATGAATAGCATCTACTACCGCTAATGAATCCAACAATTTCATCGATACTGAATAATTAAAATACCTCCACAAGAAACGTGCAATTTTCGACTCTATTGTTATTTTTAACGCAAAGTAACGGATAATTTCATTGGAAATAACCTGAAGAGGACGGTATTTAGCACGCGAATATTCCAACAGAACGACTCTCGGATAACTTGGTCCAGAAATGTAGAAAAATAAAGAATTGAGTTTTTAGTCCATCAGGAAAAATTTGAGTCACTTTATCATCGAATAAACCCACTCGTTCCTCCAATCATCGATATCCCGTAATAACACAAGTACAATATATACCTTGAGAATTGTTTTTTTTTTCACTATAATAATGTGGTCGGCGCGTGTGTCTGCACGAGAATAGCGCTATAAACTATCATTTATTCCTCATTAATGTTAAAACCGCTGATGTCGATGAATCACGATGTCTGAACTTTAAAACCCTCTACTTACTCTACCATTACCATTTAAGTATTATTTTCATCTACCCCCTTGTAATCCCCCCGCTTACTCATTAAATTCTCTCGTATTTGTCCTACTCTTAAGTATTCCATTCCCTAAATAAAATTAAAAAAACTTAGAATTCTCACTCACTCCAATTGTTCCACCGAGACTGTCTTTCGTACACAAAAAATTTCTCGTTATAGTTTTCGTGGCTATGTGTTCACTTATTTATAAATGCCCAATGAACTAGTGGCGGACATTCGTCACGAGGGCTTGGTGATTTATCGTTTGACCCTCTGGAGAACGAAGCGGATTTTTACGCGCCCAGTAAAGAAGGAAAAGATACAACACAGAATATTGGATGGGGAGGGGGTAATCACGAGTGAATTTTGGACAGGTGGCGTTGAAGTGCCATGAAATGCCAGAAATTTCGTGGAGAAATTGAATGGAGACGATGGCTTGAAAAATTTGTTCATTTTACTGAAACCAGATTACGTGAATTGAAAATTATCCGAAGAGAGTAACAAGTCTTAATTGATGTTTAAAAATACGAGGTGGAGGCGCCGCCATCTTGAAAGCCTCTTGCAGAAGAGGGAAGGGGTGTCCAAAATGGCGGCGCCCACAGTTGTCACCACCTCGCAACTTTGAACATCTCTTAGAATTATTTGTTCCCTTCGAATCGCTTTCAATTCGTTACCTCTAGCTCCTAGAGAATGAACAATTTTTTCAAGCTATTCTTTAGGTTTTCTCAACTTTTTGTTTTTCCGACATTTCAGATTTTTTTTGGCCTGAGTATGTGAAGTCTTTCAAAGTGTCTTTGAAATTCTTCAAAATCTCTTGAAATTCCGAAAAATCTGGAAGATGGCTTGAAAAATTTGTTCCTTTTATTGAAACTAGATGACATGAGTTAAAAATTATCCGAAGAGAATAAAAACTCTTAATGAATGTTTAAAAATGCGAGGTGGAGGCGCCGCCATCTTGAAAGCCCCCTGCAGAAGAGGGAAGGGGTATCCAAAATGGCGGCGCCCACACTTGTCACCACCTCCCAACTTCAAACACCTCTTAGAATTATTTGTTCCTTTCAGATCACTTTCAACTCGTTCTCTTCAATTCCTAGAGAATGAACAAATTCTCAAAGTTATCCTTCATATTTTTCCATTCTCTTTCGGCTGACAATTCATGGCGCAAAATTCTTTCCACATTTCAGTAATTTTTTCTCCTCTGAAAGTACATGAAATATAAATCCATAAATCCTTTGAAATCTTCTGAAACTAAAAAAAATATTTCAGGATCTTAAAATTTGACATTAAACTTCTTTCGTGATTAGTTCCTCGTATTAATGTTTTGTGACAGAAAATACCTTGGGAGAGGGGGGAGGGGGGGGGGGGATTCATTCGAAATGAAAAATAGGATTTTCCAAAGTAAATTGATGGGATTTATCTCTCAGCTGGAGAATGAAGAGTTTGTAAAAATTGGGTCGGGGGATTTATCCGGTCTCTGTGACGGTATTTGACAGTTACACGGGACGTGACTTACGGTACAGTTAGCATGACTCGACCAACGGGAAGGCACTTGGGCAAATTACGTGCCGAGTTGGCCGTCATTCTAGTACACGGGGCACACCTCTCCTACTCGCTCCCTTATTACAAATACACTGAAAGTAATAAGTTACAATTTTCACTTTTCTCCAACTCTGCAACACACTCCACACGTTCTGTTATTTTTTTGTATTTTCCGTTGTTTTCACCCATCAAATTTTTTGAATTTCAATATTTCCAACCCTCGATACACCCCATAAATCGCCTTAAACCTATGATATGTTCACATTCGTTTAATAATGTTATTACAATGCTTTTACTCTCATTCATTGCCTAAGGACAATTAATTTCACTTGTTACTCTTTTTTTTCTCTTTAATTTCATCTCTCACTCGATTAACTTTTCTCTCTTCTCTATAGATTATTTTGTTCACTCAAAAAATCTTGCTCTCATTTTACCTCCCATCACTAGTTTAATTTAATTCTTTTTTTTTAACAAGTTAAATCACGATATTAAAACGTGATAGTGATGATTAAAAACATAAATACACGTTTCTTAGGGCACCTTTGGTATTAAGCTTGATGTTCGTGTATGCAATTTAAATTTACGATGATTCATTGGTTGTTTACATTCCCGAGCAAATTCATTGCTCGTTGAATATTGAATTTTGCTTGTTAATCATACACGTACGATTATCCCAATTGCTTCAATTGCACAGGGAACAGAAAAATTGTGATTAGATGTTTCGGGCGTCAACGACTGTTTAAAAACATTTTTTTTTGGTTTACTTTCGTTTTATGTACATCCGGGAGACAGCGGTGAGCGTTGACGGATTTATATAAAGCAGATAAGTCTTCCCCCCACCCTCGTCGTTAATTTTAAAATGCAGAGAAAATTGATCTTCAACTGAGAATGAAAATTCCCAAGAAATTTTCCCGAATTACTCGAGAGTTAAATTCATCAAGGCGAATAATAGTACTGCTGTCACATTATCCTGTTAAAATCATCGCGACTGCCATCAGTAATTGAATAAATAAGACAAATAAAGCCAACATCCATTGAAATTCAACATTAATCACTGGAAATAGTGGTGCGACAATAGTCGCACCTTTCCTAAGGCTAGAAAAAGAAAGTTCAACAATTGTTTTCACCTATTAATCGCGCTTTGTAAATACTTTCAATAATTTTCATATCAACGTAAATTTTTCCTAATGAAATTCAGGGGAGAATCCTCCCAGAGGTGCTGAATTTTTTTCCTAGTGTAATTTTACTCAGATTTTCACCGAAACCAGCGCCGCACAGTGCTCTTGCAGAATGCCTGCTTCCGTCTCGTCCTCTTCTCCCGTACGTTTACTCTAATCTTGTTGAAATGGAAAAAGAAGGTCTATGAAATGTTGAATTTTGCCGGAACTCCGAGCGGACAATTGTGAATTGCACATTTGTATTTGCTGGCTGATCGAGGAGTCACGTCTTCCTGACGGCATCGTTTTCACATGCCATTTATGTCGATCTTAAGGTTGCCCGTTTTTTTCTCCCTTTGATCCCTGAAAATTAAGGACAGACTGTTAATTTTTTGTGAGGGCGGGACGCTCGGAGAAAAGCACATTCAATGTTATTCGTGTTCTTCGCTGTATTCCATCAATTCACGCGCGAAAAAATTTAATAGAAAAACCTATCGAATTCGTTAGAAAATTCTATTGAATTTCTATCAAACTTTCTATTAGTTTTTTGCTGATTCTATTGACGTGTTCAATAGAATACATTCAATAGAAAAGTCAACAGAATTCGATTGTTCTACATAACTTATTCTTTTTATATATTTTCTATAGAATCTGCTCTGCTCAAATTTTCCAAGTTTTTTCATTCTGTTTTTCTTTTCTTCTCATCAAGAAAATCAAACGAAAAAACTTGGAACATTTGAGCCGAGGAAATTCTATAGAAAATATCTCAATAGAATAAGTTATATAGAAAAATTGAATTCTGTTGACTTTTTCTACTGAATATTTTTTATTGAACATTTCAATAGAATCGGCCAAAAACTAGTAGAACAGTTCAATAGAATTTTCTAACGAATTCAATAGGTTTTTCTATTAACTTTTTTCGTCCGTGTTTTCATTTTCCAAACGAAGGAAATCGCCCAGGCATTTGTACTTGCAGTTGATTCGTCGGGTGGGCCCGAAAAACCGTTTATTTGCAGCGAACGGGCTTCATTCCATCCAAATAAAATTGCTATCACGTGTGGTGTGTACACTGTTAGAAATTTTCGGCGGACATTGTTGGCACGTTTCTTGGAAATTCTAGGTGACGTTGTTGCACTGAAATTTCGAGCAATTTTGGAAATGAAATTGAAGATTTTAGGGGGAAGTCAATGAGAATTGCTTTATTTATTTTAATTTATATTAATTTATTTTATTTTATTAATTGGATTTAAATTGTTTATTTCAAAATAATTGAAATGAATAGAACAATTGTTTTCATGGAATCGCACAGAAATCAGGAAAATTCAGGTGAATATACTCTTCAATTTTTTAATTAATTGGAAAATCAACGTAATTTGGTGCTCAATATTCATTTTTTGATTGAAAATTGAAATGATTTGAAGAATTCTGGTTTTTCTGGTGCTCAAAAAATTGTGATTTCATTACATTTTCAGTGAAATTTGGAATTTTGGAAATCCTGATTTTTTTGAAACTGTCAATTTTAGTTCAATTATTTCCATACAATTAATATGAATCCGAAAAATTCATTTTTGAATGTTCAACAACAGAATATTCATGTTGTTATTGAAAACTAAAATAAATTGAAGAATTCTCATATTTCAGCAGCTCAAAAATTCTGAATTTCCTGATTTTTTCCCCTAAATCAAATTTAATATCATCCGGAGAAAAATTGTTTACAAAAATTCTACTACTGGTACTGCAAAAAATCCCAATCCACCTATAAAAAATTATAGTACTGTTGTTAAAATTTCTCCAGATTTCTGTGAAAAATTTCCTAGAAGAACAGGAAAAATTCTCGTGTCGAATTTTCCAGGCAACTGTCCCTGAAATTTCAACGTTTTTCCAACAGTGTACAGCTAAATACGTATAACACTGTGTGTATAGTGTAAAGTCGCATTTCCTCCTCTCGATAATCAAGAAAGAAAAGATTGTGAAAGGATAAAAAAAAACTGAAAACAGCCCCCCGTCAATAGCTCACGATCAACTAAGTACCGATTGGAGTGTTAACTGTTAAAACAAATAGCGATAGTCGATCCGAATCAGTGAATAGCTAGAATCATCGAGGGAAATGAAATGAACGAGAAGAAGGGAAATAAATGTGAACGATTTGGAAACTGAATTGAAATAAAACACTCGAGACAAACTTTGTACCAATTAAGTCGTCGTGAAAGCGTGAAACGAAACTTTCAAACGGAATAGGATAAAAACAATGTGATGTACCGCAATGATTTTTTTTCTCGGCTCAACCGACCCGGAGTGATCGAACCTCTTCGTGAATAGTCCAGTCATCAATCACTATTCGAGTCAAACGAGCATAACCAGACGGAAACTTTTTTCCGAATGAAGAATATTCGTCGTTCTGAGAAATTCGTGATTTCCCTTAATATTTATAACGTTTTAAATTATTAACTGATTAAATTGACGCGAGAATTTCATTGATTTTAATTTCATTTCATATTTCCTTCAATTCATTCAATTTCATTTCACAATTTCTGTTGAAATTATGAATTAAGGCCCGGGTGTACTGTCTCTCGAATGTTATCTGGATTTTTTTTCATTTTTCGTAATCGAAAATTGTCAATTGAGTGGTACATCATGTAGAAATTCCCAAAAATTATGATAGAATGATAAAAAAAATAGAAGAAATTCTGAACTTTTTCGAAGAGCGTTTTTAATTGAGATTCAGAATGAGTTGAAAAAAGTGGAAATTACAAATGTCTGATTCGCTGTGGCAAATTATCTATTAGCCGTCATTTTCCCTGGTGGATAACAAAACACTAACTCATGGTACATCATGTAGAAATTCCCAAAAATTATGATAGAATGATAAAAAAAATGGAAGAAATTCTGAACTTTTTCGAAGAGCGTTTTTAATTGAGATTCAGAATGCGTTGAAAAAAGTGGAAATTACAAATGTCTGATTCGCTGTGGCAAATTATCTATTAGCCGTCATTTTCCCTGGTGGATAACAAAACCCTAACTCCTCATGGGAAGTGACAGCTAGGTATCTCAATTTTCAAAACAGTGGTATGTAGTCATCTGCCATTTGTATGTGATAAAAGTGTGATTAAAAAATTCTCCAAAATATTACAACTTTTTTCAAAAAGTCTTCCGGAATAAATGTCTCTGTGCAGTGTGGGAAAATATANAAAAGTGTGATTAAAAAATTCTCCAAAATATTACAACTTTTTTCAAAGAGCCTTTTCCGCAATAAATGTCGCTGTGCAGTGTGGGAAAAGATATACGAAATCAGTCTTCCCCCTGCATGATATTGGGTGACAGGCCGCCATTTGTCACCGTAAATCAGATACATTTTTCAATTTCTCGTTATTCAACTTATTCTGAATATAAGTAAAAACTGCTCTTCGAAAAAATTAAGAATTTTGTCTACTTTTTTTGATTATTCATTCATAATTTTTCAAAACTGCATGATGCAGGACTCAATTGACAACTTCAGCCGACGCAGGATGAAAAAAAAAACATCGAGATAACGTTCGAAAGATAGTACACCCGGGCCTTAAGGATGTTCGACACCCTTTTAGCCAAAATTGACGTTGTTTTCATTTTTCTAGCAAATTATCGATGGGAGTGACGTGAAAAAATATAACGATTTTGTGGTTTGTCATTCTTTAATGGCTCACGAAGTTGCGTAGTGGTGCGATAATTTTCATGCGTTTTTACAGTTTTGTGATTCTTTTTAAAAGTTTAGAGAAAACGCAGGAAAATGTTCGCACCACCTTAAAATTTTCTCGGTCATTAAATAATGACAAAACGCAAAAACGTTATATTTTTTCACGTCAATTCCATCATAAGTTTGCCAGAAAAATGGAAAAAAAGTGAATTTTGGCAGAAAGGGTGTAGAACATCCTTAAGAGAAATGTGAAATGTTCCACTAAATTATCCAGAAAGAATAATATTTTACGAAGGGAAGGCCCGCGTCGACGTCATGTAGACCAAGAATTCTCAATTATTTCCGACCAATTATCTTCATTCGCAAAACCCCCCCACCGTGACACAAAAGCTTGCTGTACCATGCAAAAAACAACCAACGAGTGCAGCATATTTTGCGTGATGAGTGCGAATTAACAGAACAAATGGCACGAATGTTGAATTTAATTCCAGTGTTTTCATTAATTTTTCATTTCTAAATTAATAAATGAAAACCTACTTCGATCCAGAGATTTGTAAAGCCCACCTCGGCCATTTTAGACTTTGCATATTCAATTCTTATCGGTCCACGATCGGAGGAGAGGAGTAGGGATCCTTGCAGGGCGGCCATTGCTTGGGCCGCGTAGCGAACGTCTTGGAATTCGATGAAGGCAACGGGTGAGCCTCCCTTCGTGTGCATACGAAGCCGACAGAAACCAGTAAAACTGTGCATAAATAAGAGAAGCGTACAGATACGTGCTCATTCAACGAATTCATTACTTTAATTGAACATTAGAGTTTTAATGTCTTTATCCGCTAGTAGGTTTATTTTTTTATCTCTTCAGGGTGTGTTACGATGCATTTAATGATTGTGGGAATGAATGAGAACCTTGCCGGTTGTTACCAACGCATTCATCAATTTAATTGATGGGAAATGTCGATTTGTTAGGAGATGAGAGATTGTTAACAACTGGCTAGTGTTCCGTGGTAATTTATACAAAATTTAGGATGAAAGTTGGATCGAAATTGTTTACTGGAACGAGATGTTAGCTCTTTGTAAATACAGTGAAATCGTCTTTTGGTAATGATTGCAAGTGCTATCACCACTAGGTACGGATTATCATTGAACGTCACTGAAGGCTACGCGCACGAAAAAATTTAATAGAAAAACCTATCGAATTCGTTAGAAAATTCTATTGAATTTCTATTGAAATGTTCAACAGAAAATATTCAGTAGAAAAAGTCAATATAATTCAATTTCTCTATATAACTTATTCTCTTGAGATATTTTCTGTAGATTTCCGCGGCTCGAATGTTCCAAGTTTTTTCATTTGATTTTCTTGATGAGAAGAAAAGAAAAATGGAATGAAAAAAACTTGGAAAATTTGGGTCGAGCAAATTCTATAGAAAATATATGAAAAGAATAAGTTTTATAGAAAAATCGGATTCTGTTGACTTTTTCTATTGAACATGTCAACTGAATCAGCCAAAAACTAATAGAAAGTTTAATAGAAATTCAATAGAATTTTCTAACTAATTCGATAGGTTTTTCTGTTAAATTTTTTCGTGCGTGTAAAGAGATACTTCATCACATGGTGCTCCCTATTTTCTCTACGTGATTCTAATGATGCTGGGGAAATAGTAGACCAAAGTACAATGTTTTTTGAATTTTTACATCTTCCATTCTCTTTTCTTTCTCGTGGAAATGAATTAAAATTTAATTGATGGGAAATGCAATTTTGTTAGTAGATAAAAGCCTGAACAACTGGCTAAAGTTCCATGATAATTTAGACGTTACTTCTCGGTAAATACAGTGAGATCACCTTTTGGTAATACTTGCAAGTGCACAACCCCACTAGAAACACTGATAAACTGATTCATTTATTCCAAACGAGATTCGTCAACTATTAACGAACGGTTCATTGAAAGGCGGAAATCGAGTCAAACACGGCTCCTCAAATAAAATTACACATAATTTATCTATAACATTATTATAATTAAATTATAATTAATATTATAATTGATATTAATCATAATTAATTATAAGATTAATTAATTTCGATTTAGGAGGATTTATAATTGATTTTTTTATAACATAATTATAATTGCAATTGAAATATATAATTACATTATTAAAAAAAATTAATTATTAATGTAATTATAGATAACTATTATTTATAATTTGTCAACTATTAATGAGTCGACATTCCGTGAGCCCTAGCAGACCCTCGCCTCCAACCAAATCCACTCGTTAACAATAACTAATCCTTTCTATCATAATTAAACACCAGTGAAGGCTAAGGAGATACTTCACCCCAGGTGCTCCCAATGTTCTCTACGTGATTCTAACGATACTGCAGAAATAATAGACCAAAGTACAATGTCCACTCTAATTTTTACAATTTTCCAGTCGTTTTCGCATCCTCCACGCTCTTTTCTTTCTTTGATTCCGTCAGCTACGAATTCCCATGTCGAGTGGTTCTGTTTAATGTGTGCACTATGTACATCTAAGATTTTTCATTACGGTAAAGGCCAAGTTGAGAAATTACGAGTTTCACGGGTTGAAATAACGGTGTACATCTCCCAAGTTGGTGTTTTTCCCAGTTTAATAAAGTCGAGGCCAGAAATGGAGTGGGCAGACAGCGGCGGGGAGCCAGATTTACTTTTCATAATGTGAATTGCTCCATCACATTTTAGTAGGGGAGGATGGGGCAAAACGGCCCCCCTTCAATCGTCAATATTTTCCGATTCAATAATCCGATTGGGATGAGTTAGAGCTCGTTTTGAAGAATGAAAAATTATCTTCAAAATGAAGTTGAAACTGGGAATTTTCACAATGTCATTCACAAGTTATTGACAATTGAAGGGGGGCCGTTTTGCCCCACCCTCCCCTACATTAGAGTACAAGGGCACAAATTTCGTTTTCAACGAATGTGTAGTTTACAGGCCGAGCCGAAGGCGAGGTCTCTACACACATTCGTTGAAAACGAAATTTATTACCGAGTGCTCTATAATATTTTATGTCAAGTCGTGCAGAAGTCGAGTTTTGAGCAAGCTGCGCCAAGCGCAGCGTGCGATAAACTCGACTTATTGCACGGCGCGACATAAAATATGTAATTGAACAGCCGAAAAAATCATCTTCAATATCACAATTTTTTTCTGTTTAAGGGGAGACTTCTACGAGTTTTAAAAATCGTGGGTTGTTGGAGCGAGACTTTTCATAGGTTGAAGATCGATTATATAGATCTGAAAACGAATAATTAGTGCAAAAAATTTTTTTTTATTGTTCGTTTGCCCGAAAACGCTTAAAATGCTAAAAATGGCCCGGGGCCCCCAATTTTTGAGCTACAAAAGATTTTTTTTTCAAAATTTTCGGAAAAATGTGTGGAACAACAATTACGAGCCAGTTTTTTGGAATTTGACTCCTACACAGCTGATTTCTTTTTTTTTCATATAAAAAAATTCACTATTTGTGTAAAAAAAATACAAAAAAGCAAATTTAGCCATGTGAGAGGCAAATTAAAAAAAAATAGCTCGTCATTGTTATTCCACATATTTTTCCGAAAATTTTGAAAAAAAAAATCCTTCGTAGCTCAAAAATTGGAGACCCTGGACTGTTTTTGACATTTTAAGCGTTTTTCGACAAACGAACGATAAAAAAATTTTTTTTTGCACTATTTATTCTTTTTTAGATCTATATAATCGATCTTTAACGTACGAAAAGTCTCACTCCAATAACCCACGACTTTCAAAACTCCTAGTAGTCTCCCCTCAAACAAAACGTAAACATTTTCAATAAAAAAGCAGTTCATTTTGTCTCAATAGTCTTATATCCAGTCAAATATTCCTGAAATACTCTTCATTTCTTCACATTAATCTCTGATGCATTTTAATAACCAGCGGGGCAAAACGGGTGGTCTTTTTAAAGGATAAAAAATTCTCACGTCTGTGGAGTAGTTGGTGAGCGTTTCAGAAGAAACGAAATTTCCGAAAAATTGGACAGTCGAGCGTGAGATAATTGAAAGGTGAAACCTTTCATTGCTCGAGTGGTTTCGGTAGACTCGGGGAAAAAACCCCCCCAGTGGAAGGTTTTTGTACGGTCGACGTAGCAGCCACGAATATCGATTTGTGTGTAGGGGGTTGATGGGTGCACCCTCGACGAGGAGAGGGGGAGCTCAGGATGGAGAGGGATTTGAGAGGCATTTCCCATCCACGAGTTAGGCACTGCATCCAGAATGACCCACGGGCATACACGGATTGTCCATCGCTCCTGACTAATATTCAAATGCCATCTGATAAATGCTATTCATTCAGACGGACTGTTGCGGCGGTTGTCCTCATTCCAAATCCATTTGACAAATGATATTTCGTCGCGGGGAGGTATTCGGAGGGTAGGGGAGTGGGGAGTCAGGCCCTGAGAGAATTTTTTTTTAGATTTTCTTAAGCGGAAACGGAACCCCTGCGTTTATATGAGTCTTTAGAATTGTGTTTTCTCCTGCAATTATTATTTTTTATTCGTTAAACTATTTCATTGACTCAACAGTGCGATAATCGAGTCGATAAAGTAATTTCATGGATAGAAATTAATAATTGTAGGAGAAAACACAATTCTATGATTTGATGTAGACAAAGGGGTCCACTGCACGCAGAGAAATGTTCAGTAAAAATTACAGAACTCACGATTCGCTCACCGATTATGGAATCGACGCAGAAAATTTGACGGTATCGTAATTTTTCGCAGGAGATTCAGATAAAAATTGCGAAACGCTCTGGAAAAATTCCGTGACCGTTCCGTAAAATTTCCTACAACCACATTTCGCTCCGGAATTGAGAAGATACGTAATTTTTATTGAATTTTTCTCTCCGTGTGGCTCAACAATGCAATGATCGAGTCGATAGAGTAATTTCAGTAGCGAAGCGGAAAACGGTTCAAGTCGACTGAGCCCTTAGCTGAGTTTTCGAGAAATATCTCCGAATCTAAGGGAGAAAACGAAGTTTTCATAATGACCTCTTTTGTAGAGCGAATTGAGGGCTGTAAAAAAGGTTATAACAAAAATTTGAATATCTCCCTTAAATTCGGAGATATTTATTGAAAACTGGCCAATAGGTAAAATCGACTTGGACCGTTTTACCGCTTCGCTACTGATTTCGTAGATGTAAAGTGGTAATTGCGGGAGAAAACAATTCTGAAAATTCATACAGACACAGAGGTTCCGTTTCCCCGTGAACAACTCTTATTTGAACCAGAAAAATTGAAAAATTGAAAATTAGTGAAGAAATAAAATCTAGTGTTCACCATTTGGGCTTTAAATTTTTTTAGCGAAGAGCTGAAAGACTCGCTCGGAACCCAGAATTCCCGAGTTTTCACAATCATACCAACAATGATAATCGTGGGAAAGGAGCCATGCGAAAACCACGAGCAACTATTACCGAGGGAATCCGCTGTTATATCGTACGACGGTGACGATGCCCGCAGAAACCACGAAATTAATATCGTTCCCTGTGTATAAGTAAATATACATCTGCACATTATTTCGCCATACCTCAGTCCCTCATTTCTGATTTTTTCGGGAATCACCGAAGTGAAATTTACAATTCTCACATTTACAGTTTACAATTCTCTTGATTTTTCCCTGAAATTCTGAATTTTCAATGACGAAATTCCTTGACGAAATTTAGTGAAACTGAAGTGTGATAAAATTTCCGAAAAATCCGACGGAGCCGAAGTTAAAAAATGAAATGAGTCACATTATGAACACTTGGAATTAATAATCGTTCTCTGCGAATAGCATATTTTAAGGCGAGTGCCACGGGGATTTTTACTCGTGTTCAGTTGGCATTCGCCTTCGGCTCGGACTGGCCAACCACACGAGGAAAAATTCCCCACGCCCCCAGTCATGAAAGATACCCGTCCCTAGTGATTTCCGCTTTTATGAGGTTAGCGAACGGACCAATGCCAATCTCCGGACGCGAAAAAATGACGAGAACAATACGGAGAGAAATTTTCTAGAAAAATTCTAGTACGAGTACTGGAAAAATCACAATCCGCGCGCTGTGAAAAATTCTAGTGCTGTTAAGGTAAAATTTCTTGGTATTTCTGGTAAAATTTCGGGGGATTTCTGTGAAATTTCCACAGAAATACGGAAAAAATTCACGTTTTCCCCAATAAAATTTCTAGGGTCGGCACTGGAATTTTTCTAAAAAATTTCTCTCCGTGTACTATAAATTCATTATTTCCCATAATCGTCTCGCATCCAAAAAAAGCGGAGTATGCAATCCCCATGATAAAAATAACCGAGCGTAAACCACCTTGATGTGAATATGTTGTTTGTTTTCATCGGGAAATTGCGGCTGTTACATGGGTTTATAAAATTAAAGCCAAGTTTATTTATCAGAAACAGGAATACCCTCTTTGAAGTGGTAGTTGTTTCATCGATCGGAGGTGAACACAGAGGGTCGCTGTGGAGTGAGCGCCGAGGCGGGAGGGGGAGGGCTATACACGATGCATCGAGCCGCGTAATTTGAGGGTGTATCGTAGCGTACTACGATGGTTAGATCTCGGGGCCCTTGTGAGACACGCGTGTCTGAAGCCGGTCATTCCCTCTTTCACTGAATTTTCTCTAATTAACGGATTTTTTGTCAACTCAAAAACTCAATGACTCAATGACGCTAACGAAACAAGAAAATGACTCCGAAAAAATAACCGTTTTGCCCCGTTTAGTTTGTGAAAAATGTCAAAATTTCGTCTTTTCCATTTCAAATTTTCATTTTTTTGACTTGGAAAAAAATTTTCAAATGTTCTGTTTGATAAATCAAATTATCAAATTATATTGGAAACTACCGGTTTTGCCCCATTAATTCGTGCGACATTTTAAAAATTTATTCAACTGAATCGTCTAAAAATTTTGTTTTCTTTCAATTTCAAGCAATTTTGACAATTGGCCGGTTATTAATGAATATCTCGAAATATAAGGGAGATATTAAAATTTTTGTTATAACCTTTCCTGTAGCCCTCAATCCGCCCGACAACAAAGGTCATTACAACAATTTCGTTATCTCCCTTAGATCAGTAGATATTTCTCGAAAACTCAGCGGAAGGGTAAGCCCTTTTACCGCTTCGCTACTGATCACAGTACTCAACATTTGATCTCTTCACGTTCTCGAATTGAACCAATTGTAAAATACCCCCCGAAATGATAAATCCAATTATCATCCCGTAACGACGGTAAAAAATTCTATCGCTTGAAAAAGCTAAATAGACCCGTAAAAAAGCAGTACGCATGCTCGTAAAATGCCGACTGACTTCGATTGACCGTTATGAATATTAATTCTATACCCTTTCGAATGAAATCGATGCTGGTGGATTTTACGAGCTGGGAATGATTCATTACCATAACAATAATTGAAGCTTTTACGCGAACACCGCCACTACGTTCCTCGAAATGCCGTCAATTTTTTTTACAACAGGGTGCAAATGACATCAGCAAATTGATGGGTTTGTTAATGCGAAATTAGTATGTCCACCTGATTCTAATTATTTTTTCCACGACCACTTCCATTTCACCGTATCCGTATTTTTTTTATTGTTCGTTTGCCCGAAAACGCTTAAAATGCCAAAAACAGTCCAGGGTCTCCAATTTTTGAGCTACAAAGAATTTTTTTTTTTCAACATTTTCGGAAAAATATGTGGAATAATAATTACGAGCTATTTTTTTTAATTCGCCTCTTACATGGTTAAATTTGCTTTTTTTCTATTTTTTTACACAAATAGTGAATTTTTTTATATGAAAAAAACCGAAATCAGCTGTGTAGGAGTCAAATTCCAAAAAACTGGCTCGTAATTGTTATTCCACATATTTTTCCGAAAATTTTGAAAAAAAAATTTTTCCTAACTCAAAAATTGGAGGCCCTGGACTATTTTTGGTATTTTAAGCGTTTTCGGGCAAACGAAAAATAGAAAATTTTTTTTTTGCACTAGTTATTCGTTTCCAGATCTATATAATCGATCTTCAACGCATGCAAAGTCTCACTCCAATAACCCACGACTTTGAAAACTCATAGTAGTCTCCCCTCAACAATTTCGTTTTTTTTTCAAAAATAATGCAGTTGATTTTTTAACGAGCCCAGTGACACCGGAAGTGGAGTGGCAACGGGCCGTGTGTTCCCGCGTAAATGAGAATTTTAATAGAATGTATCCCATTCGCTGTCACTGAACTCTTCTCTATTTCCTTTTGTTCTTCAAGTTTCGCGGGAGCGGCTTGAATAAACGACTCTGGATGTTGTCGAAAGCCCAGGGGAAAATATTTATTCCTCTTGAGATGTGAAAATCAATAGAATTGACGGTGAATTTTCATTGAAGCTCTCTCAGCGCGTAATTACCCTTCTCCATCGCTTGCGTCATGGATACAATTTCTGGATGAACTCCGTGTTTGTGTTTATCCACATTATGAATCGATAGGTGCCACTGTGACTGGAATAGCGGATGTAACCGGGCACTAGTGGCGAATGCTTGCAAAAACAGTGCTGCTGAGTAGTTGATGGGTACAATTGAAAACCTGGGGGAATACCTGACACTTATCGGGAGGTGAATATCAGGAACGGATATCCGTATGTCCTACATTTGTCTGACGAATTATAAATCACTTAGATGACTCGCCGATTTGGATTTCAGGGGCACAATGGAATGGGGTAGATAGTTTCGAACGAACCCATTCATTGAAAGAGGGGGAATTAATCTCTCTATATTATAAAAATCGAAGACGTCTTCGGGTGATGAAAATTTGTTGCTCGAAATTAAGACTCCAGAATTAAGGGTCAGAATAAGGGTCACGAGGTTCAAGATCAGAGCCATCAGGGTCAGAATAAGGGTCACGAGGGTTAGATTAAGGGTCAAAAGGGTCATGAGGATGAGAATAAGGGCCACAAGGGTAGATTAAGGGTCTCAAGGGTCTGATTAAGGGTCACGAAGATCAGAATAAGGGTCACAAGGGTCAGAATAAGAATGATGGGGTCATATGGGGGTGGGCGTTCTTAAAATTTTTCTTATCCATTTTTTTAATATTCCATCCTTTAATTGGATGAAGACCCAGAGAAATTATGCATTTGAATTTAATAAAACTCTTGATTTGAATTATTTCTATCCATTTTAGAGGCCTCAAAAATCAAAACAAATTTACTAAATTTAGTATTTAAATGCGGGGAATATTTGCGACACGAATTCTCCGGCAATATTGAATGGAAAAATCTGAAAGACGACTTAAAAAATTTGTTCCTTTTACAGGAACTGGATGAAGAGAGTTCAGGGTTATCTGAAGAGGATAAATAATTTTAAGAGATGTTTAAAAATTCGAGGTGGAAGCCCCGCCATCTTTGAATTCGCTTGCGACAGAGGGAGGGGGTATGCAAGCAATATGGCGGCGCCCAGACATTGATCAAACAAAAATTTATTTGCGTTAAGAAACTGATTTGTTTGATGTAAATAAATTAGATTCAAATAAAGTTTATTAAATTCGAATGGAAATTTTCTCCGGGTGAATGCATAAATCTTCGCGAGTGTAAAAATATTTTCAACTTAAATTTCACTCAGAGTATGTAATGCAACCCATAATCTATAAGTAAGACAAACGTTGATTACGACGTATGGCTAGTTTTGTGTTGTCTCGCGGCCGTTATTATCCATTACCCAGCAATTGGCGTGCTACCAATTTTCATTGTAACCCATATATACACTTGTGTATTCACTTACCTGTTGAAGATCTCGGTGAGTTCGTGCTCAGACACAAATTGTCCGAGATTAGCAACAAAGAGAGTGGAGCATGGAGCATTACTAACAGCAATACTTGGTTGAGACGATGATGAACCAACTGGTGATGCTAATGCTGGAGATGGTAGAAAGTGGGGTAACGATGCGTGGATTGACGTCAGGGTTGTTGGATGCGGCAGAGACATTGGAGCCTGAAAATTGCCGAGTCATTTATCATCTTTTCATTAAATGCTGGATTAATCGATCCAGCATGATGGGACTGTTGGAAATTTTTATTATATTACGGTTCCACTGACATTTCAGAGAATTTTTTAATTGAAAATTCGACATTTTGGGGGAGGATTGGAGAAAATTCTGTATTTTAGTTCAATTACTAAACTGAAAGGAAATTGACATTAGGAAATTTCAGGTGGATAGGATTTTTAATTTTTAATTCCATTGAATTTTCAGGGCAAGTTCGAAACTTTGTGGAAAAATCAAAGGAAAATGTAAATTGCAGTTCAATTATTCTATGGAAGGGAATAAAAATGAGAAAATTTCAAGTAAATGTTTTTGTGAATTTTCAATAATTGAAAATTCAGTGTAATTTGCTAATGAATATTATCATTTCGATTGAAAAATTAGGTAAGTTTAGGAATTTTCGTTGTCTTGTTGCTAAAAAATTCAGAATTTCACTGAATTTTTAGTGAAATCCGAAATTTAATTTTTTTTTATAATTCCACTGAAATTTCACGAAATTTCTTCAATAAAAATACAACATTTTATTAAAAAATCAGAGGAAACTGTAAATTTCAATTCAACGAATCCCCGAAAATGAATAGAAACTCGGAAATTCATATAGATATATTCCTCAATTCTCAATTAATCTACAATTCTCCGTAATTTGTTACCAAACATTAACAATCCTATTAAAAACTCGAGTTACTCGAGAAATTTTCGTCTTCTGCTGCTCAAAATTCCGAATTTCCCAGAATTTTCCCTAAAACCTGAAATCCCCCGATTTTTCCCTCAAATAAAATTCAGCGTCACTCTCCTGAAAATGCCTACTGTACAATCCACGAAATTGCAATGTTTTCCTAGCACTGTATTCGAATGTAATTCACCCTGACGTCCGTGTGGGCCGTCCCCCCGATTTTTTGATGCATCACTCGTCGTCAATAACGAACACAACATAATTGTTTAATGCACAGGATCCGTTCCCTATCATTTGTTGTCGGTAATGCCTCGACGTCGGCCGACGTATTGCATCAAACTTTGATGTTCCCCCGGTTTATGAGTAATGCAAACGTGATTAATGGAATAACATCAATCCCCGGTGATTGATCTGCGGTTTAATTCGCCACCTTTGACGTCGAAAATTCATGTATAACTAATTAAATTTCATCGGGTATTAATTCCGGGGATCGAATATCTGATAATAATGTTATGAATTCCTTTTGCCATCTCGATTCACCGACTGCGAGACAGAATAATCCAATCGTCAAATCATAAAACAAAAATAATTCGCAAATAATTTCTCACTCGCTTCTCCGATTGATCGGAGACATAATGGAAATCGCATCGCTCGCGCTGGCGAGATTCACGGGTATAAAATGCCTGGTTTGATGGCGTACCTCGATGTACTCGGTACGCGTAAACCATTTAACTCGAAGCACGTCAATAAAATACGTATAGAGAGCAAGGAACCGAGTTATTACGGGGGGAGATCAATATAACCATTGATTCCACGCCTCTTCCTATTTTATCTACGATATCACCTGGTGCCTGTTTGTACCAGGTATACATTTTATTCATTCCCCAAAATCACAACGGGAAAATCAATACAAGTTATCACAGGGCTATAAATCAAAGAAAGGGGAAGAATAAAGGTGAAATGATGGAGGAACTGAATGAAATGTTTTGGATTTTTTAATGTTCTGAGACCGTAGAAAAATTTTCTGTACATTTTTTTTTGCACACTGTTGAAATTTCGGATATATTTCATGAAATTTTTTATCAGATTATTGTTTCAGTGACGGAAATTATTGAATTTTCAAAATTTTGGGAAAATATCAAATGGAGTTTAATTGATTATCTATTTCATTTTTTTGTTTTCAATTAATTGGATAATAATATTCGTATGTCGATGAAAAATTGAAGTAAATCACGAAATTAACAATTTCTTTCTGTCCAAAACCCTGAAATTTCATTGAATTTTCAGTGACATTTGAAATTGCATGATTTTTTTCCCCGAATAATTTTTTCAACTGTGAAATTTCAATTTTCTTTCAACAGTGCACAGTAAATTTACAGAAAAGTCCCCAAAAATGTTGATTTTTCTTAGATTCAGGGAAATTTTCTCAAAAACTTGGCATTAATTTTCGTTATTAATTCAGTACTCACAGAGAAAAAAAAATTTTACTATTCAGGGACGTGTGACTGATTTTTGGAACTCTATCAGCAAATTTCAACGATAAAAATCATTGATAATCAGTGACATGGAACTGTAAATTGAAGCTGTTATTCCTCTGCGGTGAATTAATCACAACAAATGCAACCTTATCGACTTTTTGTCGTGAAAAATATCAGATCGATAGTCTCGAGCCAGCGAAAACGATCTCCAACAGCGAAAATAAAAGGGAAAAAATGTAGAGAAGAACGAGTAAAACGATCATGTATCACTAACGTGCATCGGGGCGCTTGTCGGTGGCTCCATAGCTTTGTCCGCAGATAGTCAAAGATAGGAACGTACGGGGACCTGTGGATGTAACGCAGGATGCACGAGTGTCGCATGCTGAAGTGTTCCGGGTAATTCGCCCGCTGCTGAGTATGCCAGTGGATGGTGCCACAGTTCGGGTCCACCTGGGAAGAAGGGGCTTCCTAAGTCTGAAAAAAATTCAATTTAGATACACTTAAAGCATCTGAGTAATTATCACAAACTGACAATTATCATTTTTTGTATGAACAGAATGACAATTTAATTCATTATTCCACTGGCAACGGTAATTTAAGAATATTAATACGATAATTCAATTTGTTATTCCACTGGCAATGGTAATTTAAGAATATTAATATAATGATAATTTAATTTTCGTCAGTTCTGCGTAAAGTGACATTTTACGCACTCGTATCGAATAATAATATATTATCATTATTCAAAGTGATATTCATCATTTTTTGTGTAAATCGAATGATTATTTAATTTATTATTCCACTGGTAACGGTAATTTAAGAATATTAATATAATGATTATTTAATTTACATCATTTGTGCACTTTTCACACATCGTGATGAAAAACAGGGTTTGACACTCGTGGGAAAAGTGTTATTTGAGCCCTGGGAGGGTAGCTCTGGCCTTCAGCGAGCGTTACAACACCTCCCAGGGGTAAAAAAAATACTTTTACGCACTATTGTCGAAATATACAATTATTATTCAAAGTGACATTCATCATTTTTGTATAAAAAGACTGGCAATTCAATTTATTATTTAACTGACAATGATAATTTAACAATATTAATATAATGGTAATTTAATTTTCATCACTTGTGCGTAAAGTGAAATTTTACGCGCTCGCATCGAATGATAATTCGATTGATTAATCCACTGGCAATGGTAATTTAGCAATATTAATACAATGATAATTTAATTTTCATCACTTGTGCGTAAAGCGAAATTTTACGCGCTCGTATCAAAATATATTATTATTATTCAAAGTAACATTCATCACCTTTGTATAAAGAGACTCGTAATTTAATTTATTATTGAACTTTCGGTGGGTTTTCCTATGTTAAGCTTCATTATTCCTCCCTTCGTTAAATTAAAAAAAAATCCCTTCCCTCCTTTCTCCCTAAGTCTGAAAAAAATTCAATTTAGATACACTTAAAGCATCTGAGTAATTGTGACAAACTGACATTTATCATTTTTGTATGAAGACGGTGATAATTTAATTTATTATTCAACTTTCAGCGGGTTTTTGTATGTTAAGCTCCATTATTCCTCCCTTCGTTAACGATTTATCTTAATGACCTGGATTCCAGGTACCGCCACGACTTTCAGGAATATCTTTACATAATTTGGTAGTTTATTCGGAGGGATTGGGAAATCGTATCATTAACGATTTAATCGATCATGTGCATGTACAATTTTTTTTAGGTAAAATCGACTTCCGGGGAACAATGGAATTTTATTACGCGCAATTTCACAGAACATTTGGTTTTTTGTCGGGACAATCATTATCGCGAGTCCATTTGTGGTGAAAGGGGGATTGAAATCTGGGAGGGTTATGAAATTTTTATATAACGGGGGAGAAATTAGTCGCTGTAATAATGGGTAAAGGGGAAACAATATTTTCTGCGAGTTTTTATGGAAAATCGCCGAAGAATAGGCCTGTTTTTCATTGAATACTCGGAATTTATATCAAATTGTCCAGGAAATATGACCTTTCCCTTTCGCTTAATGAGATTATGCGGTAATTAGTTATTTTTTTCACATTACAATTGAGATTCATTTTTTTTTAAGAATTCAGCATAAATCTTGATTCGTGAATTTTTTTTATCATGAACAATTTGAGTTTTGCAGAGCTTCTAGTGAAAAATTCTATCAAAAAATCTTCATGATTAAATTCGAAGTAAAGAACAAAATCCGAAAAAAAATTTTTTAATTGAAAACGTCAATCGATTCATGAATATTTAAAAATAAAAAAATTTCTTGGAATATTTTGAAATATTTACCAGGAAAACACTCGATATTTATATTAAATTGTTCAGGAAATATCGAATTTTCCTTCAATTTCCAGAGACTCACAGCAAATCCCAAAGTTGCGAAAATACTTGTATTTCCCTGAAGAATTCAGCATAAGAATTGACTAAAAACTGAATGAAACTTACATAGAATTTGAATTTTGCGAAGCCTCTATTGAAAATTCTATCGAAATTAAAAACGAAAAACAAAATCCGAAAAAAAAAATTTCAATTGAAAATGTCAATCGATTTATGAATATTTAAAAATTTAAAAAATCTTGGAATATTTTGAAATGGAATATAAATCGTGGAATATTTTGGAAAACTGAACTAAAATATTAGCATAAAAATTGACTAAAAACTGAATGAAACACAATTCGAATTTTACGGAGCGTCTATTGAAAATTCTATCCAAAAATCCTCAACAATGAGTTCGAAATGACAAACAAACTCCGGAAAAAAAATTGAATGAAAAATGTCGACCTCTATTCACGAATTCTGTTATTATGAGTCCATTGTGATGGAATCATAGTCTTAAAACCTTAAAATAAAACGAAATATCTGCACAACCAGGAAGAAACCCCCCGCATAAAGACCAAGCGCCATGAAAACATTATTTTCCTCGAGTTTTTAATGAAAAACCGTCCAATGGGCCACGGAATAAACGGAGAAGTGGAAGCACGAGTGCATAATTCATGACTCCCCCGATCGAAATAAACACCAGGAGTGTTCGGGCATTTTTACCCACCACCGAGGAACGACAGAAAAATCAAGTTGACCTCAACGATCTATACCCCGTGCCAGCGGCTATCCCTGGTTTTTTAATTCTCCATGAACTATTAATTTCGATAAACCAAACGGTAGTCTCAATAATGAATCAACGTCGCGTGCGACAAAAATATCGATCACCCGGTGACCTGACCTCCAGGGCCGATCAATATCATACATTTCGAAGTGAACTCCTGGGTGAAGACAGATGTTGAAAATGTTGTAGCTTTTATTTCATTTCTCTTCTCGAATTTTTCGTTGCACTTCCCGTCACCGAGTAGATTAAATCTGCTAACTCAATTGCTTCGTTCAACACTCATTGCTTCACGCAAAACTCTACAGTGGACCATGTGCACGCGTATGTTAATGCGGGAGGACTGCGCAAGCGTTGAAATTATTTTTTTCTGAGAGAAGTGAAAATTTTGGACTTTTTGGGAACTTGAAGACCTCAAAGACGATTATTTTTTCGCTGAGACAATTATTTTTGCATTAGAGCTTCAATTAAAATCTTGAATTATTATTAGGATAAATAATTGGATTATTTTTTATTTAATTGTCATCCGTGGGAGTGAATAACATCGTAAATTCTATAAACATTCTTTTTTTTACATTTCGATTAAGATTTCAATTTTATTCTTCATTTTTAATCTTCAGAAAATATTTCGGACATCTGAATTCAAATGAGAAAGTGCACTTGGTGAGACAGATTTATCATTAAAATTTCAATTTTCAATAAATTACGACATTTTTCAGAAACAATTTTCAAACAATAAATTTTCAATTTAAAAATAATTGTTTCTAAACCTTATCAATTTTTTAATATTCAGAATTCACCAGAAATCGATTCCATAAAAGTTTTTTTTCGAAATTTTGGACAATTTCCATTATTTATTTACAAGAGGGGAATTTTCGGTGAAAAATTACACCTCACAATTAAAAACAATCCCCGAACCTTCGCAAAATTTGTTTCCCAAAATGTAGTTGACAAATTTGATTGCGTAAAAAAACCATTTGTTGAAGCAAACCAAATGATTTTTACCGTTTTATGCATTCCAAGAAAGAATATAAATTATTGATCGAAGAAAAAGTTGGAATTCGTGACTCGATTCAGTGCAGCCTATTCTCCAACTCTTTATCAGATGTAAAATTGAAACAATAGCCTCCAGCTTGCTCAACCCTAATTACAATGTTTTTTATGCTGGTATTCTCTTTACAAGTTTTTAAAGAATAACAATGGCTGGAGGAAATTTTTCTACAACTGAATTTTCCCCGAACGCTCATTAGGATTTAAATTGATGTCGCTTTGGTAACTCGAAACCCTCATTATCACGATGACTCACCGAGGATGAAACTCCGTTCTTGAAAGTTTTAACTCAATTTTCCTATGGCATTATAGTTCCCCCCGTTCCGTTTCACCTATTTCACCCGAGTTGCTGTCTCATTCCTGCGTTTTCGACATCTTTTGACAAGTATTACTCAGTTTCTCAGTGGATGAGAATGGGAAAGGAGTCTTTAGACTCCACTGTTACCAATTTTTTTATAAATTCTTCGATAAAAGAGTTTTTAAATTCACATCTTTCACCGAAACTGTGAAATTTTATGACACAATGCGACAATTTCGTGAGCAGAATAGGATATTGATCGTGCCCACTACTGACAATATCCATTCTTCAAGAAAACTGAAAATCTTCGGTGAAATATTCAGCACCAGTTTTTATTCTCCCAGGAAAATTGAAAAAAATTCACTGGAATATCCTAAAATAACGAGGAGAGTCCCATTTCCCTGAGAATTTCAGAGGAAATATTCCATAAAAATAGTAAATTCGTGGACGCTTGTAATTTTTGGGAGTCATTTTTGAAAATTTTGGACAGTATGCAATTTTCAAAATGCTCAATGAGGAAAACAAAATAATTATTTCTGGAAAATGTGACTTTTTCCGAAAATTTCGTCACAATTCAACAATTTTATGAATAGACCTGAGGAGTAAGCCTCCGCTACTAAAAATTTTCGTTGCAAATTTTTACTGCAATATTTCAAAATTTTATTCGCTTGAAAGATTCAACAAAAGCCAGAAAATTCACGAAAACTTCGAATTTTGAGCTTTTATTGAGAATTTTATTCTTAAATTCAAATATACGTTGAGGTTCTTCAAAATTGATGTTGTTTTTCATGAATTTTCTTCAGGTGAATGCAATTTCGAATTATTGCCGTGAGAATGTGCTCAATTTTCATGAGAAAACAAGAGTTACTGTGAGAAAATGGAAATTTTTAGTAATGAAGGCTTTGTCTTTAATTCTATTCACAAAATTACTGCATTACGTCATGAAATTCCATAGAAATTTCATATTTTAAAGGCAGCATCACATAAATATTCAGTAATTTATGATAAAAATTTTGTTCTTCTTTATTGATCGCAGAGAAAAAAAAGTATTTACTTTCAGGGACATGTCACAGATTTTCAGGGATCCATCTCCAATTTTTCAGAATCCATCCCCAAATTTAAGTGATTAAAACTTATTATTCCTTTATTATTTATCCATCACTTTGCTGTTACAAACGTTTTCATAGTTTTAAACGACCTGTAGGTCTTCTCCTCTCCTTAACAATTAGATAACGTCAATTAGTATTTTCATTCAACTCAGCTGTTTTAAATTAGTTAAAATCTACTAACAATAAGTGATTAATAGTTATGAATTAAATAATTAGCAATTTCAAAGCGTTTGAAATCTCCAGCTTTCAGCAACTAATGATCAATTAATTCGCAATATTTCGACCGTTTATGGACGAAAATAAATTATTCAGGTCCCAACCTCAAGATTATAAAACTGAAAAAGACTCGTGCAAGCTCCCTCTTGCGATATATCCCTGAAAACCAGTGACCCATCCCTGAAACTAAGGCCTTGTTCCCTCTCCGATCACTTTGAGAACAACAAACTGTCCGAAGTTCATGTACCTCTCCAAACCCCTCGCATCCCTCCCGCCCTTCGTGCCTTAGAGTATGGTGCCAGTGACAGAGGTCTTCAGTGGTCGTTTCAGTTAAAAGGAACAGGCAGGGACGAGAAAGAGGAGTCGTGAACGGTGAGTGACAGGAGTTAGAGTACACAAACCCCCCGTTTCTCTCTAATACTCTACATGAAGCAGAAAAGGGTAATTAAAAAAATAAGAACAAAATCAACGTTCAATTGATGTCGCAACAGTTCGAAATGTGTGGATGACTCAATCAAACCCACGGGGGGAACGAGTAAATCATACTGAAATCATAATGGAGAGAAGTTTAAACTCAGCGAGTGAACGGAGTGGCGGTGCATACTTACGTCCGGTTAGAGGGTGCATCAGAGCGGGGTGCGAGGTGGCTGCTGCAGCGGCTGGTTGCTTGGGTTTGCTAACCTTTGTGTTACTTTTTGCAAATTCCAAACGTATGGTTTGTGGCATATCAGGATCGAATTTAACCCCCTGCTGGAAATAGATCCCTACATTAGTACAATGGGGACAGGACTTTTATCTTTCTTGCAATTTTTTCTTTTGACTTAATCTCGCCTCGACAATTAGATATCACAGGAGCGGAACTTTCTTGAATTAAGAGTATCGGAATTGGAATTGGTGGGGTTTTTAACGTGCGATCATTTCAGTTGGGGGTTTAGGGGGGTTTCCCTTCGGAGGGGATTGAAAAATAAATGTCACTGTTGGAGGCCATCGTTGCACACGGAGAGATAATAATTCCGGAGCGAAATGTGGGGGCAGGAAATTTTACGGAACTGTCACGCAATTTTTAACTACAATCACGGAATTTTCCCGGGACGTTCCGTTGTGGAAAATTTTACGGAATTGTTACGTCATTTTTAACTAGAGTCACGGAATTTTTCCAGAGCGTTCCGTAAGTTGTAGGAAATTTTACGGAGCTGTCGCGTAATTTGTATCTAAAATCACGGAATTTTTCCAGAGCGTTCTGTAAGTTGTAGGAAATTTTACGGAACTGTCACGGAATTTTTACCTAAAATCACGGAATGTTTACAGAGCGTTCAGCAATTTTTACCTGAATCTCCTGTGAAAAATTACGATACCATCACTTAAATTTTCTGAGTCGATTCCGTAATCGGTGAGCGAATTGTGAGTTCCGTACTCAACACTTCTCTCCGTGCAATTATTATCTAAAAATGATTATCAAAAAATATTGTACTGCAAAATGTAATTTTAATCTGGCTAATTACATACGAATTTTCGTTAAAAAAATTGTGTTCTCATTTAAAAATAAGGAAATTCATGTTGAATTTGAAAAAACAGCTGACCCGTTCAGCCCCATGGGCCATATTTTTCCATAATTGCAGGTCAAATTTCCTCAATTCCGTCAATTGAAAAATAATTAATCCCGACTCCCCGCAAAAATCCGAATTTTCTTAATTCGAGAAAGTTTTTTTTCCTTCGGATTGTCTATTGCTTCGCAGTATTCATTACTTTCCTCGATTCTAGGGGTGGGGAAATGGGAAAACGTGAAAATCGGGTATGTGAGGTACCTCCAATAATCTCTGGGATAAACAAAATAGATTGTTGACTATACATTGCAGTTTGCGTGAGGTCAAGTTGCGTGTTGTGGTTTACAGAAGATAGAGAGAGAAAATAATTTATACGTATGTGATTATTAGATACTGAAATCAATGCCTCAGTCAATTACGATAACAAACACCACGTGAATAATTCAACAAGATTTTGGGAGTCAGGGGGCGGGGGGCAGGGGTGGGTGAAGGAGGATTGTTAATTTGACTTCAAGATTTATAGAGGATGAATTTTTTCACACTGTGCAAACCAAGAGCTAGTTCATTCACAGACCTCCCGAATTTTCCTCGGGTCAATTGAGTTAAAAGGTCAACTGAATAAATGGAGAAATGTAATTTTCACCCAGTTTACCAAATAGCGGATAATTTTCGTGTTCTCTTCTATTTTTTCGGTCCTCTCGATTTTTGCTTTTCTCTATTTTCATTTACTCTGGACTGACATGTTTCCGTTATGTGGAACATTGTGCTTCGATTTAATCGTAAAGTGGATTATTACCTGTAAGTCTTGTTTCGCTGCCTCGGCTCCTGCTCTTGTGTGAAACGTTACAAAACCCACCGGCTGAAAAAATTGAAAAAATATTTTGTTCAACAGTTGTCTCGGGCGGTAAATATTAGAGATGTTTTTGGTGTTCATTCTCATTTATGTAATTAAAAAACGACGGAACTTATTTTTAAAAGTAAATAAATACCGTGCGAAGCCCTAGATTCTATTTTTTTGTGAATTAAAACACATGTTCATGAACACAATGGAATAAATGGAATAAACGAATTAATGAAATGTGTAATTCTCCTAAATAAAATGAGTATCTCACATTTTTCATTTTATTCTCATTCATGAGATGCAAAATAATAACACTAATATTCGAGAATGAATAAGTGACATGGGAAATCCTCAATTAATTTTTTCGACGAATAAAAGCGAATGCTTGTAACGAATTTAAAAAACTTGTTTCCACGTTTCATTTATAAATACTACGCCAGACACTGAATTATCATTTTTTTTTCATGAATAAAAATCAATGTTCGTGGGTTTATGATTTATGTGAGACAAATTTATTTAAAAGACGAGACAGAAAGACGAGAATTCGTCGATTCACTTAAATTTCCATTGATTTTGCCACGAAACATTGAATTTACAGTGACAGTGAAATTCCAGTGCAACCACAATAAAAATTTCAACGAAGTGTGTGAACGAGATAAATAAATCAGTAGCGAAGCGATAAACCGGTTTAAGTCGACTCATCTCCCAGCTGAGTTTTGCAGAATATTTCCGAATCTAAGAGAGATAGCGAAATTTTCGTAATAACATTTGTTGTAGCTCTCAATCGGCTCTACAAAAAAGTTCCAACAAAAATTTTGCTATCTCCCTTAGATTCCGAGATATTCATTGACAAGTGGCCAATAGTCAAAATTGACTTGTACCATTTCGCTACTGAAATGTTTTCTCGGGGTAAATGACGGGAAATTATTCCTCATTCGTTGGCTTTAGCGAGTTGATCTGACGAAAGTCCCATTCCGGGTATCGATTCGTGCCTGACCGTGCCACCCCTATATATTCCTCAAAGTTTCCTTCATAAATGGCTCAACCCCCCTAACAAAAGGAATGATGTTTCTTTAATTTCAATTACCCCAAATTGAAGAATCACATTTCAACCTGAATAATTTGAATGAAAGCCGGTATAAATTTCGAGCTGATGGAAATTGATAAATGTCATTTTAAGAAAATCTCGGGCGATGGCTCTCTGACTCACAAACCGACGAATAATTAAATCGATTCAATCCATTCTCCATGAGTTTGAATGATTATGCAGCAGAATGGAGTGGTTATCGATGGAAATGCAGCTTTTTTCTTTTAATGTTTTATAAAATGACCTGGTGAATTTTCCGAGTGGAGTTGGTCTGAGTAATCGATCGATTTAACCCGTAGGATGTCGTGCCGTCGACGATACGCGGGGGCTTTTAACTCTGGCGACCCAATTACCATCGTGGTGCGCAACAACGTGGAATGAGGAAGATTTTATGCTAAGATTAAATACGCTGGAGGTTTCAACAAAAAAGAATTGTTCTCTTGTTGGAATTTCGTTGTTTTTTTGGTGAAGATAAGGGGGAGAGCCTGATGTTCACGGATAATTTCATAAAATTTGAGCATTACATTTTTATTTGAGGAATAATTGAATGGTATTTTTAGTACAGTTGTCAAGGGGGAAAGCAAGATGAGTTAATTTTACTTGAAAAATAAAATAATGAATGAATAAATAAAATTCTTGTTGGAATTTCGTTATTTTTTTCGTGAACATGAGGGGAGAGCGTGATGTTAGCGGATAATTTTATAATATTTGAGCATTTTTATTTGAAAAATAAAATAATGAATAAATGAATAAAATTCTTGTTGGAATTTCGTAATTTTTTTTGGTGGAGATAAGGGGAGACGTGATGTTAGCGGATAATTTCATAAAATTTGAGCATTACATTTTCATTTGAGGAATAATTGAATAGGATTTTTAGTCCAGTTGTCACAGAGAAAGCAAGATAAGTTAATTTTATTTAAAAAAATTAAATAATGAATAAATGAATAAAATTCTTGTTGGAATTTCGTTATTTTTTTTAGTAAAGATAGCGGAAAGAACGTGATGTTCATGGATAATTTCATAAAATTTGAGAACTACATTATTATTTGAGAAATAATTGAACAGTATTTTTAGTCCAGTTGTCAAGGGGAGAAAAGTAAGACGAGTTAATTTTATCTGAAGAGCAGTTTCTGATGATTGTTTGGTTGCTGGTCTAGAGCAGCAAAATATTTTATAAGGATAAAGTCGGAAAAAAGTCGACGATTGTATCCAGTAAATGGGAGAAGCAATCGATTTTTAGTAATTTTTTCTGTCAATTTACTTCTCTTCTAGAGATTCATTCATTCGTTTTTTTCGTAAAGAAATGATTATGACAGATGATCACAAATGAGATTGTTTGATCACACGTGCACGTGATATTGATAATTTAAGAAGGTTCATGTCACTCATGCATTCAAACTTACCGACGCCGTCTTCCCATTTTTACTCGTCACTTTGAGCAGTGAATTCTCGTACCCCTGTAACAAAAACAGTGAAAACCATTGAGTAAATAAAAATCCAATCGAAGTCCATCAACTCTGATTCAAAATCAATGCAAAATTCACAATTAATCATCAATCAATTCCCAAAATATGAAATAAAAGAATAAAATTGAAGAATTTCACTTCAGTTTTATTCTCTAATTTTCTAAACTAAACATATAAATGAACAGTCACAGTTTTTTATTAATTTCAGCACCAAATTAATACAAGAACACCTCAACAAATCGTGATTAAACAATTGTCAATGTTTCATTATTTTTTCATATTTTTATTTAAAAAATCAGATCTCAATCTTCTATTTGAAGAGAGATAGCATTTGGCGATTTTCAAATAAAACCCTGGGCTATTTTTATTTATGAAAGCGCAACCGACAATTAAGTGGCGAAAAAATGCGACTCTGCACGGAGAGAAATGTTCAGTAAAAATTACGGAACTCACAATTCGCTCACCGATTATGGAATCAACTCAAAAAATTTAAGTGACGGTATCGTAATTTTTCACGGAAGATTCAGGTAAAAATTACGGAACGCTCTGAAAAAATTCCGTGCCAGTTCCGTAAAATTTTCTACAACCACGAAAAGATACGTAATTTTTACTGAATATTTCTCTCCGTGTGAACCTCTTCGGGTAATTGTTTGTAACTTTTAAAACCCTTCAATTGACAAATAATCTCGCGAGAGTAGGTGCGTGATTTTTTTTGAGATAGCTCCCCTACTCCATACAGAGCATTTCTATTGTTCCCAAAACTGGTGATATATCTTCCTGTTCAAACCGGGATTAAATAATCTTCTCCCCTATACGAGAATCGGAATTATCGTAGCAGTGGGATTTGCACAACGAATGGTTTTCTGTTTCTCCCACAGACCGCATATCGAGAATCGCAGGCTACGATAATACCTCATTGTTTCGATGACTATGTACGCCTGGCACACAAGCACAGCACCAAAAACACTTCAATATTATGGGTTAAACTCTAAGCCATCCTCGACACGCTTTCCACTGAAATCGTTTATGAACGAACGGCAGTGAACAAAAACACAATAAAAAATGGTTTGAGAATTCTCGTAATATTTTAGTCGTTCAAATAGAGTGAAAAGCCTGGTAACCCATAAAATCCCTGGTCCGTAAAATGTTGGTGGAAAAAACAGTGAGAAATAGTGGACCATTTTAGAACGCAATTGTGGTTAATGTCCATTTGTTTTCTCTAATAAAAATCCTAACGAATTCCGGCGACAAAGGGAAGAAGTTCATTTCTTTTACTATGGATTATTTTCATTCTCTCTAAGTAGGAGGGGAAATAAACAAGTTCATCGCTCGACACTTGATTTCGCGAGGAAAAGTGAGTGAGGAATATGCAGGGATTTTATTGGATGTACAAGCATTTTTTAATTAAAATGGAGGTCCTCAGTTCTCTGGGATTTATCCATAATTGAATGAATGGGAATGAAAGCGGAAGGGAGAGGCCCTTGAGGGCATATTTTTGCATAGACTGTGGAAATATTTTTTTTATTTTTAGTTGAGGACTTGGAAGGTCTCAAAGAAACAGAAATTACTCTGCGTATCATTCCCTCATAAATCACTAAATTTAGTTAAATAATGAAGGGAAAGTGTTTCAATAATTATTTCAATTAATTGAATTTTTTTTTTCAATCAAAAATGGAGACATCACCTCACTAAATTTATTTAAATAACGAGAGGAAAATGTGTCAATCATTTTATTAATTAATTGGATTTTTCATTCAATTAAAAATGGAGGATCGATGTCATTATAACAGATCTCGCCCTTCATTCGAATCAATTGATATCATTCCCTCATAAATCCCGAAATCAATTCAACTAATGAGAGAAATTTGTTTCAATTTTTTTTTATTAATTGGATTTTTCTTTCAATTAAAAATGGAGGAATCGATTTCATCACAATTGGTATCGTCCTTCATTGGAATTGGAAATTCTCTCTCGTACACAAACTCCTGCGATCGCTGATTGGACAATTTTACCGAGCTCACGGCACTCAATATTCCATTAAAAAGAACTTTCGTAGGGGGCGTTTTCCCTGGCACGACGGCGGAAAATACGATGAATGTATTTAACATGTTGATTCGAATTGGATAGAAACTTATAATATTCAGTTGGACAGGTTGAATTCAATTTTGATTTCGTGCGTCATGCTCAGTAGATTCAGACGTTTGTGGTCAGCCGGATTAAAGTAATCGGGTTTTATTTTTTTATTATTCATGCGCATGAAGAGTTCTCTTTTCCACGTAGCTCTGATATTGAAAAGCATCGGATTATAATATTTTTGTTCTTCAGCAATGATTTGTTGACTTCTAGTTGAAATTTTGTTTATGAGACTGAAAAAATGCGGCTAATCAATCATTCAATGCAATATATTTCTCTGTTATTTATAAAATCATTAAAAAAATATTAAAAATTATAAATATTCAAATTGTCAATTAATAAACAACTGTAAATAAATAAATAATGAGAGATAATTATGAATAAGATGAAAGGATTAATTCATAAGTCATGAAAAATATTTTCTAAAATTGTAAATATAAAAATTATCAATTAATAAATAACTGCAAATAAGTAAATAGTAATTGGTATTTATGAATAATATGAAAATATTAATTGATGAGTCATGAAATTATGAAAAAAAAAAATTCAAATGAATTAAAATTCACTTGCATTCACTATCCAATCTCTCTAACAAAAATTTCACAAAATTCTAAACAAAAGTTGAATAAAAAAAGATGAATCTGTGATATCCAAGAGTAGTTCAAAAGCATATACCTCTACAAACTTCGTACGATTAAGTTCACAGGGTGAAGGAAAAACTTTGGAGTTTAAGACTCTCTCCAAGAGAGATGCATAATTCAAGGAGTGAAGATTAACAATTTACGGCGAAATGATGAATTTACGACAACTCTTAATTTTCATTTTCCCCGATTATGTGGAGTAGATGGGAAGTGAGGGAACGTTATTAGTTCTCAGCTGCGGGAGTTGAGGAGAAATTAAATGTGAAGTTAGGAAAGAGGAAGGAAAGTCGAGAGGACCCAGGGTATGTGAACAGGTGGTGGAGGTGTTGGGACAGGTGTTTGGGGTTTTGTCAACGAAAAATAGCTTGACTTTCAAGAAGAACGTGATAATATTGTGCAGTGGGGCAGTGAGGATTTTTAAGTTATCGGATGTCACATTTTTTATGGAATTTATTAAAGCTGACACCGACATTTTGCCTCAAAATAATTATTTTTTCAAATATTCCCTTTTTGTAAATGAAATGAATTTTTTAAAGATTGAAAAGACGTTTGTGAAATGAAAACAAATTGAAGACTTTTTTGGGATTTGATTTTAAAACCTAATTTGAGTAAATGAATAATGAAAATTGTTTAAACGTTCGAAAAATGTTTTTTTAAATATTTTTAATAATATTCATGATGTGCATGACTTGTTCATGACGAAAAAAATATTATTCTTCACTTTTTCAATTGTTTAATGAATTCTTCACTTCTCCATTAATTGATAAATTATGTGTGAATAAAAAAACGAATGTAATTCATATTTATCCATTTTTCAGCATTCAGTCGACTTCTAAAAATTTCCCTCTCATAGTGAATAATGAAAATCGTTTCAACTTGTTTTTTTCCACAATTTGAAAATGGCTCCGTTGCATTTCCCCAGCATAAAGTTATTGTTGAGTAGATCCTGATCGAAAATTCACGAAATAACCCATGCACCAAAGTGCATTAAATCCCCAAGTCTGATAAATCGTGAAGGAAATCGCGTCTTGAAACATAAACGAGGCAACATTGGTGGAGCATAATATCTCGGGCATACAGTGAAAGAGTGAGCTGCTCGAGTGTGCAGTGTTTTTGAATGCAAGACGTGAAGTTCCCTGGAGGAGAGACTACTGCCGAGAGAGAGAGAAAGAGAGAGGGAGGGCAATGGAATGAGGAAGGAAGGAAGGGGGCAGGGAGGAGAGTGGTTAAATATGTGTGGGACGTGAGAGTCGGTCCCTTCCTCGGTTACTTTGTGCCTGACGTTGATGAAAAACGTTTATGAACTCTAGGTTTAAATACGATGAACAAAAATGTCAAGTTGAATGCATCAACTTGAAACGTAATCGAATTTTTCAGCCGGGTGAACGTTGATTCCAACTATTTGAGCGTCGGGCTATTCAGAACTCTCAAAAGTATGTGGAAAAAGTGAAAACTGAAAAAAAAATTTTTTTTCGATTTTCAAAGGGTCAGATTTTCGGTTTTTCCAAGGGGAAAATCAACTTTCGCCAAAATGGAATTTTTTGGCCGGGTGAACGTTGATTCCAACTATTTAAGCGACGGGCTATTCAGAACTCTCAAAAGTATGTGGAAAAAGTGAAAACTGAAAAAAAAAAATTTTTTCGATTTTCAAAGGGTCAGATTTTCGGTTTTACCAAGGGGAAAATCAACTTTCGCCAAAATCGAATTTTTTTGCCGGGTGAACGTTGATTCCAACTATTTAAGCGTCGGGCTATTCAGAACTCTCAAAAGTATGCGGAAAAAGTGAAAACTGAAAAAAAATTTTTTTTTCGATTTTCAAAGGGTCAGATTTTCGGTTTTTCCAAGGGGAAAATCAACTTTCGCCAAAATCGAATTTTTTAGCCGGGTGAACGTTGATTCCAACTATTTAAGCGACGGGCTATTCAGAACTCTCAAAAGTATGTGGAAAAAGTGAAAACTGAAAAAAAAATTTTTTTTTCGATTTTCAAAGGGTCAGATTTTTGGTTTTTCCAAGGGGAAAATCAACTTTCGCCAAAATCGAGTTTTTTTGCCGGGTGAACGTTGATTCCAACTATTTAAGCGTCGGGCTATTCAGAACTCTCAAAAGTATGTGGAAAAAGTGAAAACTGAAAAAAAAAATTTTTTTCGATTTTCAAAGGGTCAGATTTTCGGTTTTACCAGGGGGAAAGTCGACTTTCGCCAAAATCGAACTTTTTAGCCGGGTGAACGTTGATTCCAACTATTTAAGCGTCGGGCTTTTCAGAACTCTCAAAAGTATGTCCGGGTTTCCTATCCCTGTTTACGGACCGGCAAGTATTTGGAAATTCTGAATACAAGTCCTGCTTACACCTAACGAGTGCTGAAATGGGACATAACCAGTGTTAGAAAGGTCTTGGAAGCATTTGGGAAGAGGCTTCCCAAGACCTATCCAGTTCCGAACGGAAAGACCTAAGTAGAACTTGTCAAGTCCAATTATTCGACTCGGGATGACGATTAAAGAATGTTCGTTTTGCCCAAAATAATTTTATGGAATTAATTACTTCATGAAATTAAATTAAATGTGTAAAATTACATTTTCACAAAAGCTAAGGCAAAACGGGTCGTCATTTTCACCAAAATTTTGGATGAAATTTTCACCCCATGACATTACAATATCAATTTCCCCGTGAAAAATGGTGTGCCGATGACAAGCGGATGGATTTCAATAAAGGGAAGCCGCGGAAAATGACAATTTCCCGGCATCCGATGGAGGAGTATCACACCTACCCGCCGAACGGCTGCAATAATTTCCGCGCTGATAATACAATCCCTCCACTGACGAATTCAATATTCCCCGGCTAATGCAAAAAGCCCGGCGATTCCACCGTGGTGTTGCGCGTAATTATAATTGCCATCAGTTCCAGCTCAAACAGCCGGATGCCGGACGGAATAAAAAGGCTCAAATATTTGAGGGACAAAGATCCCTCAGAGGATTTCCTCAAAGGACAAACCACCGAGATTAAAGTCTGGAATAAAGAAATAATACGAAAACTCACCTCGTACGCTCTGAAAAGTAGATAGAGCTCCCTCGGTTTGGCGTCCATCGGCAAGCCACTCACGAACAAGGTGCGTACCTGAAATGAGAAGGACGGATAGAACGATAATTGAGTTAATTAAGATAATTGGCCTGGTAGGAGAGCTGGTATAGACGGGAGATAAGCCAACTAAAAGACAGAATGAAGAGGTTGTGGGAGACGGCCTCTCCTTCAAACTTATAAATCGGACAATAATAATTTCCCAAATTGAGAGTGATGCGCCCGGAACTGTTGTGGGAACTTTACAAAATGGCGAATGTTTCGCTTGCTATTAGTGTTATTGTCGTTTAGAGAGGACGTCATGGGTTTTGATATGTGCACGCCACTTTTTTGGAGGATTGCAATAGTTTGTTCCTTCAATTATGCCAATTTATGCCAAACGCACTGCACTGGTAGACTTTTTTGGGAATTTCATGGAAGATATTCTAGGAAATCTCGTGAGGGCGACATTCAATCGGATTTAGGGATAAATGGTGATGAAATTTCAAGTTTTAAGTAGAATTTCAGGGCAATTCATGAGTTTTCAGTGGAACAGAAATATTCAGAAACAAAATTACATGAATTTTCAATTTTTCCCCGATTTTTCTGGATTTTCACAGAATAATTGAACAATAATTGAAAAATCAAGTATTTTAGTGAGTTTCAGAGCATTTAGACAGAAATTTTCAATAGAGCAAAGTTATAAAAAAAATTATTACTGAATTCAATTTTTTTATAATGAAAAAAGTGAAGATTATTACGAAATAAAATTAATTGGGTGAAAAAAATTAAATAATAAACTATTTTAATGACTAACTAAATCTCACCTAAACATTGAAGTCATTAAAAAAAATAAAAAATAAAAAAGTTGTTTTCGTTTTAAATAAATTTTCAACGTCTTTGTTAATTATTCATGACAAGAAAATCATTGCAAAATATTCGGAACATCTAATCTTTAACTAGACACGTTGAAGACAAATGTGTTTGCATTAAAAAAATATAAAAAATTATTATTGACCTGAATTTTTGAAAACTGAAAAAGTGAAGAATGTTACGGTATAAAATTATTTGGCTGAGAAAAAATGAAATAATAAACCACATTAATGACGCTGGCCTTTCCGCCTTCTCCACGAATTTTTGTCGGTCTTTGAATAATTCGAAATTACCCTAGTGGAATTCACGAGTAGTCTCGTTTCTCGGTAAACCTCGATTTGAGATTAATTTGATGCTGAAGAGACGGAGGAATGGCTATGGGAGGCAGTCAACTCTCTGGTGGGGTCTAAGTAGGAGGTTTTACCGCACTAAGGGGTGGCGTATCCCTCTCCCTCTCTAATTCCGGAGTCGTAAATGCGAGCGTGTTACGACCGTTAAGGCACCGTGAAAATTCACCACTAGCCAATTCTGCTTTCATTCCCGGCTTCATTTGTTTGGGGGAGAGACTTTTCCACTCTTCCAATTGAGAATTTACGTCTTCCGGGAATGATTAAAGTTCTTGGATTAGTTTTTCGAAACGGAATTATCCTGGAGTTCCAATGATCCGACAATTGCACAACTGATTTCAATCTGTCACAGTAAAATTGAACGTTTTTTTCATTTTAAAGAAATTTTCTTCAGACTAAAATCCAAATCGCATCATTTGACGATTCATTTTGCCCCAGGGTGTCTAAAATACGGAAATTAAGGGCCATAAGGATCAGAATGAGGGTTATGAGGGTCAAAATAAGGGTCATGGTGATCACAATAAGGGCCACAAGGGTCAAAGTAAGGGGTCACCAGGGTCAAAATAAGGGTCACGATGGGTATAATGAGGGTCGCGAGGGCCCGATTAAGGGTCACGAGGGTCGAAACAAGGGTGAAAATAAGGGCCGTAAGGGTCAGATTAAGGGTTGCAAGATTAAGAGTCACCGGGGTCAAAATAGGGGTCACGATGTGTATAATGGGGGTCGCGAGGGCCCGATTAAAGGTCACCAGAGTCAGAATCAGGATCACGCGGGTCGGAATAAGGGTCCAAATGAAGCCCTCGTGACCCCACCAGGGCGAGATTGAGGGTTACGTGGGTCAGATTAAGGGTCGCAAGGTCTTAACCCTTAGGTCACAAGGGTCAGAGTAAGGGTTTAAATAAGGGACATGGGAGTCAACGACCCTCATAGACGCCAACGATTAAGGGTCACCAGGGTCCAAATAAGGGTCGCGAGGGTCAGATTAAAGGTCACCAGTTCATCCACTACGAATGATCACAATGTCTGGCACAATAATACCTTTTTTTTATTTTAAGGGCTTTTTTAGACTTCAAATCAGAGCTGATTCGTGATTCTGATTGATGATCCAATAAAATTAATATTCCATGATATTATATTTATTTGAAATGGAAAAAATTTATTTAAAAAAATATCTGTTCTGCCCCCGCGATATTTGACGCAAGAGAAATATTATTTCGCTAAATATTGACGTTGTCATGCCGTGATATTTTGACATATCTCTGGGATGAGGCAATTATAGTGTTTGACAGTGGCCCCTGGCAAAACGACAGCGTTATCCAGAGGGCATGTTAACCTTAGGTGGTTTCCGCGTCTTGGATGAACGGAGACGGAGGTATTGTCGACCATAACGATCGTCGTTGTCTCGCGGCTTGTCGCGAGGGAGTATAACCGACAAACAGGCAGGCACGTCACAGACGTAATGCTCCCAAGTAGCTTGCCACTGTATTATATCGGGTATGAGGGAGAAACAGGTTGTGCACTCGGGGGGAGGGAAGGATGGTATTGCAATCGATAGAAGCGTGAACAATGGGAATTGAACGACACGGTCAATTGCACACGCATTTGGGAGCGGATCCTATCATCCGTGAGCCATTGTCCTTCTCGGCTCTGCTCTGATGCAATTTATCGGCGGGGCTGGGCTTTTGTCAATTACCTGACAATTCTTCGAGGTAAATTAATCAATGTATTGCCGAGGGCTTTTTGCCGCCGATCGAGACGGGCTTTAGGGATTGAGAAGTTGGAAAATTTAACGTTCCGGGGATTCGTTTTGTTGTTCAGTTGTTTTCGAAGTTCAGTGAATTGGTTTTGGAATTTTTAATTTCTGGGGAAGAGGCAGAGACTGTTGGGGAAAAATGGAATTTATGGGCAGTTGGTAGGGGCTTTCAGGAGGACGAGAGTGAATTCGATTTAGAGGGATAAGGACAATGAAATTTAATTGAATTTATTAAAAATTAAAATTTCACAGAAGTTTAAAATTTTTGAGCATCAGAAGCGGAAATTCTCTATCTTGGTTTAATTTTCCGTCAGAACACGAACATTTAGTTCCAAATTAGGCTGAATTTTCAAGTAATTGAAAAGTCGAGAATATATTCACTTATATTTTTCTGGAAATTGACAGATTTCATTGATTTTTCCGTAAAATTCGAAATTTCAATGGAACCGTAATTTGATAATCATTTCCAAGAAGTGCTCCGCACATTTCAACCAGAAATTCTCAATTGTGTATAATATGACGTCCATTTTATGCATAAAAATGGTATAACAGAAAATTTTTGGATTTTTAATTTCTGAGGAAACTGTGAGAAGCGACATTAAACTCGATTTAGAGGAATAAAAATAATGAAATTTTAAATTTCACTTAAAATTCAATGAAATGTAGAATTTTCGAGCAGCAGGAGGATGAAAATTCCGCAATTTACTTGAATTTTCAGTCAAGATCGAAATATTCAATACGAATTAACCAAAAATTCAAGAATAAATTTACCCTAATTTTCCTGACGTCTCCCAATTCCCATCTACCAATCGACCTAAAATTGACAGCAACCATTCCCCCGCAAAAAGTTGAAACTTCAATGGCGCAGTTTTTTCTAATTTCGTAATGAGCTAAACATTTCCAAGAACTATACCGTAAAGTTCAGCAAAAAATGTTCAGCAGTATATAATAATCGCGTTGGTTATACGAATAAAAAATGTAATACTTGTTTCCATGTTGAAACGCTCAACAGTTCCGGCATAAATCACCGGCAGTTAAGAAGTTAGCCCCCCCCCCCCTCCCGCCCAATGTAAAGTATCCGAGCATAACGAAGCCCTAGGGCATATCGATTGTCCAAACTCCATCCCCAATAGCAACAAGTAATCCGGACATTTCGCATTGTTCTCCACAATAAACAACAAGTTTACCAGTGATTAGACTGCGTCGAAACTCGCGATTCAGCGCCTGCCTCTCGTGCTGAAGTTTTAATTACGGGTCATAATTACGCGCGTGTTCTCAGTAGCGAAAAACAAAGAAGAAAAGTGGAGAAGAAGTGGTAGGTAATTTGTGTGCATGTAGAATGTCAATGTCGAATGGCTTCGTTCTGTTCTGTTCTCCGCTGTTATGAACAACGTAGTATTAATGCCTCGTCGGGGGCCCGTGCTCATCGAGCCCAAGCTCCGGTTGTTTATATTGTCCCTCGCGCATACACACACAGGCCGGAATTACGCTTCTTGAATTTTCAGCCTGATACCCGCCGTCGTGCATACCCGAAGCGTTCTTCTCCAGTCGCCATTCGATTTAATAATTAAATATTCCGAATTGCTTTTTTGGCGGTATTAGATTGTAAAATGAAATTTAAGGACGTCCGCCGGGGAATTTTTTGGCTCAGAAACCTATTGACGTGTTTATTTCAGAAAGAATTATTCGTTTCGGTGTAATCTCGTGACGCTCAATTTTTTTTAACGGAATTTATTGCAAGAAAAATGGAAAAACAAATATTTTAACAAATTGTAGACAATTATAATAATAAATTATAGAATAGGAATCCCTATTTTTCATCCATTTCATGATATTTTATAGAAATTCTGTTATTAAAATTCAACAATTAAGCAATGCTCAATTATTTCGGTAATAAAGTTCGGAATGACGCTTCTTGAATTTTCATACTAATCCTCTCCTTCGTGCATACTCGAAACGTTCGTTCTCCACTCACTATTCGATTTAATAATTAAATATTCCGAATTACTTTTTTGGGGTTATTAGATTGTAAAATGAAATTTACGGACGTCCGTCGGGGAATTTTTCGGCTCAGAAGCCTATTGACG